ATCCACCACTACAACAATGGTCCAAGCTACCAGGATAACACACTTGCCCTGTTAAAATAACCTCCTAAGGGAGCCTCTGGCTTCTGGTCTCACCCCGAACCTGTCTTCCCAGCACAAAAGCCGGAGGAATGGCCTTACAGAGGAAGTCAGGTGAGGACAATCCTCTAAAATCCCTCCCGGGCATTTCCTTATATTCAGACAGAAACCTCAATTCCTTCAAAGGACCTAGAGAACCTTCTAGAATCTGCCCCACCAGTAGCTTTCAACTTATCCTCACACCCCTCATCCTCACTCCCGCTGCTAAAACCACTCCGAGCTTTGAGTTCCTGGAACAAAGCATGGCCCGCGCCTACCTCAGGACCTCTGTGTGCTGGCTGGTTCCCCACGTAGACACGCTCTTCCCCGGGCACCCCCAGCCCCCCAGCCCCCCTGTATCTGAAAGGCCCATTTCCTCACCTCCTCCAGCTCTTTGCTCAAATCTTGGTGGCTCCCCCTTCCTCACCTTGTTTACATTTCAAACATTCCCCACTTCCTATTGTATCCTTTCCCAATTGCTTTTCCCCAGAACACTCAACTACCATCTGACACAAGGTATATATTTTACTTGTTTATTGTCTCCCAATTGAGATTTAAGTTCACAAGTGCAAGAATTCTGTTTTCTTCGCTCACAGCTGTATTGCCAGCACTAAAACGGTGCTTAGACTTCAGTCTCTTAATAAATATTTATTGAATAAATCAATGACAGAGAATGCCCAACCAAACCGTTATTTGTTCGCTATAAACACAGATCAGAATGTGATCGGCGCTATAAAACACTAAACCTTCCGACAAATATTCAACCTGCATTTGGAAGATGCCTCAGGCGAAGCTGGCTCTCTATCCTCCACTTACTTCTCTTGCTCCAAGCCAGGTGAGTACTTAAAACGACTTTAACATTGTAACTTGTGGCCCAACATTTGGCTTGTTGCAGCTTCTGCTCTGAAACTGCTTGCAAGGTATGATTTTACCCTTTGGGGCTCTGAAACCACCTGCAGAGCAGGCAGCCCGCCTGGGCTGCTTGTACTGTGTCATAAATTGTAGAAATAACAATCCCTGCACTATAATTGTGTGATGGGGGCGGGGAAGACCCTTTTTGTTCCAGAGGCCTGCACTAAAACTGGGACTTTGCCAAATGCTTAATCATATATTACCCATTGTTCTCATCTTACAACCCTACTTGCTTGACCCCTGTGTCGTCAGCTAAGTATGTGGTCTTGTTTCCCCTGGAACACATCTCTGATCCTCAGCTCCTTCCTTGCAACTTGTGCCTTTGAAAACCTTGCCCTATCCCCTCCACTTTGGAGTGTATTCTTGGTTCATACCAGGGGTATGTCCCTGGTTTGCAAATCATTATCTGTGAAAGGGGGGCGCTCAAACATTGGAAAAATTTTAGTTTCAAGGAATAGCTAATAAATTCAGCAACCCATGCATGTATAAAGCTCTCGTTTCAGGAACTGAAGGCATGACCCACACCGTGATTCCGGGAGACCACACGCAGTTCCACCTTTGTGCCTCAGGAGGACTGCACGCCATCACGGTGGTATCTGAGCCATTATACTCCAGGGTGAGACCCCCACCGGCCAAGGACATAGATAAAGACCACCACCGCCCAGGGCACAGATGAAAGAATACTGCAGCTTTTTATCTGATTAACTTTTTCCCCGGATTCCAAACCCCTAACTTGCACTTTTCTTCTCCGTAGGAAAGGGGTCAGTTTAAAAAAGAATTGAAGGCAGGCTGTTAGGGTACAGACCTGCCCCTTCTCGGATCTCCTGCCATCTGCAGAAAGCCCCAGTAAAGATTCAGCCCAACCCCCGTCTTTGCTTATTAGGCTGACTTTTCCGGTTTCACAAGGAACCCCTCATTGTTATCTTGTTGCCCAAATACCATCTCTAAGTGCTGTAGATGTTCATTGTTACCTATCCTGTAGCCACCAATGTAAAAGAAGTATTTGTCTCTTCATTTCCCTTTTTACCCAATCCCAGGGATTTCCCTGCTTTGCCTTCTGCCACCTCCCTAATCCACCACCAGTGAATTTCATGTAACCCTCTTTGTGTCTCCTCCTCTGACTGTAAGGGATACAATAAAACACAAAATTGCCATTCTCCTGAGTGTCTTCTCAATCCATTGAGATTCTGCTTCCCAGGAATTATTGCCAGGTTGGCTCACATAAACTCATAAAAACTGTCTACAGGTTTGGACATTTCTTACGTCAACAGTTCTAAGAGAAGCTAAGAAGCTGGAGTTTTACACAATATAAAGTCGCCTAAGCTTAAAATGTTGAACACTGCTACAAAGTTCTGGCCAGCGAAATAGAAAGAAAAGCTGTAAGTTGGGGCTCCTGAGAAGGCTCTTAAAAAGGAGGCAGGCCTGTGCTGAGACTCAAGTTTGTATGTCTAAAGAAACGCTGCGGAGAAGGTGGGTAGAGGCAGAAAGTCGAGGGAAACCCTACAACAAGGGTGTCAATTTTCTCGCAGGAGGAATTGAGGTCATTTCATTTGCTGAGAATGAAGGCAGGCAGGGATGAGCGCAGGGCTGGTTCCAACAGGCGATGGTGTGTCAGAGTCACAGGAAGTTAACAAGGGGTGAGCGAAAGGCGATTGCAGGGATAATCAGAAACAGGGAACCCAGCGCCCGGCTGCCCGAGTCTCCCTGGCAAGGGGGCCCTCTGCTGGCGGCGCAGAGGAGGGGATGGCACAGGGGCGCCCACTCAGGCCGGGCAGGCGAGGGCGGGCCCGGGGCCAAAGATGCGGATTTGGGTTACCTTTGAATTCCAAGAATATATTTTTCATTTCTAAAAATTAATAGCTAGAGGCAGCAAAAGCAAACAGGGAAGGAAGTTTACAAATAGGCTGACAACAGTCATCGTAGTAAGAGTGGTAGGAGTAACAGTACATTTCTCCCCTTCGGTCTGTATTTTCAAACTTTTCTTCTGGAGTTAATTTGCTCTTCTAATACTTTTTTAAAACAAGTGTATATGTTTCTAATGCCCATTGCAGAGTAATTTTTAGTTTCTAGAGGAACCAAGTCTAAAAAAACAAAAAAACAAAAAAAAACCCTGCTACATTCCAAAAGCACAGATTTCGCAATTGCCCTGGTTTTAAAGACTTATTTGCTGTGGTAGTTACGTCACTCTCTGCTTTGCCCTCTATTTTATCTCATCAACCTTTGATCGGTTCAGATTTTTTTCCTTTAAACTTAGTAAAAAAGAAAAAAACCACCTCACAGGCATTCCAGAATTTCCCTTGGCAGTAATGCCAACCCTGCAAATGAAACTCTAGTGCCCGCGTTTGAGCACGGACGCTTCCTCGATGCCCCTCCGATGGAATCAGTGCAGCGCGCGTCCTCGGCCCATCTCCGTCCTTGCGGTGGAGGAGAAAATGCACGTCAGGTAAAGGAGCATCTGGAATCCAGCGCTCTCGCCCCCAGACAGTGACTCTGTACCAACTATGCCCTGTGTTGCTGTGAGGACCGCCACGGGCTTCCAACACAGGACGCCGAGGAGGCTGGGCAGCCTCCCCTGAGAAGACAGCTCCCCCGGGAACCAGGCAGAGCTGAGTCGCGTGCGGAGAGAGCTCGGCAACGTCGCTAACACCGTTATCAAAAGAATCCAGGAGAGGGTGAGGCCGTCGTGGGCCGAGGCAGTTACAAAGATTCAGAGAAGGGGCCGGTCTTACGCTCGATCTGGAAGGATCAAGATGTTTCTGATGGGTGGAGCCGTGGGGTCAGGGCAGGACGCTGAAAGGCTCTCCCCTTCCCTACCAGCTGCCCCTCCCCCACGCGTGCCCGCCTCACACCCCCATGAAGGGCAGAGTCATCACGCTAGGAACCATCGGTTGACCTGCCTACCCATCCATCACCGTTGACCTGCCTACCCATCCATCAATCCACGTTTTCGTTTCTAAACCTCCAACGCCTAGACGAATTTCATTGCAATAGGACTTGCAGTAACGTGGAGTTAATTTCAGAAATCCGTGGAAAAGGCACAGCCTACTCTTCAGACCAGCAAATTAGGCTTGGGTGTCTGTCCTAAAGAAATATTCAAGTGTCGACATTATAAATCATGCACAAGGATGTCTACTACAGCCTGGCTTGTTGCAGGGGTGGGTTGGGAAGAGGCAACCAGAATGATCGCCCACCAGGAAACAAACACAATTAAGATGCCTCCATGCTGTGCAGAGGCCAGGCTGAACACGACAGGTGCTTATGTACTAATGTGAAACAATCTCCAAAATCAGATTGTTATATGGGGAGAAAAACGATTGGAGAATGCACACTATGTAATCTCATGTATATAAAACAAACAAAAATTTTGAAACCATGCACAAAACCTAAAGACTTCTCTGGATATGCATGTAACACATACAATACGTATTCAACCACTGTATTTTCAGCTCAAAACCCCCTGAAACTTGGTAAGTATTCAATAAATATTTGCAGAACGCATGAAGACATATGAACATAAATACAAAAGGATTAGAAAATTGATCTGCTTTTCATGCTAAATGTACTGTTTGCATTTTAAGAGACTGTACTAATAATGTGTTACTCGTGTAAGTAAAACGAATTGAAAATAGTTCTTTTAAAAAAAGTTGCAGGACCTGGATAGACCAAAAAGGGTCCTATGACCAACTCTGAATATCTTCTCCAGGCAACTGATTTGATCGTCTTGGGCAGTTGGGGCTCTTGCCCAGCAACTCAACGCTCACTTAATCTCCCCAGCATAAAGATGAACTGAAAAGCTCCCGGTTTTACATTTTCTTGAAAACCAGTTCAGAAAAAGGCATGCCCGTTCTAAAGGGTGCTCTTCTGCCAAACCCCGACCCCTCTGGGGGTGGGGCTGTGGCGCACTGCCCTCCCCGCGCACCCGCAGGAGGCCAGCGAGGACGCAGGTGAGCCGGGGGACGTGCGAAGTCCTCCGGGTAGTGTGCCCACACAGCGCGGGGGGGAAGGAAACTTACTTTCCTACTGGCCCCTTCTCTAGCTGTCATCTGTCTCTCCCGCTCAGGCATCTTCTCCCGGAGACAGCAGTTTCTTCTGTGATCTGGTCCGCAGCCCAAAGGTCACCTGGTTTGTGAAAAAGCAGCGCCGTGTTAAACCCCAGACTTAAGAGGAGCGCGGTGTGGATGGTATCTTTGCGGTTCGACTCTAATCAGAGGCGGGGCCTGGGAACCGGCCCCAGCATTTCGGACGAGGAGGTCGGCTGCCCTCACCCCACCAGTTAATTCAAAGTTGCGTGTCACCGCACCCCTGGCCCTTGGGGACGCGGGCACAAGAGCGAGACGGGAGGGTGGGCCTCAGACCCTCACACCCGGAGGCCGGCCTGCGGATGTCTCGGGGTCGTCGGTCGAGCCGGAACCCATAAAGAAACCCATCGTCCCTCCCGGGTCTCCGCTACCTCGAGCCGGTGCACGTCGGACTCGGTCTTCAGCTCCGGCGTGTATCGGGGAGAGGAGGAGGGAGGGTGAGACGCGCAGACCCGTGCTGGAGATGTAGATCCCAAGGCTCGCCCACCACGGCGGGGGAAGTGCGGTATAGCGAGCGCCCGCGTGGGGTCCGCTCTCCCGCTCCGCGCCTGACTTCGCAGCACCGCGATCCTCACGCGCCGCAGCCGCCTCGGGAATGAACTCGGCGGCTGGGAAATCGATCGGAGACATGCAAGAACCTCCCATTGGTCTCCAACCGGCGGCAAGCTCTGGGCTGGGGGCCGGGTCCCCCGGGCGAGGGGTTGCAGTGGGGGAGGGGGACCAAGGGCGGGAGAACCATCACAGGCCACGCCCCGTCCAGCCCACCTCCCACTATAGCCCCGCCCATGGGCCGTGCAACCCCTAAATGACACGCCGAAAACTCGTCTACACCCCCAGAGATTCTATTGGCTGGAAGGCCGTGGGAAGCTATAATCATCAACCAATTGAAACGCAGAGTTGGCCCCGTGAGGGCGGGGAAACAGCATACGCTTCCTCAGTAGCCAATAGAAAAGAGAAGTAGGGAAGCCCTTCCTGAGTCCTGGGGTCAACTGAAGATGGCGGCCTCCGAAAGGGGTTGGTGCGAGTTCCTAAGGTGAGCAATTGGTGGTGTGGGCTCGTAGGTGTCAGTGTTGCGGTGGTACTGGTCCGTCCACGCAACTGAGGTTTGCGGGAAAGGGCTTTCCTTGTCCCGAATCTACCCTATTTTCTTAAGGCCAGGGAGCACTCTTTTTCTTACTTTGGGGTCTTCGCGGTAGACTGGATCCGGCTGGGTCAAAGACTCAGTTTACCGCCTTTTCTTCGCCTGCCCCATTGCTGGCTAAGAGTTTCCCTCCCTGTTTCAGCTTTTTTTCCCTCTTAATCTCCATTGGTCAACTCCATTGATCTGTTAAATTATTCGTATCTGTTCCTCATTTTCCAATCTGTCTTGTCTGTCTTTTTGGTAAAGAAGAAGCGGAATCTTCTCACGCCGTAGTTTCTTTCCACCTAAGCTGTCCTTAATATAAGTCACTTAAATACAAAGTTTATGTTGAATCCCCTGCTTCTTGATCGTCCATTGCTCATTATTTCTGATCAATGTAAAAATAGTTACATAAAATGTTACTACATTTATCTTTATTACATAAGTAATAAGTGGTTTATTGCAGAAAAATTAGGAAATGAACAAAAATGAAAATTCGCCAGGAATGCTACCCTCCGAAGATAACGACTATGAACATTTGGAAAATTCCTAGACTTCCCACACTTGTTATTGAACTAGTGCCGTATTTTACTTGTCTGGCCCTGCATTCATACCTAGTCTGTTCTTCCTAACCAGTTCTTTTAACACATACAGGGTGGGCAAAAGGAGGTTTACGGTGGTGATTATGAAAAATAATACAATAATTAATAAGTAATAGTATAAGAATAAACTGTGTACTCACGCCTGTTAACCTACTTTTGCCCAGCCCTTTTAGTTCAAGTTGAAATTTTATAATTAACAAAACAGCATTCCAAATAGCAGTATTTACGTATTCTCTCCAAAATTCAGGTATTGTTCATTTTTGTCCCTTGTACTTCAAATTCTGTCATGATTTTTTAAACCATTTTGAATGGGAAAGTCTGTTTTCAGAGCCTTCATATTCTTCCCTGTCATTTGAAATATCCCTAACTCAATGCTTTGCATATAATGATAGCTAAATGAATGTTTACCAAATGAATGGCTCACTTTTCTAATTTGATAAAGTATCACAGAAAAATACCCCAACTCTCTGAAAAGGCTATTAAAATATACTCCCTTTGCTATACATCTGAGTGAGTCTGTATTTTCTTCATATACTTCAATAAAACAACATACCAGGTTGAATGCAGAAGCAGATCCAAGGGGAGTGGATCCAAGAAGCCACTATCTTCTGTTAAGCCAGACACCAGAGACTTGCAAAACTAAAACAGCAACACCCTTCCTAAGTTTTCTTGTTTGGTTTGGAAAATACAAGGTTTTTTAAAATAAAAATGTTAATGAGTAATGGATTCGTCATTGTTAAATGAATTCATAAATATTTTAACTCATCAGCTTTCATTTCTAATATGCTAAATATTGCTAGGTATAATCACTGTAAACCAGTGGTTCTCAGAAGGGGCGATTTTGCCCCTGCGGGACGTTTAGCAGTGTTGGGACAATTTTGATTGGCTGGGTATCACTGGCACCCAGTGGGTCAAGGCCTGGGATACGGCTAAGCATCCTACACTACTGCATAGGACAGCCTTCACAATAAAGAATTATCTGGTCCAAAATGCCTGTAGTGCCAAGGTTGAGAAAACCTGATGTTAAACGAAAGCCTTACAGGGGCCTCAGTAATTTTTAAGAGTGTAAAGTTATCCTGAAACCAAATCATTTTAAAAAATGAAATAGCTCGTCAAGTGATGGCCTTGATCACAATAAGGAAAACCCACATGAGAAATGTATTTTCAAGTCAGTAAGATACTTACTTTCCAAAGGATTTGTGTGTTCTTCATGTATGACAATGAAATCCACACAATTACAAAACACATGCCCACGTTTCCTTTGGTCATTAAGCAGCGCAAAGCCCAATCTCCTCTTCAGTACTGCGTACAGACTTAGAGCCTGCATAGCTATTCCCTACCAGTCTGTCTTCTCTCGCCTGCAACATACTCTAACTCTGTATTTCTCCCTGGTCCCTGAATTTTTCTCTTTTCTTTTTAAAAAGATTTTATTTATTTTTAGAGAGGAGAAAGGGAAGAGAAAGGGGGGAAAGGGAAGATCAATGTGTGGTCCCCTGTCGAGTGCCCCCTACTGAGGACCTGGCCCACAACCCAGGCAGGTGCCCTGACTGGGGATCAAACCTGCAACCCTTTGGTTCACAGGCCGGCGCTCAGTCCAGTGAGCTGCACGAGCCAGGGCTGGTCCCTGACTTTTTACTACTTTAAGTTTAAGTATTTTACTGTTTTTGTGACTTATAAGCCCCTCAAATCCTTTATAAATCCTTTATAAGTGGTGGGCATGGGATTGCAAACAGTAAGTTGGGTACCATCCCTAAGAGAAAGAAATAACTTGGGAAATTATTTCAACATAATTTAAGAGACATCTAAGGAGGTAGTAAAGTTTTTTGTTCAGTTGATACATATTTGCGCCCAGTATTATGGAATACGGTGGTGAGCAAGGCTGCTCCCTTGTCTTTGCAGAGCCTCGCTTGACCTGGCAGCGAGAGAGAACCTTTCAGTAGGTGTTTGGGAGTGAGTTTACTAATGTGCATGAGGCAGAACATCAGTGGATTTTTGGCAACTCATTCAGAAGTAAATAAGGGAAGGCAGTGATTTTAGGGTCTTGTAAACAGATCAAAGGCAGATCTCAGAATAGAAATGGAGAAACTTAAATTCCATTCTTCTTAGCTCAGAAACTGTTCTCTTCGATGTTAAGTGAGAGAATAAAAATGATGAACTGTCTTGCCAATCTTTTAACTTAATAGAATATTGATCCTATGAGAAGACACTTTTAGGGGTTGCCTGTTGTCACTTTGAGGGTCAGATGCTATTACTAATGTCGAGATTAATAATTAAATTTGTTTCAGTCCTTTCTACATACGTTGAATTAGGAGAAAGGTAGCTCAACCTTGATTTTTACTGCTTATTAAAAAGAAAAAATATTAAATTGCTAACATTCCTGTGGAGATTGGAATTAAAAGGGACTCACACTTTTGCCATTGTATATTTTGTAGCATTAGAATTTCAATAATCAAGTATTTCATTAGCAGACTTGCAAGCTATAACACTTTTCTGTTACTAATATATAATATATATATAAAGTAGACATGTACTTTGTAGTCCTATTTTTGTTTAATGGGCATTATATCAAGTTTCACCTCTTCCTTCTTGTTGCAGGTTTTTTTATTCATTATTCTTTCCTGGGCTACTTGTATGTGGAACTTTATGTTTGTGTTTGGTCTTTACGTTTTGGAGCATCAGAGTCATGCTACAGAGAAAGAAAAACTCGGCAGCAACTGGCCAAAAATTGGTGATTGCCTTTTTCCACCCGTACTGCAATGCCGGCGGAGGGGGAGAGAGAGTCCTGTGGTGCGCGTTAAGGGCCCTGCAGAAAAAGTAGGTATGCATCTTTCTCGGCTGATTTGCTCCATGGTTACCGTTCTTTAAAAAATCATTACCCAGAATCCTCTCTCTCTCATACCGTATTCATAGCCAGGAATTCATTTTTTGACTAAACGGAAAGCGCAGCGGAGCGCTTGCAGTCAGTGGCGCCACACCCGAAGTGATCGCTAGGAAGCATCTGTTTGATTCTCATCCTGAGAGCGTTATCAGTTGGATAGCCTTCAGTAAGTTGCCATCATAGCGAGAATAGGGTGTTATGTACCATTTAATGTTTTAGGCTTTTTTACCCCCACACCTAGGCCAAAAATATGTTTCTCTTTTAGAATTTAGATTCCTTTTTGGAAAAGAAAAGGCGCGGTACCATGCAGGTTCCATTATTGTTTTATCACACAAGAAAAACTGCTGTCCGTTCATCCATGGCTATTCTGCTTCCTGGTACATGCACTTCATTTAGTTCCAAAGCCTTTGCAGGTCATTTCCGTAGCTCTACAGTTCTGTACCCTTGGGCCGTCCTGCCTTACTGCCACCACCTCTCTATTTCCTCTCCCATCTTCCAGAAGTGCCTAAATCCAAAGGATTTCCTTAAATCCCAGCTTCATTCCCACCTCCTTGAAGCCCTCCCTACCAGAGCCTGTGCTGTGCTCCTAACTCGGTGTCTGTGCTGTACCTTTGTTCTCTCTAACGAGATTTTCTGACTCTTGGGAACAGTGGTAGTTTTATGTCTGTTCACACACTCCCCAGCAACCCCTATTATTCCTAACTCACCTATGAGGCAAAAAAAACCCCAAATAATTAGTATGATGCAGAAGATACTTTTTCATCTTGCTTTTGGAATATTTTGTTTTTCATCCCTCTGCTTTATGCTTTGCTCCTGCAAACGGAACTAGGAGCATCACGTTTTCTCTAGATTCTTTGCCTTTGCGTAGTGTTCCCTTTTTTCGGAACTAATTTTTTTCTTCAGTTGATTTTTACATGTCTTTCTTGACTCAGCATAAGCTGCAGTATACTTTTCACTCGATCTAGCAATATTTATTGGGGACCTACTCTGTTTCAAGCACTGTAAAAGGAGTTGAGAGTAAATGGTGAACAAGACAGATCAAGTCCCTGTTGCAGACCTTTTCTTTTATTTGAGAAAGACAAGATAATAAGCAAAGGAGAAAAGTCAAAAGGTGAGAAGTGCTATATAAGAATTTAAAATAGGATATTACAACAATAACATATCTTTGGGTAAGGATTAAAAAAAGATTATATGCTCTCTTGAGGATGGTCACCCTTTAGAAGGAGGTGTCTGAGAAGAGGCATTAACCTAGATATATACAGAAACAATGGGCAGGGGTTGTCAAGGCAAAAATAAGCCTTTTACTAAATAAGCTACAGGCCCGGGGCATGGCCGAACACCCAGCATGACCTGCTCAGGTAGGAATTTATGATCCGATCAGATCATCATCTTCATCCACAGGGTTTTAAGCAAAGAGAATATTCTGATTATCTATTGCTGCATAACAAACCACTGCAACACTTAATGGCTTATTATTTCTCATAGTTTAGGGTTAATGGGCCCTGTTTGGGGTCCCTCAGACTCGTGTGTCACAGTTACAACAGACGGCAGCTGCAGCTGGGGACACGGGGAGGCTTTTTCCCTCACACCTGGAGCTGGGCCGCGAGGGCTGGAATAGCGGGGGGCAGTCGGCGTCTCTGTCGCCTGGAGTACCTCCTGGTGACCCCCATGGGCTTGCATACAACATGGCGGTCTCGGGGTAGCTGGGCTTCTCCCACGACCGCTGACTCCCTGGAGTGAAACAGAAGCTGCAGAGCCTGAGTCCAGAAGTGGGAACGGTGTCACTTTGGCCCTATTTATTGGTCAAGCAGGCACAGAGCCCACTGTTACTCCAAGGGAGGGGACCTAGATCGCGCCTCTCAATGGGAATAGTGTCAAAGACTTTGTGGCCGTTAAGCTACCAGAAATAACATCCCTTTTCACATTTTAGAAGGGTTGTTCTGGATGCTGGGCTAGAGAGGAGCAGTCAGATGCTCAGCCTTTAGGCTTCCCCAGCATCATGTGGCTCTTTATCAGTATGCGTCACGCAATCATGCAGTTTATGTATCTTCTCTCCGCTGGACTGAGCTCCTTGAGGATAAAGACTCTCATCCTTCAATCCCAGAATCTAGTGGCTCATACTAGATACTTAATGTTTTATGATTTACAGAAAAATTACAAACCCAGTAAGAAGGAGGCCAAAGCATTAAAAAGTTGGAAGAGTATACATTTACATATTTCCATTATAATTATATATCTTACTGCAATGCAGGCACAAGATCTAGCTTTTAAAACCTTGCATTTCTCAGACAACACTGGGAAGTGCTTTAGCATCTGTAATCCTATCTAAAGATATCTTTAGTGAATTTTAACTTTTGTTTAGAGTATTAATATTTCATTACCATTTTTATACTGAGAAAGTTGTCAAAGTAGTTTTTTTTAATTCTTGAAAACGTAAACATCTCATTTATAAATCGGCAGTTTTTGTTTGTCTGCTGTACGCGAAACTCTCATGGGAGGAGATAGCGAAGAACTAGAAGTCTCACTGGAAAGACTAACATTTTAGTTGTAGGCAGGAAAGAATGAGTTCAGTAGTGCAAATGCAATGACTGAAAAACAGTGGGCAACATTTATTTTAGTCTACGAATAAGCTTCCTGGGATTGTGAGAAATAAAACCTGTCTCCTTGTTGCTTGATTTTAACCTACACTAGTGAAATTCTTAACTGTTCTATTCTAGGTATCCCACAGCAGTTTATGTCGTTTATACTGGCGATGTTAACGTCAGCAGTCAACAAATACTGGAAGGTGCTTTCAGAAGGTTTAACATCAGATTAACGCACCCGGTGACGTTTATCTTCTTAAGGAAACGCTACCTTGTGGAAGACGCCCTCTACCCTCACTTCACACTGCTGCTCCAAAGTCTAGGATCCATTTTGCTCGGCTGGGAGGCGCTGATGCAGTGTGTTCCCGATGTTTACATCGACTCAATGGGCTACGCTTTCACGCTTCCTCTGTTTAAGTACTTAGGCGGCTGCCGGGTCGGGAGCTATGTTCACTACCCCACCATCAGCAGCGACATGCTTTCTGTAGTGAAGAAGCGAAACGTGGGCTATAACAACGCAGCCTTCATCACCAGGAACCCTGTCCTCAGCGCAGGAAAGCTCCTTTACTACTATTTCTTCGCTCTTATTTACGGACTGGTCGGCTCCTGCAGTGATGTAGTCATGGTCAATTCTTCCTGGACGCTAAGCCACATCCTCTCGCTGTGGAAGGTTGGGCATTGCACGAACGTTGTTTATCCACCTTGTGACGTGCGGACATTTCTGGACATTCCCTTACAGGAGAGAGATATGACCGCAGGACATTTGCTGGTTTCCGTTGGCCAGTTCAGGCCTGAAAAGAATCATCCTTTGCAGATCAGAGCCTTTGCTAAATTGTTGAAAAAGAAGGAGGCTGAGTCGCTCCCTCCACTTAAACTTGTCCTCATTGGAGGTTGTCGTAACCAAGATGATGAGCGTAGGGTAAACCAACTCAGAAGGCTTTGTGAGGAGCTGGGAGTTCAAGGAGATGTGGAATTTAAAATAAATATTCCATTTGAGGAACTGAAGAAGTATTTGTCTGAAGGAACAATCGGTCTGCATACCATGTGGAACGAGCATTTTGGGATCGGTGAGTCTGTCCTTGAATACGTTTGGCGCTATGGGATACACATTTTAAGTTGTCTGGATAAAATGATAATACTCTGGAAGTTTTTCTGCTTTGTGAATAAACTCAGACCCAGGGAGGATTTGAGCGAGCCCAGGCTCAGTCACACAGTAAAGAGGCAGCGACCCGCCTTCCGACCCAGGCGGCCCCTGCTCTTAGCCGCCACATTTCTGGGGCAGGTTCCTGGGCCCTGCCCCTGTCCCACTGAGGGACCCAGGCCGACTCTCTGGGTGGGGCCCAGGTCTGGGTAGTTTGGGAGGGCTCCTTCGGGGCTTCTCTTGTGCGTCAGAAGCTGAGAACCACTGTCTTCAGGTGGCCTTCTCCCGAGAGTCCTTGTTGCTGTTAATAATTCTGTTCTCATTTTTGGAATGGCCTCTCCTTTTCTTTCTGCCAAATCCATTGTAACTGTTCAACTTAAGCCTCCTTGCCCTTTAATTAGCCTCATTGTTCCAGCACTAATTGCTCTCTCTTCTCTCACCTCCCATTATGCGCACATTTGGGTATAAAATCAGGTGCTGTTTTGTGTCTGATTTGGTTCAACATGTCGAGCGCCTACTGTGCCTCATCCTGCTGGGTGTTGGGGGGAAACAGAAAAACATAAAAGCGAGGTCTCCTACTCTAAGGCTACAGTCTCTTATGCTCTTTTCCGTCCCTAGTCAGCAGGACAGCCCTCAGCGCAGACGTACAGCACGGGCCTGACGCAGACTTCGCGGTGCAGGCTGACTTCCCGAGCTTCCTTCCGCAGACGCGTGTCCAGCACTTCCTGTGCCGGGCGCTGGGCTGGGTGCTGGGAATGGCCGGGAGGCAGGAACCGCCTTTAGCTTCAGAGGTTCCAGCTGTGAGCTGTACAGACGAGGTCAACAGCCCCTGGCTGTACAGCAGAACACTAGAAGGAACACCTACCACACACTCCTGGGGTTGGGGAACAGTGGCCGGGGAAATGGTGTGACGCTTAGGCTGGGACCCCCCCCCCCCGGTAATTAGATGTTAGCCGTGCAGAAGAGGGGAGGGCAGCGAGCGAAGGGCCGGCACACGGTGGTGACAGGCATCAGAAAAACGCATTAGCAGGCACGTTCAAGGAACGGGGCTTGGCGCGGCTGGGGCCTGACGGCAGAACAGGGAGACCGCGTTGGAGCGGCCTGCAGCCAGATCACATGGCCATGTTAGGCTGCTGGGAAACGATGGAAAGATTTCAAGTATTGGATTTAAAAGCTTTCCCTTTCCTCACGTTCACTGCGGCCGCAGCACGGGGAATGGATTGGTGAGGAGCAGGGAGAGCGAGGCCAGAAAGGCGGGAAGATGAGAAGGGCCACTGCCGTGGCCGGGTGGCGGGTGCCGGCCCTCCGAGCACGTCAGCAAAGTCCTGCTGGCGGACCGGCCAGGACTCGGTGATCGGGTGCGTGTTAAACAAGGGATGGAGAGGAGTCAGAAGCAACTGCTCAGGGTGTTTTCTCTGGACAGTTGTGTGAGTGGTCGCGGCTTCCACCTCGAGAGGGAACCCTAGAGGAATGGCAGGCGACGAGCCAGGTTTCGAGCATGTAGAGTCTGAGTTACCTGCAGGGCGTTCACATGTGTGCGTCCCATGGACATTTATGTCTGTGAGTCTGAGCTCAGGAGCGGGACCCGATCTGGGGAGCAGGCTGAGGGGTCGTCGTCCAGGTAGCGAGAGCAGCCCCCGTGGACATGGGTGAGATCACCTACGGCCCGTGGCACTGACTGCCAAGAACAGGAGCAGCTCAGAGGCGCACAGAGAAAGAGGGGCCAGCAAAGGAGAGGAGAAGGAACGGAGGAGGAAAACCAGCGTGGTGCAGTGTCCTGGAAGCCAAGGGAAGAGAGATCCTGGGGAGGAGGAGGAAGAGCAGCAAGCTCCCATGCTTCTCAGACGCTGGGCCGGGTGAAGAAGTCCCCGGTGCCCTGAGCGAGGGCAGCGTAGTGGAGGCATAGGAGCAAGAGTTGGATTGCAGTGAGTTGAGCGTTGAGTGCAGCGAGCAGGTGGAGGCAGCGCAGACCTCACCATTCAGAAGCCCACGTGTGAAAGGAACGTGGAAGGAGACAGTAGCAAGGGGAGCGCTTATGCCCTGGAGAGACAGTGAGGGTGTTAGTGCACACGTGCTTTTATTTTATTATTAGTAGTTTTTAGGAGGCCAGGAGGGGGAGGTGGGAAGTCCTAGAGGGAGGGAAAGAAATTGATGGATTGAGGTCTCCAAGAAAGGATAGAGGGATGCTATCCAGCCTTGAACAGACTACTATGGCATAATCCCTGTTTTTCAAGTAAGAATCCAGATTACGCCATCAGCAGAAAGTTCCGCTCCCTAGAGGCTTCGCCAGCGTGGAAGGGACAGTGGAGCTGATCCCGCTTCGTTCCTGTGCCTCTAGGGTGTCAGACCTGCAGCTAATCACTTGCTGAAGGCCTTAATTCTCTGGCTGACAGTGCTGGCTAGTGCAACTTATATCTGCACCGACATCCTTTGGCAGGACCTGGCCAACACTCTCCTTTAGTTCGCTGCTGTTGGACATGCATTAGTCTCAGATTTGCCAGAAACCCAGGCCGTGACGTGAGCATCGGTAGCTGTGTACCACACCGAGCTGCCTGCTTAAGAACAGAACATCGTTGTGAAGGATTGAAAACTAAAAACCTTAAAATTATTTTGCACCATGGAAGCAAATGCACAGACATACATAAGTCTAATTAAACTTCCCATAATTCTCTTAAATTTTTTAAAGATGTCTGCCCATTCTTGTTCTCTTGAACACATCCAAAACTGAAAAGACTGCGCAATTGTGTTTCCTCCTCAGGAGTCGTTGAGTGCATGGCAGCTGGCACCGTCATCCTGGCGCACAATTCGGGGGGCCCTAGGCTGGACATCGTCGTTCCTCACGGGGGGGAGGCGACCGGATTCCTGGCGGAAAGCGAAGATGACTACGCGGACACCATGGCTCGCATCCTCTCCATGCCCGAGGAGGAGAGGCTCCACGTCAGGGGCAACGCCCGGGCGTCCGTAGGCAGGTTCTCCGATCAGGAGTTTGAAGTGACCTTCCTGTCGTCTGTGGAGAAGCTCTTTAAATGATGCCATGTCTGTACAAAGTAGGTATTTTATATAATGGGTCAATGCCTTCCTGTGTTAATATTTTTCTAAATTCATTCCATCTTCTTATAACGTCAGCCTAAGCCTGATGCACTTTACATATATAGGCAAGGTATTTATTTCAAGGAAAAAAGGCAAAATTACCTAAATGGAAAAGTAACCTTATATGTTTAAATGTAAAAATTTTAAATTGGTGCCTGGTCTCAAAATCTGAAAAATAGGGGTCTTAAAGGGAAAAAAAAAAAGAAAAAGAAAAAGAACACTGTTAATTTTGATAGAAACCATATTTTTCAAATCTCATTTGTCAAATCACTTTAGTCACCAGGAAAGAGAATTTCCTTTTGGACAAAAGGAAATGTTGAAAGAAAAATGGGTGACCGATCACTGATCAGTACTTTAGGATGGTTCTGACATTTTTGAAACAAAAATTCTGGCACATCTAAATTTTAAACAGTATCGTAGATGACTTTTTTAGATGTATCTAATGAGCTGTTAAAAGAGAAGACAAACTTTAAGCAAGGCTACTCATATTTCAGCTGAAAGATGAACCGACCGTGATGGGTCCGCGCGTGTGCGTCGGCATCTAGAGGCCAAGGCACGGCCGGTAATCTTTTCCATAACTAGGCGTTTGTGAAAACGGTTTTTTGTGTAGTGCTCTCGGCACATTCGAATGGGCCTTTCCTTGTTCCTGAACGTTTCCCCCGCCCCCGCAGAGGCTGGAAGTCAGCTTTCCGTCTTTCAGGAGTCTGAGCAAGCACGTCCCAGTCGGTGGTTTTTCCAGTAGTGACACTGTAACGTACAGATCCAAGAGCACAGTCCCTCTGATCAGCCTCGCGCATTCCAAGATGACAACGTGGCCTTCTGAAGAGAGCACTGGGCCAGCAGTTTGACCACCTGGGCAGGACCTTAGCTTTATCGTTTACAGCCGTCTGATCTTTTGACATTAAAGCTGTTCCTTCATCTTCCTCAGTCTCATCCATTACTATCCATCTGTAACCGGGACATGGTAACGTACTGCCTTCTCAAATAACACGGAAAGTATGTGGAAGTACTTTGAAAATTATGAAAGTTACTGTACCTAAAGGTACCATATAGTAAATGTCTTCTGGAATCCTGTCTTCATCATTGCATCGGGACCCTATGCAGATTCTCGGTTACTAAACCAGTAGCTAGGAATCTGTATAATTAGCAGGACTTCTGTCCTGAATAACTAGCATGAAAAAAATGAACATATGCCTGTGCAGTACGGCTAGAGGGAGCCGCGCCTTTTGGCATTTTCGGCAGTCCTGTTCCGTTCCTCCTAGTTCCGTGGGTGACCCCCTTCCCAGTCTGATACCGGTTCATGTTAGGAGCCTGTTACAGAGGCTTTTCTTTTCCAGTCTTCTCTCCATCCATCCGCCCAACCGTGCATCACCCCCAGTCACATCGTTGGCTTGTCTGCAGGCCGTCTGCTCTCATCAGATGAAAAAGCACCACAACCGAGTCCCAGGATGTGCTGACACAGCAACGTCGCCGCGTGTTGGGGACTATTCAGTTTAGAAAAGAAAGACTGGTGGGAATGGGAGCTGGGAGCGCTGCTACAAGTTCTCTAGTCCAGTTTTGTTTTATTTCCAACTTTACAGGCAGGAAGAATGCAACGAATTTAGACTCCTTCAGTATCACAAAGCTGTTGGATGACAAAATCAGGATTATAACCTGGGCATTCTTATCTCACACCTGCTCTTTGAGGTGGGGTTCAGCCTACCCATCTACTCAAAGAAAACCATGGGGCAAAGATAAAGAAATTGGAACAGAACATGAGTAGAGGATGAAGTAAGGAAGGAAGGAATCTGAAATTCCATTAAATATTTTTTAGACTTGTTTCTCCAAAACAATTTTTTTACAGATTTTATTTATTTGTTTTTAGAGAAAGGTCAAGGGTGGGAGAAAAAGAGGGAAAGAAACATTGATGTGTGGTTGCCTCTCGCATGCCCTTAAATGTGAACCTGGCCCACAACCCAGGCAGGTGCCCTAACTGGGAATCGAACCAGCGACCCTTTGGTTTGCAGGCTGGCACTCAAATCCACTGAGCCACACCAGGCAGGGCCAAAATAATTTTTATTTATCACTAACATTGGAAAATATGATTTGCATATATGCTTACTTTGATGTTCATTGTGTGATATTATTACTCCCCTCTCCCCCAATTGATGAAACCATGAAAAGTATCAAAACAATGTCAGCTGCTGTCTGGAGAAGTTCTAAGTGTCTATCCCTATAAGATGCTGCTTTGGAAACCACAGCAGTAGTGATTCACATTCCTGTTTCCAGTTGTGCATGCTCTTTGTAACCTATTTGTATCTAAATATGATTTAGATATAATAGATGCGAAATCATTATTTGTACCTGATTTAAAAAAGTGGTTTTCCTTATCTTGGATACTTTTCCCAGTATGGTATGTTTATACCCCTCATGTAGTCTCCCAATTCTGAATTATTTATTATCTACTAATACATCACGCTTCACATGCCAAGAAGATCTGTTCATTTAAAAAGGGGGGTAAAAATTTTTTTGAGGCAAAACAAAACCATCTTGTACCCAAGAATAGGTTGGCAGATTTTTTAAAATAACTTTGTTTTAAATAAATATTTCAGACATACAAAACATTTTTGTGAAGCAGACCTTTATTTTAATAATTTTCAGGGTATTTTACAAAATCCCATTATCAATTACCCTGTTAAATTACCCATAGACGGAATTAGGCGGTGGGGCCCGGTGAGATTATCGGTGCTTTCCGAATGTGGTATCTCGTGGCGCATGAATGCGCGCAGGCGCCAGACCTGCGATGCGGATGAATAAATGAGAGCATGTCTGTGCCAAACCTGTGGGTACAAAAATTACCGCTGAAGGGGTCGAGAGCAAAGCGCCCCCAAATGTGCCACCTTGGGCACGTGACTTGCCCTGAGATGAGGGCAGCTGAGACCGCGCGGGACTCACGAGCAACTTTTTCCTCTCCCTTCCAGAATGGACACGTGGGGCCTTGCCCGTATTGAGAGTTATCCCCAGAAATGACTGTATAACCCGCCTTGAAGGGCAGGGCGAACTTCTCAGTACCGAACCCCTGCCCTCCTGTCCCGCAAACGGCCCTCTTTCCGCTGAGGCCCCAGGCCGCCTCCGACACCCGTGGCTCAGAAGGCCACGGCTACCGCCTCCCCCCTTTGTGTCACTGACCTCTCCTGTATATGGGGTTCCCCTACATTTGTAATTAAATTTGGTTATTTTGTTAATTTGTCTGATGTAGATTTGATTATTAGAGCGGCGGAAAGATCCTTGCAGGGGAGAGGAAAGCTGCCTTCTGCCACTTGTGTGTCCCCACAAGAAGTTATGCAAATACGAGGACCAGTTAAACCGCTGTAATTTCCCCGGCCTCTCCCGCTGTTCCTCTGCTACCCATCTGTCCTCTTCCCCACCCAAATCGGAGGCCTCCTCCGGCTTTGGAGAAGCCTCCCTGCTAATGCTCTAGTCCTGCGTGCTCACTTGGGCTCTATGTAAACGTTACAAGGCCCTTGGACGGGAAGATAAGGCTTGGTGTACCTCGTACCATTTAAAGAATGATCAGTTTGATAGCTATCATACATAAAGAGGTGTGACTTTCTAACAAAAGACATTCTAAAAGCACATGCAGTTCTGCTCAATAGTTTCAATTGGACAGATGCGGCCAAGCCTAGAAGCAGAGAAGTAATCAGGGCTGTGTCTCCAGAACATGATTAGCTAACGGCATGTGTACGGTGGGTAAGGCGAATTAGAGGCCGCCGCAGGTTGAAGAGCCTTGCAGGTATGTATACATAGCGCGATGAACACTATCTATTTACAGCGAGGGACTCAAGTCTCGGAATGAGTGATAGCCAGGCATGGTGGCTGTTGCCTAAAGGAGACCTTAGCCAAGCATCTTTTCATTGGCGCAAATCTAACATGCTGATTCTTAAATACTGGCCTTACACATTCATTCCCTTTACTTTTCCCTGCATACCATAACTGACCAACCTTTGGATTTGGGGGATTCTCAGGAAGTGGTGTATGTCCCATTCTTTCAAATACTGGCCAGACAGGAGGATTACCTAAAGATACTGGCTGGTCGGCTATGTCTGAACCAGACAATGTCCTAAAAGTACATTAAATATGTATACGCTGACCGCTAAAAGAGGTGGAAAATTGATGCTGCAGTCCCTCGGGGTATGCATTACCTAGTCTGAAATGAACACAATGCTAAGAAATTTTTAAATAGTCCCACCTTCACGATGGGACCATACTGAGCACTCTCCTTAAAAGAGTAGACTCTGACTATACACCAACTTTAAAGAATAGTCCCTCACATATCACCAGGAAAATAAAGGTGTAAAAGACCTGGACACTTCCCCCCAGTGAGAGGAACCCTGACACATGCGTTCCCCACAGTTAAGACAAGGATGCCAAGGGCAATACTAAGCAGACCTGAGAATAATCTGACCAGCCCCTCCTCATCTTTGTTTTCTTGGGTCAGCAATGTATCAATGTGCAGTTTGGGTCTTGCTTTTATTAGCAGATATGTCAGGCAGACTTCTACCACTTAGAACAACCCTGTCCTTCGTAGCAGCAGATAAATCAACATCTATTAAGATGCAGGCACAATGTTCAACACTGGGATTCTTAAAAAAAAAGTCTAGTTTCCTGACAAAAAGCAGTCTCACCGAGGAAATTTTAATAGCATTTACTCATTCGAGAAACATTTCTGGCACTATGATAAGCACTATATATAAAAACCCCATTATAGGAGTGTATAACCTATACATTTGAAACTATCAAAATAATTCAATAAAACATAGTAAAATGGTATTTTGGTGTATAATTAACAACATGCCTTTTTCCTCTCCTTGCTCAGTTGCCTTATTCCCACATTGTCTTCAGCTTCAAAAAAAGTAATTCGATAGAATAAATTTCAAAATCATGGTTTTATAAAATGGCAGATTCATTATTTTAAATCAATGAGTTTGTATTAGTTTTCTATCACTGTCTTAACAAATTACCACAAACTAAGTAAAACAACACGCACTTCTTAGATTTCTGCAGGTCAGAAGCCCAAAGTGGGTTTCACTAGGCTAAAATCAAGGGTTTGGCAGGGCTTTGTGGGGAAGTCCTTTTCCTTGCCTTCCACAGCTTCTAGATGCCGCCTGCTGTCTTTGGCTTTGGGCCGCTCCTCCGTCTTCGAAGCCGCCAGCAGCCTCCGGCCAGCTGCCCCTCACGGTCCCCCCTCTCATTCTCTCTTCCGCCTCCCTCTTCTCTCGGGCCCACCTAGGTAATCCCAGATAACTGCCCCATTTGAAGATCAGCCGGATTCCATCTGCAACATGAATTCCCCTTGGCATTTAACGTAATACAGTCACGTCTGGGAAGCGGGGAGGCACATTACTTGGCCTAATGTATTATCTGAAAGGTTTCTTAATACAAATTTTAAGGTAAAAGTAATAATTTCTACACCCAAAATTAGTTCTAAATTGTCTAAATTTAGAGAGAAAAATTAGTAAGTCCTTGGGATGACCAGAAAAGCCTTACAATAAATGAGTATTTATGACTTGTACCCAAACAGATACTGTAGTTAATAGATACACAGACATGCTAAAGCTGCCAAGTCAGAGGAGGCCTTGTGTGGGGCCCGAACAAACGCAAAGACCTAAAGTAACCACCTAGGATGGTCTGAATTAAAGCTTTCTAACTAAAAGCAGTTCACGGTAAGTAGCCGCGTCCTGGGCCGGTATGTTTTCCCTAGCAAAGGTCAATCTTTACCTTAACTGAGCCCGTCTGTTGTCTTGTTGCTCTGATAACATACCTTTGGAATGTCAGATTCCCTGTTTCCAGACCCCTGAAAGCACCAGGGGGAGACTTCAAAGCCCCTCCTTGTTACCGTTACCATGGTAACTGTTGACTGTTAACTATCCAGGTCCCACTTGTGTAAGAGCCTCTCATTTTCCTTGTTATCCAGTCCCAGGATTCCCCCTCACCCCACCTTTGCTTTCCCCCGCCTCCCTAATCTATCACCGATGGATTTCTTGTTACCCCCTTACACCGCCTTTTGACTGTAACATATAAAATAAGGTGCTAAACGGCCATTCTCCGGAGCATTTCTCAATGTGTTGAGGTACTGCCTCCCGGCAACTGTTGTCAGTTTGGCTCAAACAAACACAGAAATTCTCTACAGGTTTGGATGTTTCTTACTTTGGCAAATACTAACTAATTGCTTAAGAAAAAAACAATAATCACACTTGTATGTTTTGACTGGTTGTTGATGTTCCTTGGTCTTCATCAACAACAAAAATTTTCCCATTGGGTGGAGTAGAAATGGCCTCCACACCTTCATTTAATTCTGTCCATTTCTGCTTGCTCTTCCCCCTTCTCCTAACTTCTCAGTGTCTGTAGAGGAACTGGAAGCTTCTTCCCTTTTGTCCTCCACTTCGAGAGCAGTGAGTTTCTCCAGGGATTCGACGACTTCATTTCTCAACTCGTCTTCAGATTCTTCAAAATTTCTGAAATAATAAACAGCAAAAATCAATTTCATCATCTGAAAACACTGAAGAACACATAGGGAAATTAGTTTCCCTTCTCATGCCCCACCCCCACCTGAGCAAAATGGAAGTTACACTTTCACCCTCGTCATAAATGATTGATGATACCAGTGTGGTTTTTCTAAGAAAGATAATCAATGTTAGGAGAATCGGTACTCTGTGTAGCTGGACTTGTGTTCAACAACTTTCATTACAATATATTTATTAATACCCTTTATTCTTACATGTAAAAAGAGAAGCGAGAAGAGAAAAAAAAGAAAATAAATGCCATAGAGCAAGCCCTTACGGTATGCCAGTCACGGACCTGGAGCACTTCCCAGATAGCCTCCTCTAACACAAACCAAACCAGAGGCAGATGTTAGCGTCATCAATGTATGAAGAATCTGGGCTCGGAGAAATTAAACAAGGTGCCCGAAGCCTCACAGCTAGTAATCAGCAGGAGTAGGAACTGGAATTGTGTCTAAGGCTGCAACACGGATGCTTTTAGAAGGGAAGAAGGCAAGAGACAGAGAAAACCCACCTCCAAGACCACTCATGCTGAAGTGGCAAGTGAACAAGACTGAGGAAGAGCTGGTAAGAGCCAAGAAGGGTTATCGTGGAAGCCCTGGGAACAGAACTTTTGCAGAAAGAGGGAGCCGCCAAACAGGATGGGGACTGAGCAGTGACGATCAGACCTGGCAAGTTCAGGATGATGAATGACCTCTTGTGAGAGTACGTCAGCGAGCTATGCAGCACGAGCCTGGGAGAAAGCCGTGAGCAGTAAGGCCGTGGTACTGAGGAGCTTTAACTCCTGGGGGTGGGGGAGGGGCGCTAGCTCTGAAGGACAGTGTCATCTCCAGAACATGGGGGCAGTGGTTTGTTGTTGCTTTTGGTGTTTTTCAAGAGGAGAGAGATTCGGGCATGCTCAGAGTAAGTAGGCAGCAGACATTGAAAATACAGGGGAAAGATCACAGAGAAAAGGCTAGGATTTGAGCACCTGTGCAAGGAAGGGCTTCTCATGATACTTTACAAGAGACTGCCAAGAGGTGTATGTTGAGTAAAAGGCAACACCGGCTATGGTAAGTTTACAGAGAAAGATGTGGAGACTGGAAGGAAGTCGGGGCCAGCCCCACCAGGTATCCAAAGGTCTGATAAAGCTGCAGTAATGAAGACAGAAAATCGAGGTAGGGATAGAGGTCACAGTCGCTGGAAACCACGGAGAGCCCCGAGACAGGCCCATGCACCTGGTGACGCCTGACCTCCTTAGCTAGGGCTCTGCAGTCGTCCTTTGAACGGCATTTGAACTTTCTCCTGCCACGTCAGCCTCTCGATAGGGCCTACTTACGTATCATCACCATCATCATCAGATGTCGGCTCCAGGTGGTCCTCATCTACTTCAAGGTCAGAAGCCATTTCTGCCTCCTGCGCATTTTCTTTAGGAGGCCATTGTTCTAATGTTCCCACTGTTAAAGAAACGACAGGGAGACTTAAGCATCCCAACCTACACACCTGGTGAGGGGTATGTGCCAGAGATCCTACCATGAACGTCAACCATAATGGCAAAACCTTTGAAAGGTTTTAAACAAGTAGACCCCCTGGCAGGTGTGGCCCAATGGGTTGAGTGCCAGCCTGCGAACCAAAGGGTCGCCAGTTCAATTCGCAGTCAGGGCCCAGGCCTGGGTTGCGGGCCAGGCCCCCAGTAGGGGGTGTGTGAGAGGCAACCACATATTGATGTTTCTCTCCCTCTCTTTTTCCCTCTCTTCCCCTTTCTCTGAAAATAAATAACATCTTTAAAAAAATAAAAATAAAACAAGTAATGCAGATGACAACTGACACCACAACTATTTTCAGCATTGTACTGAAGCTGGCAGGCAACACACGAGACAAGAAAGAGTCAGCGGAATGAGGACCGGTGGCAAAGAGACAAAATACTCCCACTGTGGGAGTAGATGCTTTGCACACACACACAAAAGTTTTAACCTTGTGTTGTAAAAGTTTAAGAAGTGACATTATTGGACCGCTGTATTCTTTACTGTTTCTATAAAATGAGTATTCAGCTCACTGTTAGCCTCAATAATGCCTTTTACCAGTCTCCGCCCCTCTCTGGCTGGTTTCTGTGCCTCCCTGCGCGGAGCTTGCGTCCCTGCAGCGACCGGCTGCCAGACCTCGCCCCTGCGCGGAGGCTCCCTGTGGGATGCCTGCCCACGCCCCGCGGTCCCCGCCCCGCCCCGCCCCCGCCCCCGCCCCGGCTCCACCCACAGTGACTTCTCTTGCAGCATTTCGCACCTGTGCACCTGAGAGAGGACAAATTCCTCACACTTTAGAAAATGATCCTTGGTTTTCTTTAAAGTAAACAGAAGCATAATTTTGCTAAAAATTGGAGACAAAAAACCCCAAAAGCCAAAACCAATACATATTATGATGTATTTTTATCGCCCATAGTATCATAATTTGAGTGCACTGAAAAGCTGTCAGAAATAGACTGATTCTGTTCAGGCCGGTGGCTCAGTTGGTGGGAGTATCGTCCTGGGCACCAAAAAAGTTGTGGGTTCAATCCCCAGCCAGGATGTTTTCCTGGGCTGCAGGTGCGATGCCCGATCGGAGTGCATACAAGAGGCAACCGATCGATGTTTCTCTCTCTCACTCTCCTTCTATCCCTCAAATCAATAAAAACGTATGCAAAGGTTTTAAAAAAATAAAATAAAAAAAGGAATAGACTGACTCCGTCAGGTAAAGCTAAGCAACACAAGCTCATCATCTATCTATAAGCCGCTCGCTCTCCCTACTTCACTTTTCATCAGTTGTCAACCGATCACATTAAACAATCACCCACCCTTCTCCGAAGTTCAAGTCCTTTGCGAATGGCGTTTGGAACAGGCCTGACCAAGCCAATCAGCTCCTGAAAAGGCTCAGACACCCTCCCAATTCCTTCTCCAGACTAAAGGTATTGTTATCCCCTTTCTACATCTACAAGTCTTGAAGAGGCTTCCCCAGGGGGCTGGTTATGTTCTTAAAAATAAACCACATACCAAATTCTCCTTCACTGGCAGGAAATGAGCTGCTCGTTAGCTGAGCTGCTGCCCAAACGCCCATTAAAGTCCCTGGAGCTTCCCGCCGCCACTGCTTCCTATTTTCGGGACCACTGTTGATTGCCAGCGCTTGGCCGCCCGAGGAGGAGGCTGTGTTATTGCAAATAAAAATGTCTCTTCATTTTAGTTTTTATAAAATCCCAGAATGTTAGAACCTCGGAGGTAACCTTATCTCACCACTCACTTTATTAATAAGAACACTGAGAGATAGGACAGTTGAGTGACCTATTGCCACGCAGCTCGCCGGTAGGAGAGTCACTTTTTGCTATTAACTGGCTATTAGGGTGTGTTACAATTTCTATTCCATTTGCTTTCTCTAAATTAGGTTTCCCTTTTTGTTGACTCGTAGGCTTAGCATGGATTAAATTGTACTACAATACACTTGGCAAGGCTTTTCTTGCAAGTGTGACGAGTTCAGTATTTTGTAATAGTATAAATATGTCAGTTCATACACTTATAATTACTAATTTCAGTGATATACTTACATGCTTCAACTTATAACATGGTTATAAATTTTAGCCCTCCCCCAGCCCCATGTTATCAAAAGGAACATGGAAATAAATAAGAAAAGTCTTCACCATCCATAAAGATAACACCTAGATGTTGCTGTTACCCTCTCCTTAGGAAAGAGTATGCCAGAGCGCACATGAAAACAAAGGAATTCAGATCGAAAGTCTCAACTCACACTAAACACTCCTAACATTTAAATAGCACATTGGTTTCCAAAGCAACTTTAAAAGTTATCTTTACGTTGTTATCTCTCTACATCTTGTGGATAGCTATTAGTTTAATTCCGACTTCACTGATTCAAAAAACCAACCCTCCAAGACATGGTAACAGAGTTACTGGGCCCGCATTTGAAGGCGGATCAAGCGGACTGCTCTTCCTGACCCAAGCATCTTCTCTCACCGTGAGGACAGAGAGATTCTGGGTCTTTCTTCCTGTACATTCTCATAGTTAAGGTGGTCAATAATCTAGGATGCTTAGCAGGCACGTTTCTCCAGAGGTAGGGGAGGAACCAAAACAACATCTCTGGAAGGCATTTGATGCCCAATCTCTAGGGATGTACTGAACACACACCAGCTGCATGTGGGGCCTTGGTCTCCTCTTGCTGGGATGTATGGTGACTGATCTAAATTCACCGTCAGGCCTGGTGCAGCAGGGGGAGGTGACATCGGCCACTGCCACCATCTGCGGCCGAGGCTGAGGGGCTCTAGCATCCCACTGTCTCCTGTTTTCTGCAGCAGCGCGTCCTGGATGGACAACTCTGGAGATAAGAAAGTCGTTCATTAGTTTAAAAGCAGCGGGAGCGTGGCTAATTGCAACGAGGAGTTCCTAGGAGAGGTGGAGGCGGTCTGTGAGCTGGCCCTGTGAGCTGGCCAGCTCCGAGCCGGAGAGAAACCACCGCTGCCGCGTGCACCTGGACTGCCACAGGCTGCGTGTTTCTATTTCACCCTCAGGGTTGAATGTTGAAACCTGATGCTCTGTGAGGCGTCAGGAGGTGGGGCCCTGGGAGGTGATCCCGGTGTGAGGGTGGAGCCCTCGAGAACAGAATCAGTGCCCTTAGGAAAGAAACCCCAGTGAGGTCCCTCACCGTTGACGCTCCATGTAGACGCGAAAGAGATAGAATTGGGCCCTCGTCAGTCTTCAGGTCCCCCAGCCCCATGCTCCAGGACTTCCAACCTCCAGGACTACGACATAAGTGTGGCTTATCAGCCGTCCAGTTGATAATATTTGGCTATAGCAGCCTGAACTAAGACACAGATCCTATTTCTAAGACAGAAGGTATATAAGCAGGTTTAAAATCACTTCACTTTTATTAATAACACTTGATTGACTAGCTAATGTATCTAAATGTTAAAGAAATATTAGTGAACGAAAGGGCAAATTCCGTGAAGCATTTACGAGAACTTCTGCTTTACTTTGTTTCCATGGAAATGCATTCGGTTCCCTTATCTCAATATCTAAAATAACTTGCGTGAACCATTTCCTTATTTATTCATGTATTAAATTATGGGACATTTAAAAGTCAAATACATAGAAGAAAATTAAAATCACCCATAATCCCACTGCCTGGAGACCATTAAAAGTTCAAAAATTTCCCCCTGCATATATAGTTGTTTTGAAACAAAAAATGGGCCATATACCACACGCCTTTTCAAACTTTGCTTTTTTTCAATTAGCAACATACCCTATCCAGATTGTTCAATATTCTTCTATACAACCGTCTGAAAGCAAACGTAGCTTTCTCTCACATGTAAAAATTTAACTAATTTTTTCTTGCTGGATTTTTAGGTTGCTAAAATGTTTTCACTATTATAAATAATACTATAATGAATTCATTGATAGCTAAATGTTTTGTGGACATTTATGATTACTGACCCTAGATAAACCATCGAATGTGACAAGTGTAGGAACCAGTATCATTTGCGCTACCAAAACTTTTAATGGTTGAAGTTGACTCTATTACTAATTTATTCTGTGACTTTTTTTCCCCCATACATATTTGAAGAGCGAGTTCTTCCCTGTCCGGGGGGAAAAAGAAAGACTTGCCTCTATTCTTCCTACTTAGCTGATAAAGCAGCAGCAGGGCTGAGAGGGCTGACCCCAATTTCGAACTGAGTTCTCCTGCAGGTAAAATGCTGTCTAACAGCATCACATGTGACAGAAAAATCGCTTGTGGAAGGAAGAGTCAACCAACGTGGCAAATTTCGTTGTTTTCTTATTTTTAAGAAACCGGCACAGCCACCCAACCTTCGGCGACCACCTCTGTGATCAGCCAGCAGCGCCAGCTTCGGGGCAACGCCCCCCACCAGCAAAAGGGTTATGACTCGCTGAAGGCGCGGAGGATGGTTAGCATTCTTCAGCCATAAAGTATTTTTCAATGAAGGCATACACTTTTTTTTTTTTTTTTAGGCACAATGCTATTGCACACTTAAAAGACTACACTAGAGTGTAAATATAAGTTTTATGTTCACTGAGAAATCCAAAAGTTCTTGCGACTCACTTTACTGGGATATTCATTGTGGTGGTCCAGAACCAAACCTGCAATGTCTCTGTGTACGCCTGTTTGGCTGGTGACAGCTTCGTTGATCTGAACTAGAAAACAGGGAGGATCCCGGTCCCTCTTCCCATCCTCAAGCCCGCGCTCAGCGGTTCACGCTCTGCGTCTGTTTCTCACAGCCCTGCTCCGGCCTGCACACCTGCCGCATCCCACCTGGGCTCTTCCCCGGCCTTCAGCCTGCTCGCCACAGCCCCCTGCACACGGCGGCCAGCCCGGTCTTTCTCCACCACAAAGAGGGTTTAATACCCTTGAACTGAAGGTCATCACCAAAGAGGAAGCCCCAGCCCCGTGGCACGCCCAGCTGTACAAGAGCGGGCACGTCTCCGAGTCTCCCACCGGCCCGCTCTCCCGCAAGGATTTGCCTTTCAGACTCCGAACACACGTCTTGTGCCTGTAGCTCATGACACCTCTGTGATGTCGCGGTCTCATTCATCTTTGAGATTCCCTACCATCCAGCACAGCCTGTGGCCCAAGGGAGATGTTCAATAAGGTGCCTGCTGAATTGAATAAAGATGTTTGCAGAGGGAGCAGAAGGTGAACCAAGCCACGCGTGAACGCTCGCACCGCTGTGCAAGGGTCCCAATACAGTGAAGATGAGGGGCCGTGCTGGGGCGGGGAAAGTGGTCGGCACAGGATCGGGCCGCTCAGCGTCGAATGTGACACTGCGTGGAAGGGACTGTATCTACAGGCAGTATCGAAACAGGCAACTTTCTTTGAGTCGGGTAATGATATGACAAGATAACTAGCAGTCACTTAGAAAAGGAAAGGGAAATAGTAGAGACAAGTTGGACAGGTGGGCCAGCCAGTGAGGGGAAGAGAAAGGGCGCATAAAGGACTAGCGTACACCCAGCACGTGCCAGGCACTTTGTATACCAGCTCTCCCTTCCACCCTCACAGGAGGCCAAGGTGGCAGGTGCTATCTACCATCCCCTGGTCCTAGGAGGAAACTGAAATGCGGAGGGTTTCAGGAACCCGCGAGAGGCCACACAGTTAGAAAGGGGCAGTGCCCGCGGGATTCACACTCCCGCTGGCGTCCAAAGCCCGGGCATCTTCCACCCCGCACCCTGCTCAGAGACAGCGCCCCTGGCCCAGCAGCAGGGCGAACGGGGGCGGGGAGGGAGAAGACTCCAGCTCGGCATGGAGACCACCCTGAGCGGCAGGGACCGTCAGCCTGGGGACGGAGCTACCGAAGTAAAGGACCACTGAGGAGGAAGGGCTCCCAAGTCTGGCTGCACCCACTCTGAGTGTGAATTGCTAGTGGGACGTTTCCAGCAGAAAATGAGAACAATGGACGCATGCGGCGCTGCAGCCTGGGAGACCTGAAGCTGAGGGAGCAGGTGGAACAGCCCAAGAAGAGAGTGGAAGGAGCCAGGGAGGAGGGTGGGCGGAGCCAGCGCGGGGCCGGGGAGCGGGCAGAGGCGTGGAGCAGCAGCCGGGGAGAGCAGGGGGCACGGGCCAGCAGGGTCGGGGGCCGAGGGTCGGGGCGGGGGCGGGCCGCGGGTTGCGGGGCGGGGGAGGGCGGAGCTGGAGACGGATGGCTAATAAAGCCTGTCCTTCCCACCTACAGCTTTTCAGGTTGGCGTACCTGCTTCCGAGCAGCAGTGTTTTTCAAATGCTTCCTCTGCATGATCCTCACACTCCTTTATGCCTTCATTTTCCTTGAACTTCATGCCATCCTCAAAGGTCAAAGTTTCATTTAGTACGTCCGTGGCCTAAAGCAATTCCATAGTGTTTCAAGAGAAATAAGCCATATTTTGAAAACAAAACAAAAGATGTGCTCCCAGTAATAACATTTACCAAGATACAGGGCAAGTATTCAATATAGCTACAGGTCTGGCACAAATAAGGCCCCTTGTTTTTATTACAAAATCTTTTATTACAAAATCACAGGCATGTGATTCTGTAACATAACAATATCACACTCAAACATACCATAGGACGTTTTAGGTGAAATGTTCAAATTAAAACTGGAAATTATGACACCCATAGTATTACCCTACCAGCTACACTCAAGCAGGCATTACTTCTGCCACACCCTGTATGTTAAGTAAATAAATCAGTAGAGTTTTGAGAGTGAAACTACGCTGGAACGAGGGAAACAAGGACATTTTCATTGCTTTCCCGCATCAGCGGTGCCCAGCACCGACCACACGGCCGCGTACTTTGGCCCGGACTTCCTGCCTTCGGTGTGAGCTACTGCGGTCCATCTGACAGCATCCTCATGGCTACTGTCCCTGGGCCCTGCTTTAAGGACACAGCCTCCCCCTGCCCTGGGTCCCTAAACTGCTCCCAGCACCCCACAGTCCAAGCCCAAGTGACCGCTGTGTTTCAAGCCCACCAAAGCACAGAGTAATAAAGGATGAGCGCTCTAGGGGACAAAAACCCTTGGGCCCTGTTCTTGGACTCTTGCAGGCCAGCGTTCGCACCTCACTTCGCACGCGCCGTGCTGGGTCACCTTGGGTCCCCACCCGGAACGGGTCCCCCTCTCTGCCCCCTCTGGTCCTCCCAGCTCTGGACACTGAGAGGCCACGTGGTGAAGTCGAGGTGTACGCTCATCGTCACCAACCTAATGAAGTCCTGTGTAGCAAAAGGCTAGCAAAAATCTGAGAGACAGGTGGAGCCCAAAGGGTTTTCAGGGCAGCAAACATACTCGGTGTGATACTGTAACGACGGCTACATGTCATGAGACATTTGTCCAAACCCGCAGAATGTCCAACACCAAGGCTGAGCCCTAATGTCAACTATAGACCCAGGGTAAACAACGTGTCTGTGTAGGGTCGTCAGTTGTCACAACTGTTCCACTCCGGTGGGGGGCGCTGTGCATGTGCGGGGGCAGGGAGGGGTACATGGGAAAGCTCTGAACTTTCCAGTGCATGTTGCCGCGACTGCTCAAAACATGAAAGTCTATGCAACAAACAAGCAAACGGGTCCTTCACCACACACACACAAATCTGAAAGAAATGATAACATTCAAAAGGTTTAAGCTCATAAAGAACATGAAAGAAAGAAACTGGCTATTAGGTATGAGACAGAACATACCCGTATTTAACTTTTGGTCATTTAAAAGGCAAATTTGGAGAAGGTGAAATGAAAACACAAATCAGTTCATTTTGATATTTGTTATCTGGTCTAGCAAAAAGTGGGATCGAAAAAGATATTGAACTTGAGTAATAAAATGAGGCTTGAGTTTACTCTCATTGTGTATTTATTGCTCTATCAATGAGAGCCCAAATGCATAACTGAGCTTTATCCAAAGACCAATACAGAGACCTAAGATAAATGTGTATGGTCTCGGGGTACCTGCTCAATTTTTTTAGGTTAAGTATATTCATTTTTGACCATGCATTAGGTCTTCTATTTTAATTTGGCTATGATTAAAAGTTAATCTCATAGGAAAATAGATACTTTATAAGAGAAAAACAAATTAAATTGTAATAATCCATATAAAGGAATAACCATAATTTCAAAAAGAATGGGAGGGTAAAAAGTATTTTGGAAGACTTATTTGAACATCAGAGATCCTTCTAGAAAGATTTAAGAAAACTCCCCTACTCCCTCTGGAAAAAGTAGCATGAAACATGCTGCGAAGACACTCATTTTCTTGCCCCTACTAATGGAAATATATACTTCATTACATACCTCTTCCTCTTTGAGAGTATTTTCATCTGAAATACATTCGTCTAAATTAATTTCAAATTTTACCCCTCTCTAGAAGAAAGCAAGAAAAAAAAACCTTAGTTCAGCAATCCAATAAAAACCTTAAATTATAACTCCCTCTTTGGCATTATAGATACTTAAAACCAACAGTCTCACGTTACACAACAAAGCAATTCCGCAGAGCAGTAAGAGGAGAAATACGGCAGGGGACCCACCCCTGCCAGCTTCTTAATATGAAACCAAAAGACAAAATGTTGATTACCTTAGCTTTACCTTTTTGTTCTGCATTTTTACTTTCCTTTATGTTCTGAAGTTTAATTTGTTTCAAGTCTCTTTCAATACCCTGAAAGTTGAGAGAAAAATGAAAACATAGCATTTAATGTTGATCAAACCATTGTATCTCCACACTCCCTGAAATCACAGCATGGTATGCTTCCGTTGCTTGATTTCTGGATTGAATCCGATGATTGACATTAGAATAAAAACATGCCTTTAAAAGTAATTCACTAAAACTTGGGGACAGCGTCCATTAACTCAGAAGATGAATACACTTATCATTGGCACTGTGATGGGGACAATTCAATAACGGAACAATGCTTTTCACTCCAGGCCAGTCCCGTGCAACCTAATTCAATTCAAAGAGGTAATTTTGACTACAGCATCCTTTCCTTAAGATGATTGTGATTTTCATTAGGCAAAAAAAAAATAAAGCACACAGCTCATTACAGTAAAGAAAGGAGAGAGCTCTAAACATTGACAAGACTTTTAAGGAAACAGTCGCGAGGTGAACTTCAAATGCTGGGCTTTCCCAGGGTTCGGCTCCGGGCCTCACCCCGTCCTTCCTCAGCACAGGACAGCCCAGTCACGCCTGGGGATGTAAACGCCATCTTAATGCAGCGGCTCCCAAACGTGCGTCTTTGGGTTTGCTCTTTTCTCCCCACTGAGCTTCAGACTCACACATTCAACTGCCTCCTTAGCATCGCCTTCACTTCCATATTCATTCCATAAATTCATACGGAGCTTCCCCCACCACCGTGGCCAGACACTGTCCAACAGGCTAGTGCAGCGGATGCGACCGAATGGTCCCCGCCGACACAGAACTTACTGGAGTAGGGCAGGTGGTAATAAATGAATTCACGAAGGAACATCATAACTTCAGAAAGCGTTAGGTGCTCTGAAGGAAGTAAGATAGGGCAGTAACATAGAGTCGGGGACGAGAGTCACGCAGGAGATGACGATTTGGTATTCGCTCTACGCCCTGGAACGGTACTGCACCTTGGCCCATGAGGGTCTGGGGAAAGCATCTTCCCTCCGAGAGGTGAGCAGGCAAAGCCCCGAGGCAGGCATGCGACCTCAGGTCTTCTCTAGTCAGCAGGCCCAGGGGGAACTCTTGGTTGCCTCCCACCCCACGCTCTCCCCCGACTGTCTTCCCCGCCTTAGGACACGCTACTACCCTTTCAAGTCAGAAACGCGTGACTCTCCACAGTGTGCCTGTGTGTGCATTTTTAATGCTCTCCTCTCTCGACCATTGTACAGTAGGTCTCCATCACCTGTCCCTTAGAATCAATTACTGCTCACCTGCGTTACCACAGCCTTTGTACATACTTCACATAAAGCATGTGACCGTTTGAATCCTTGTTAGTTAGTTGTTTTCCCTGCAGCCGTGGGGAGGCCGCTTTTCTGCCGTGAAAGTGTCATGCACTTGGAAACAGGCCTGTGACTTTGTAGCTGACCTACACTGGTGAAGTTGGTTGTCTGATTTGATCGTGCAGTCTGGTAGTCTCCACTTGTGCAAGAAGGAGGATGTTGCTTTATTTTCTTTAAAATACAACTGTCTTAGACGCCAATGGGTCTGAGACCAACGCAAACACCATCCAGAAAGCTGAACGGTCAGTCGTAGGTTACTGAGAGCAGTTCCGCAGCTTGGCCGCCCGGGTGCCCGGCCAGCTTCCGAGAACACCAGGCTGGGCCCCGCCTCAGACCAGGCCTGGGAGTTTCTAAGCATTTGCCCCCAACCATACCACACTCTGAGGGGCAGCCCCCCCCAGGCAGGAAAGCCCGCTGGGAAACACAGAAGCGCCTCACGACACCCATCACCTGCACAGGGGCGTCTCCATCAGGTGCACCGTGGCGGACGGGCAGGTCACTCTTCTTTACCACATAGGTTTTGTGACTTATCTTCGAGTCTTCCTTTAACACAAACGACATAGTCAGCTAGAGGGATTCAGCATCAGTTCTGGGGGACTTTATAGCATTAACCTTGGCCAGGTTTGGACAGGACCTAGAGAGGGAGTGTTTTCCGCCTGCCGTTCCGGGGGCGAACCAGGCCAGCGGCTGGACAGAGCTCTCCCCGTGGCCCCTTTTCCCTGCGGCCGCCTTGGTATTCCCTAGTTCCCTGAGCGCTTACTTCCTGGCCTCTCTGAACATGCGGCTCTCCATCCTTCCCGGACTCAGGTTTCCCATCGCAGGCCTCCTTTAAAAATAAGGCTGCCGATGGTACCACACTCCCCCCGCTCCCCTGCTCGGAAGGGGGATGCCTCCAGCTCGCCCCTCCCGGCACTCGGCACACACAGCCTTCCATCTGAACCTCTGCGTGAACCTTCCAGAACGCCCTCCTCCTTGGCTCTGCCTCTTGGAACCCTGCTCCTTCTCAGAGCCCAACTTAGGTTTTCCTTTCTTCTTCATAAAAATCCTCACCTGCTTCTCCTCACACCCATGCACTTACAGAGCTCCCTGATGTTCCGTCTTATACAAAAAAAATTGCTTTATACACATACGTCTTCTGTTTCCAACTATTTACGCATAGAAGAGCATGTGTTAGAAAGAGTAGAGGTTTTAGGATCAGGTATTTATTTAGTCTGCCTCATGCAGATGAGTTACCTCTCTGTACAGGGAGTGAATGAGTTAAAGCAGGCGAAGCTCTGGTACCTACAACTGCACCGTATACTCATTTGTACTGTACACTCATTTCACCTGTATTAATTGATCTGTAGGCACGCGGTGGTGGGGGCGATGGGGAGAGGGACAGGTCAATTTTTTGGCAGTGTGGATGGTTTGCTCCGTGAATAGGCAGCTCACAGGCAGGTGAAATGGGGGCCCTGCTGGGTCCTGTCCCATCTATAAGGGGCCTGTCCCATAACGGGCCCCTTATAGGAAGAGAATCCCAGGGCACAAAGCGTGTGGCGACCACGTGTCTCCAAACATAGGCTGGCTATTTTGTTGGGAGTTCTACTGAAAAAGCTGTGATCTAAAAGATGGAAGAATGTGTGTCCCATGTGATACCTTAAAGGGATTTTCAAGAATCATCTCAGCTGCACTCAGATGTTGCCTCTGATGAACGTTAGAGAGCCTTACCCTTGCATGTGACACTATCTCAGTGGTGGAATTCAGTAAATGCTGGTCTTTTTTCCCCACCGTATGGGCATGAACTCACTTCATGCATCTAATCCAGTTCAGGTGTGGTGTAGCTGCTCAGTCAATAGTTACTGACTGATTCTTGACAAAGACAATCGACAGGCATTTTCCGTAATCCCCACACCTAACTGAGAATGTCAGACACCCCCATCATCTCTGTTGCCCCAAGTATATCGCCACAAAGCAAGGTTTCAGTGGGGTCTGCGAGCTTTCCTATCAAAGAGTTTGTATGATAAAAAGCCATCGTTTCTACGAGATCCCCGCTTTTAACACCAGCTCACTGTAGTTAGCTCCCAGTCAGTAGTAGGATGTGCCCCGTGGGGGAAGGAATTTATTTACCTCCCGCTCACTCCCCAGCTTCTTTCGGATTTCCTTCATGTCGTTGTGATACTGTTGGCGTATGTCCTCTAACTGCAGCCAGTATTCCTGGAAAGCAATCCCAACCCAACATGTTTAATGTCTGTGAACACCTTAACGTAATAATGTCTATACACTTTAAAATGTGTGATACGTAACCAGAATTAGAAAACCTGCTGCTCCTAAAGACGATGATGTGCCTTCTGCTTTGGCTGTGGAACGTCCCTCCCTGTCACACAGTGGCTTGGGGTGACCTCACTTCCATAAACAATCTCAAATGTGTTCGTGCCATTCAGTTCCTTTATGGATCCTATTGTCGGACACAATCCTGTTACGGGTAGAATTTTCTCCCCCTAGAAAAGATGTGTCGGAGTCCTGACACCCATTACCTCAGACTGTGACCTTATTTGGAGACCGTCATTGTAGACGTAATTAGCTAATGGAAGATGGGGTCACGCCCCTAATCCAGTGTGACTGGTATCCTTTCAAGAAGATGGCCATGAGAAACCAGCGACACACAGGGACAGTGCCATGTGACGATGGCAGAGAAGAGAGACATGCAGCTACAAGCCAAGGATTGCCAAAGTCGGCCGACAAAACACCAGAAACTAGGAGGAGGCAAAGAGGTCCCCCACGGGTTCCCGAGGGCACAGGACCCTGCCAACACCTTGACTTTGGACTTCTAGCCTCCAGCGCTGTGAGATGGCACAGTCCTGTTGTTTGAAACCACCCCATTTACTGTACTTTTAGGCAGTCCCAAGTCACTAATATGAATTTCAAAACTCAAAATAATGAGACGGCACTGACTGTATCAGTCCAAAGCCCAGAGCCTTATGAACTTAGCTCTGCTGCGTTCCGAGGGAAGGGGTATCCCCGTATCGCCGCACACCCCGAGCACGGGGCCTCGCACAAGTGTGTCCAGCAAGTATTTGTGCAACAGGCTCTTCCAGGTGTGTAGTGCAAACACTAAAAGTAGCTCCCCATTGTAGTCCAAAAGGGTGGCCCTGAAATCAGCCTGGTTTTAACCTGCTCCTTCACTTTGTTTCTCCTGAACAGCAGCTCCCGGGCTCTAGGTTCTTCTCCATTACTTCTCAGCTCTTGTCTCTTGTTGTGACTCCGCTCAGCAGAAGATGGACGAAGGCCCTATTTTTTGAATGAAATGATTTATAAAGCATTTGGAAACCCATTCTGATCTGACCTTGACCTTTTCTTTTCAACAAGAATTATATTCCCGATTAAATTCAGTGCCTGGGAGTTGTTTTTAGAGTGAACAGTAAAATTTTCTTAAGTACAAAACATTAAAAAATGAAAGAAAATAAAATCATTTGTGTTGTTTACCGAGAGAAATCAATATTTTATGCTACCATATGAGTCACCTAGATTCATTTCCTGAGCTGGCAAATTATAATTGTTAAATTAAAAATCAGTGAAAGTTTAGCAGCTTCTGGAGCATGAGACTAGGTGAGGGGCTAGAATGGGGCGTTTTAGCAGTTCCGAATCAGAGCGCTGCAATAGGGTGAAGATATCCGGCCTCCCTTGGCCCCCAAATTTTGACACTATACTCAACAGTAAAGGTCAACTTTCATTTCAAATAAAAAACAATAGTCACATTTTAAAAATGTGTAGAATTCTAATTGAAATTAAATCAAAGACTTACAGCGCGGAAGGGGAACTTGAAGCATATCGACTCCAAAACTATCATTTTCAGAACAGGAAGGTGAGGTTGCATCACCTGCCTAAGGTCGCAGAGCAAGAGATGGGGCCAGGGAAGAGACCAGGATTCCCAGACCCTGAGCCAAGCATACTCCCATTACTCTTTTTAAGTTATTACAAACTGAGAAAGGTGGAAGGTAGTTTTGATCCTGTCTATGCAATGAACTTTTTGACTTAAAGATTTGTGAATAGAGACACTATTCACTAGGAAATTCCCAATTGCCTCTCATATTTGGTATTTGACTCACCAATTGCTTTTCTACTTTCAACTTGTATTGCTGAGCTTCAAATTTCCTTTGAAGGAATTCAGCAGGCCTTAGGGAACAGAAATGGTTGGCTTGAGTGTAGAAATTTTAACGCGTCTTAGTCACTGATTTGACAATTGGGTTTCTAGCTTAATAATGAGAGTCACAATTCACCTGTGGCCTCTCTACCACATTATGTGAGAGTTTGGGAGATAAAAATCATCTATGATCAAAATAATCGATAGTTTGACAGCTTTCATACCTAGACAAAGAGTGGAAGACATTTTCTGTTGAGAAAGAGCAAGGGAGTTTTGTGTCTACACCTATGTAGAATACACATCACTTGTGAGTTGACTCCTACATGACTGTTATAATTTGAAGAAGTAGGACACACCACTTTTGATAATCATGGAGGTCACTGAAAATGCCTCATGAAGGTGGATAAAACTATAACGGCACCGCTATCTTTAAAAACCAACCGTCTGCTTTCCCCATAGCTAATCTTTTCATTGGCTATCTCATAGGCTCACCACCGCATAGTCTCTTGTGTTTTCATTATCCATCCAAAATTTCAACAACAAATAAAAACCACAGTCACCAAAAGTTAGCAAATGCCCACCCCTGAAAGAAAAAATGTGATGATGAAAGCATTTTAAAAAACTGACTCTCAGACTTAGGTCTTCAGGACTGTGGATGGGTGTCAACTACTCTGAACACAGGAACTGATATCGGTGTGAAAGAAACAATGGAAAATATTATAGATATGCAAAAATTTGTTATGGAGTAAATTTTATTCAAGTCTGCCATGAAAGCAGTTTAATAATATTGTTTTTTAAAATATATCCATATTCTGAAAAGCCCTAAGACTATAAATGCTGAATGAAATACATTTCACTTTCCAATATGTCTCAAATGATCATTTAATTATAATTCAATTATTAGTGATGAACCTCTAGTAATATGAAACACATACAACTATCTTCATGAGTCCTAGGCGGTGGAATTTACTAGAAAGAAGAAAAAATATTAAAAGCTCCAGAGTACGAATCTGTGCTCATAGTTAAATGGCTGCATGAATAAGAAGCTCCATCAAACTTGAGATGGAAAAGGGTCAAGGAATTACCGAAGTGGTCACTGTGTAAATTACATAAATGCCTAATCACTGTGTTGTACCCCTGAAACTAATATAATATTGTGTGTCAACTGTAACAAAGAATTTAATAAAAATTAAAAACATAAAATGGGTCAAGGGAACTGTGAATTAAGTATTTGAAATGATGAGTTTGGAAGTTCTTAGATTATTTATTGTAGGAGAGTGTGGAAAGCTTGCAGAGTCAAGAACATTGGTATTTTAAGATGTTTTCAGAGGGCAAGGTTAAAATTAGACAATGACATTACCATTGACCTGCGGACGGATGGTGGCTTTCTTCCTGGCAATAATTCTCCTTAACTCCGGTCTTTTTCTGAGGAACACAATGGTAACTCGGCTCATGGTCTCTCTTCCTCAACAAGTCAAGTTGAGCATAGTAATAGTCATAATGGCCACACACTTTAGCAGGTTTGGGCCTTTCTACCATTTTTATCTAAAGGATTAATACGAAGAAAGGTTTTTTAAAAAACACAAATCTATAATTGACAGTTTGATAGTGGCCATAGCTAAGCCAAGGCATTGAAAATATATTTTTTGCTGATTTGGCTTTAGAATTGTTTTCAGATTAAAATAATTTTAGAATCTCCAAATTCTAAAATTAAAAAAAGAATTGAGCCAGAAGGTTGAGGTGAGAGGAGGCAGATCTTGAGGTTTCTTGACTTTTGCTGACATGCCCCCGGGCTGAAGCTCGTGAAAGCCAGGCTTGGAGCTCAGTGTGGTCCTTCCTGCACACACCGAGCCCAGAAGAGGCAGCCACAAACTGAGGATGACTTTATGGCTCCATTAAAGAACTTACAAAAGAACAGCGAACAAAGGACAAAGTGAATAGAAGGAAAAAATAATAATGTCAGAACAGAAACAAATGAAATAGAATCTTTAAAAAATAATACAAAAGATCAATGAAACCAAGAGCTGGTTCTTTGAAAAGATAAACAAGATTGACAAACCATTAATAGGGCTCATCAAGAAAAAGAGAGAGAGAGAGGATCCACATACATAAATGAGAACTGAAAGAGAAGTACCAACTGACACCAAAAACAAAATACAAAGAAAATCCTCTGAAAAACTACATGACCAAAAATTAGACAATCTGGTTGAAATAGATAAACATACAATTTTCCAAACACACAATCAGGAAGAATCAGAAAATCTGAATAGACCAATTAAAACTAGTGATATTGAAGTAGTAGTCGAAAAACTCCCAACAAACAAAAAAGTCCTGGACTGGAAGACATCACAGGTGAATTTTACCCAACATTCTAAGAAGATCTAACAAGTGTCCTTCTCAAACTACTCCAAAAAATTTAAGAGGAGGGACAATTTCCAAGCTCATTTTACAAGGCCAGCATTATCCTAATTCCAAAACTCACTAAGGACACTAGCAAAAAAAAGAAAAAGAAAATTATAGGCCAATACCCTTGATGACCATAGATGCAAAAAACCTCAACAAAATATTAACAAACTGGATCCAGCAATACATTCAAAAGATCATAAATTATGATCAAATGGGATTTATTCCAGAAATGCAAGGTTGGTAATATATATGGAAATCAATTAATGTGATATACCACATAAAATAAAGGATAAAATCACATGACATATCAATGGATGCAGAAAAAGCATTTGATAAAATCCAACACCCATTTGTGGCTTAAAACAAACAAACAAACAAAAAAACACCTCTCAGCAAAGTGAGACTAGAGGGAACATATCTCAATGTAATAAAGGCCATATATGACAAACCCGCAGCCAACATCATACTCAATTGGCAAAAACTACAAGTTTTTTCCTTAAGGTCAGGAGCAAAACAGGGAAGTCGGCTTTCACCACTTTTATTCAACACAGTATTGCAAGTCCACGCCACAGCAATCAGACATGAAGAAGAAATAAATGTCATCCAAATTGGAAAGGAGGAAGTAAAACTGTCATTATTTGCAGATGACATGATACTGCATATAGAGAACCCTAAAGATTTCACCAAAAAACTACTCAAACTGATAAATGATTTCAGTAAAGTGGCAGGATAAAAATAAATATCCAGAAATCAGTTGCATTCCTATACACCAATAATTAACGTTTAGCAAGAAAACTAAGAAACCAATCCCATTTAGTATTGCAGAAAAAAAATCCCTAGGAATAAATTTAACCAAGGAGGTAAAAGACCTATATTTGAAAAATTATAAGACACTGAATAAAGAAATTGAAGAAGATACAAACAAATAGAAGCATATACCGTGTTCTCAGATAGGAAGAAAAAACAATTAAAATGTCTATATTACCCAGAGCAATCTATAGATTCAACACAATGCCTATCAAGATACCAATGAGGTATTTCACAGAACTAGAACAAATACCCAAAAAATGTATATGGAACTACAAAAGACCCTGAATAGCCACAGCAATCTTGAGGAAAAAAGAACAAAGTTGGAGGAATCATACTACCTGATATCACACTATCCTACAAGGCCATAGTAATCAAAACATCATGGTACTTGAATAAAAGGAGACATACAGATCAATGGAACAGAACAGAAGAGCCCAGAAATAAACCCACACCTTTATGGTCAATTAATATTTGACTAAAGAGGCAAGAACATACAATGGGATAAAGATAGTTTATTCAATAAATAGTGTTGGAAAATTGGAGAGATAACATACAAAAATAAAAATGAAACTAGACCACTTTCCTACACTGTGCACAAGAATAAACTCAAAATGTATTAGACTTAAATGCTAGGCTTGAAACGGCAAAAAAAATCCCAGAATAAGACATATGCAGTAAAATCTAGGACATTTCTCATAGCAATATTTTTATATATATCTCCTCAGGCAAGGGAAACAAAAGGAAAAATAAAAAATGGGACTACATCAAACTAAAAAGGTTTCACACAGCAAATTTAGTGAATAAAATAAAGTAACAAAGGAGAAACAGACTCATAGATACAGAGAACACACTGACAGCTTTCAGAGGGGAGGGGTTTGGGGTGGGGTGAAAAAGTTGAAGAGATAAGTAAAAAAAGGACAAAACTCATAGACGGGTAACAGTATGGTGATCACCAGAGAGACAGGGAGGTGGAAGGAGGGAGGAGAGGGTAAAGGGGGTTAAATGGTGACCGAAGGAGACTTCACTTGGGGTGGTGAACACACAATGCAATGTATTGTACAAGCTTTTAAAATTTCTTTAATAAAGTTAAGCCACATTCTATCAAAATGAAGAGCAATAATTTAACTAATCTTTTCAAAAATCTGTTTATACACCAACCTATTTTCTAATGTCTATATATCATGTAAACACTTAGGAAATGTACTTCCAAATGGCCCTATAATTATACCATGAGCCTTCTTTAAAAATATAATTCTTCAATTAAAAGACAATAGCCATTTTATTATTTATATACTGGCAGCATTTCACTAGCAGGAACTAAAAGATTCAACACTCTGCTGAACTGTATTCAAATAACTATGCATAAACAACCCCTAGGAAAAAAATCAGTGATTACATAATTAAAAATTCCCAATGATATATAACATGTCATATTTAAAGTATAAAATGCATAATGTTTCCTGCCACTATACTATGCCACTCACTTATCTTACATAGGAAACCTTCTTTATGTAAAGAAATGAAAAAAATTTTACATAAGACAACCAAAACTAATGTATAGAATACTTATAAGAAAACATAGCATTGTTTTAAAAACATTTAACAACTAGAAATTGTCCAATACAGGTCCACTCTAATGCTCATTGCAGATTTTATTAAGTATAAAACTAACCAACTCCAAAGTAGTGAGCTTGTACCACGTGAACATATGTAAGTAAGTGTGTAGACTATACCACCTGCCGAGGACCCAGAAAAAGGGTTTGGTCTGACTCACAGGGATGGGCTTCGGGCTTCCAGCTGGCGGCCTCCATTCGTTTCTGTATACTCTAGCCTCCCTCTTCACTGGCACCGATATTCTTGGTCTTGGTAGGCACTTCCCCCGGAATCTCTTTCTCTGTATCTTAGAATCTTATTTAAGCAAAATAAAATAACTTCAATTTAAAAAAGTGTTCCCATCTTTAATATTGTTGCTTATGAGAGTATAAACAGACGGGACATTTCAGAGCACATAAGTTTACTCTACCCAGACATATTTATTCCTAGTGAGAAAGGCGCTAATGCAAAATTGTTATGCATTTTCTTTGAATGGAGAAAACCATTTTTCCTGGGTTCCTTTACGTATTCCTAGTAACAGATAGTACTATTTTTTTAAAAAATAAAAGTTAACATTATAAAATGTTTACAAAACATTTTTACAAAACCAATAGGCAGACAATAATGGCATCTGTAATTCAACACTGTTGTCAGAGCTTGGACCATCAGGCCACGCCATTCACACCACGTTGTTTGGAATGGAGGAGTGGGTCTTCCGATGCCTTCTCCTGGTCACCATCACCATGTGTTCTGGTTTTCCTACCTTTCCTGTGTTAAACATGCAGCCAGTACACTTTCTCTCGTCCTCTGCTTACCTCCTTTCTAACATTCTCAATCTAAACTGATATCTAACAGTGCCAAACCAAAGAGAACATGGCACAGGGGTTCATTCATTCATTTGCCCTTTACAGCTTTCCTCAGTTTTAGTTTTTCTACCGCAGTGGATAGCATTTTCCTATCACTGCTTCCGTAAAGGGATTTTCCACTGCTCCTCATCTTTTAAGTTCAGACATTTGGTTGTCGCTCAATCCACCTCTCTTATTTTCGTATCAACTGAATTAGTAATTTCCCTTCTTTAATAACACCTCTCTCTCTCTCACACACACACACACACACACACACACACACACACACACACACACACAGAGCTGCATCACGTCATCAGCTGACTCCTGGCTTATCACTACCATAAAGCATTACCTGTTTTATTTGGGGATCACATAGTTATGGTTCTACCACTGTTATTGATTAGGTCCAAGGTTCTAACTTCAGCTCCAATGGGCCTCTCCAAGAGAATTCTTAACTGCCAGTCCATCCTCTCTATTTCAAAAAAAAAAAAGCTTCATTTCATCACCCCATGTCTGTCTGTGAACCCTCTCTTACTCTTTATCCCTTCCCTACACAAAAGTTAAGTTTGGATTCTACCTCTTTAAACATCTCTTCCTTAGCAAGTCCACTGCTCTGTGAAGTTTTCCTGACTAATGAAAATGATGTCTCCAGGTCGTCTGGGAGCTGGATACATAGGCACACCCACTAGTCTCCACTGGACTGGATGATATTTCTCCTGTGTACATTGCTCCTATTTTTTCAAGTGTCCATGTTCTATATATTTGGTGAAATTTCCCTGCTAGTGCTGTCAGCCATATATTACAACACAGTGCGTGAGACACGTGAAATAAATGTGTTTGATTGCATAGTCCAGTCGTTCTCACCTTCGACCGCCTTCCCCGCAGAGTGAAAAGCTGATGCTCTTGCTCTGTGTGGGAGGGTGTGACTGAATTCTTCCTGAATGACCTAGAACCAAACACACCCGTTAAAGGCCAGGTAACCGAAACCTCGGTTGACATCCAGGCAGAACCACCTCAGAACTCACCTCAGGAGTCAAGTATTTGGCAATAAGATTCTCTAAAAAGGGCCTCTTCAAAATCGAATTAATAGACGGCCGATCTCGGGGAGATACTTTAAAGAGCTGTGATATCAAGGACTGAAGCTCCCGGGAAAACCTCGGCGAGACTGGAGCAACGCGGGCCTGACAAATCCTCAGAACCAGCTGGTGCAAGTTGTGACCCTCAAACTGAAAGGACAGGCATAATAAGGCTACATCAGGAAAAAATTCAAAACCGGTAGTTAAAGTAATAGCCAGACACAACACAATGTCTCCACGTTCAGTGGGAAGCACCCTGATCCACCCTAAATTATTTTTATCAACTAACATTTCATGAGTAGGTATTACCAGCAGTTGCTCAACGAGATGCCCTGTTATTTAAAACAATATTTTTTGTTTTAATTTTTCTTATCAAAATAATAATTATGCATTCTAGAAAACTGGAAGGTACAAGAAATTATAAACAGGCAGGGAAAATATGTATAACTTCCCCGCCCAGAAGTATATTTCCTCTTAGGCTTTTCTAAAAAAAACTAATGTTTGTTTTATAGAGTTGAGGGCATAATGGTATAAAATTTCACACCTTCCTTTTTAAATTGACACAGCCTAAACATTTCCACAAGAATCCTCCATCAACCATAACATTTTCCATTGTATGAAACCCTCAGTTATTTACACTTACAGCCACGGGTCACAAAAGAGGGTTTCAATCATCCGCGGACCACATATGCAGCAGGGGTCCAATTAGATTGTAATGGGTTCCAAGCAAACAGCCTGTTTGCAATGTTGGAAGGAAAGCCCGGACCCACCTACGATGTCGAATTGACCACTAGCTCTGGGGGGTTTAAACAGATGAAGAGGCTCAGGGTGCTGTCCGCCTGCCTGGTGCCCACCCACGGCTGGGGCCGGGAGGTGGTGATGGCGTACGGGGTGCAGGCTGGAGGGGAGGGGAGCCGGGGAGCCCACCCCCGCCTACACACATGGATGCGTACACACACTTTATCTTTTATATCTTATTTTTATTGTTCCTTCTTCTGTTTAGATACGCAAACACCATTGTGTTACAGTTGCTTACAGTGTTCGTTACAGTAGGGCAAGAGGCTATACCGTACAGCCTAGGTATAGAGTGGGCTGCACCATCCAGGCACGTGTGGCGCACTCCATTGGGTTCACACAACAACACTGCATATGCACACATTTCTGAGACTGTATTGCTGACGTTAATCATCATGGTCAGCAGCCAGGTGTGGCATTAAAGATGCAGGTTTTGGTAAGACGCTTACCAGCCTTGTGACCTTGGGCAATAATAATAACGAGACAATGGTACCAGCTGTGTAGACAACAGTGACCATAGCAGGCCTGCGACTGCTGTCCTCAGAAAGGCCTGCGTACAGCATTGGCCCGTGGCTGACGCCCGGGAGCTTGGATTTCCAGAGAGTCCCCACCAGTCCCGACGCACAGTGGCTTGCTTTGCCTGCACTGTTTGTTTATGTTGTACACCTGCTTTCTGCCCAGGCGTCTGGAAGTGTGTACCTGCCAGGCGGAGGGTACCTACGTGACCAGTGCGCAGTCAAACCTGGGCCCTGGGTCTCCAGTGCGCCCCCCTGGTGCCTGACATTGCACACCGGCCGTCACAGCTGTTGCTGGGAGAACTGGCCGTCCTGTGGGACTCTACTGGGCAAGGCTCTTGGAAGCTTGTGCCTAGTTTCCTGCAGCCTTCACCCCACGCACCCCAAGCTTTTCCTTTGCTGAGTATGTATATGCGCCCTGTTCATTTTCAATGGAAGTACGCTCCTATGCTGTCCTCCACCTTGGAGCTTTTACTTTATAACATAATTTGGACATCTTTCCATGTCAGCATATATAGAGCTATCATTCTTTTTAATAGCTAGTCCACATAAGTTTCTTTTTATTTTTAGAGGATGTTGATTCATATTGATTTGAGAGAGAGAGAGGAAGGGGGAGAGACAGAGAAACACCCATCGGTTGCCTCCCGTAGGCGCCCCTCACAGCGATGGAACCCGCAAGCCAGGTACATGCCCTGACCAACCCGCAACCTCTGGTTGTGTGAGACGACACTCCAATCAACTGGGCCAGCCGGCCAGGCCATGTCCACATAACTTTTAACACTCGAATAAAACCAAAATTAATCTTTTTCTCTCAGAAGTGAATTTAATTGATACAGTTTCAATAATTAAATATTAACCCAATGATTAACATACTTACAGGATGCTTGAGTGTGCAGAGCTCATATAAAACACAACCAAGAGACCAAATATCCCTGGAGAAGATGAGATTTTACATGTTAAAAAATTTCCATAGTTTTTAATAAAAGCCTTATCCTTACAGTGCCTTATATTAGTGTATCTTTATAGTTTTACATAGCCTGACTAATTTTTAGAAATATTTTTAGATACATTACCAGTTCTTATTCTTACTAACAGAAGAGGGAAAATAAAAGCAATTTGTAGTTTGTCAGAATCCTAACAGAGAAAAGGTATTCAAACTTGCTACCATCTACATTTACTTCAACATCATGTGCTCAAAGAAAACATATATGAAATTTTGAGCATTTCGTGGAGAGAGGCAGGACGCAAACATGAATTTGTTCTGATTCAAAAGATAGAGTTTGGTTGATTGAGCAAAGTATATTCTACTCAAGGCTACTCACAGAATCAGAGGTATATTAAGTGATGAACATGGCAGCTGGTACTCAATAAACTTGGGAAATGTGGTTACAATATATGACTGGAGAGTGGCTCTTTAGTACTTAGTATTTCTATGTGATTGGTTTAATAAGAAGTTACCTTATAGAACAAAAAGCATTAATTTAAGAGACCAAAAAAATACACAGTGAGAAGCCAGGAAAGTAAGAAGTTAGAGTCAAAACAGGAAGGATCCCGACAAGCGAGGTAAACGGCTCCACCACTTAACGACGTTTCCTTAGAGCGTGTGCCTGAGAGCAGAGAGGGATACACCAAAGGTTTGCATACAGAATGGGTAGGAAACAATTTCTAACTGGTCCCTAGACTTTTCCTAGAGTTTCTAGAAACTCACTGACCACTTTCTACAGCCACCCAGAACTTTGGGTTGACGTGGTCTTCCCTAGGCCCAAACCGTTCCTCTGTCTCCTAGAGCCATTCGTAGCCATGGGGTGACCTGTGCCTACAGGGGTCCCCAGGGGAGGGAAGCCACCTGGGGCTGCGGGGGAGCTTTTGTGTGTCGTGTGCTCCCTGCATGCATGGGGGCCGTGCTGAATCTGGGGGTGGTTTTCCTGGTCTAAAGGGGGCAGCTGATTATGGCTAAAATCTTCTAATTCTCAGAAGCACCAAATCAACATATTTGAATGTTGACCCAAATTCTTTAAAAAAAAAAAAGGCCCAAGGAAACAAAACAGTGCTGCTAACGCCAGCTGGCAACAGCCCTAAACTCTGCCCTGGACAGCCCACCCTTCTTCCCCGCCCTCCCTTCTTCCCCGCCCTCCCCTGGCTGCACCCCCCGCTCAGCGGGAGGCCCAGCCCCTCCAGTGCCAGGGCATGGCACCCCAAAATGCCTCTGCTCTTATTAGGCAGAGAAATGTTTACTCTTCTTTTTGTAAATCTCTACCAGCTGGGCTTTGCCTTCTATTTATCTTTCAAAGTCAAACAGCCACATAGCCCCTGGGTATTTCTGTAAGCAAATAGACAATTAACTGGCAAAAGGAATTCAGTCTTGCCTCTGGTCCAACTGGCTCAAATGGCAGCCACGCTTCCAGAAGTGAAATTATTTTCCTTCTCCTCACATGGAGGTAAAAAATGACCTTATCTTTGTCTTTTATCACTATGTGTATTGCTATTACTCCTGAGAACGAGGCTCTGAAAACTAGTTGGGTTTTAAAGATGCAGGACACCTTAATGGTTACATAGGCAACACTCTTGTTGTTACAGGTCAACTGACTTGGTCAAGCCGGTGACAGGGCCAAGTGTGGGAAGGAAGAACCTTTCCTGTTCCCCTTAGGTTCTTTCAGCTGTTCTCATAATGAAATCCACATGTGGCAGATGAACAAGAGAAAATAACCAAATTTAATAACCAAATAATGTACATATGTATATGTACATATGGGAACCCCACGTACATGAGAGGCTCAGAGGCAGGAAGGGAAAATGAGGTATGTATGACATTCTGAGCTAAGGATGAGGTAAGGTGCCTTGGGGTTTCAGAAGGGAGGAAAGTCACTGTGTTACTGAACCAAAGTGGGGTTCGGCTGCCCGTCGCCGCTCACAGGCAAATTCCAGAGGCAGAGGTTGGTGAGAAAGGAAAGAGGTCTTTATTCAAATGCTGCACAATCTGGGAGGATGGCAGGCTCATCTCTTCTACAACATACAGGTAAAACCCAGCCATTCCAGGCATGCCCAAAACCCAAGGCAGTACCCAGAATTCCTGCTCCATCCTTATCTGTCCTTTGGAGCCCAAGGTGGCTAAGTGGGCAGCTGTCTAGCTCAGGCTCCCTCCTGGAGTCTGCGTGTGTTGCTGGTGACGCTACTGGCCACATGGCTTCCAGGACCATATGTTCCCACAAACGCACTGGCCGGTACATTTGCAAGGTGGGCCAAGAGAGTGCCCCTTCCTTCCCCTGGGTCTATATAAGTATCCGTGTGGGCCAGGTCTGATGCTTTTTCTCAGTCCAAAGTTCCCCGTGCTCCGGGAGGGTCTGGCCCCCAACCAATCCCCTCTTTTCCCGGGATTAGACTGACATGTTTTTCCAACACAGCAGCTCCTCCTGCTGCCATTTTGACCTCTATGGCACATGTGCCGGTTTCCCCCTGGTCCCACCCCCAATCAAGGCCGGGGGTGGGGGATAGGAGGGCTTTTGCTAACCTTGCCCACACTCGGTGTAATTCTTGCCATCTTGCTCAGAGGCGCGGAACGTGCCGCGGGGCTACTGGTACCAACTGCAGAATGATAACGGATTTTGAAAAATTAGAAGTTTGCCTTGCCGTAGAGATAAGTCAGAAAAGGTGATCTCTGATAGCTTATCATGGGCAAGGCCCCTAATTTAAATTTTTCTCGGTAACTGGGGGGAGCAGAAGTGCCTGTTGAGCCCACAGGGTCTTGGCTGCCTTTAGCTTAAAAATAATCCACAAACCACAGAAGCACATTTTGGGGTGGCTCATTCTGAACTCCTACATAAGCCTAGGATTCTGCACTACTAATCCAGGACTCTGTCACTGGAGCACACGGCCTTCTATCGTGCCCACCTACAATACTTTTCTGCAATAAAGTAAATAGTGCTTAGAAGGTATTGTGGGGGTTCAGAATGAGCCACCCCAGGATATGACTCAGTGGAATGGAGACTACTTTGAACTAAAGGCAACTTTAGCCACGGGCTCAAGAGTAACTTCTGCCCCTCCCTTCAAGTATTTAGAAGAACTTAAATTATGGGCCTAGCCCATAAAGACCTATTATCAGAGATGACTTCTCTTGACCTATCTATAGGGCCATGCAAACTTCCATTTACTAACGGCCTGCTCTCATCAGCTTGCAATGACGCTCTGCAGTCCCTAAGGCACCTCCCCTCATCCCTAGCTCGGGATGTCTTAGAGAACCACGTTCCCTTTCTATCTCCGAACCTCTCTTGCATGTGGGGTTCCCATGCATGTGTGTGTATTAAATTTGGTTATTTTCTCTTGCTAATCTGTCCCAATGTCTATTTGGTTATTAACCAGCCATAAGAATGTGAGGGTAGAGGAAGGTCTGTTGTTCCCTCACAGCAGGAAAATCCAACACAAAGATGGATGTCACAATGCCTGCACGTCTCAGCATTATCCTTTCTCTCACTTGCGTCTTCAAGCAAAGAGAGCTTGCCTTTTTATAAGTAAAGTCAAAGGCTTCTGGGAACACCCAAGTGGCAGAGACAGTCACTGGGATATTCATTTCCCCCACGAAGAAAATGGAATTACAAAAGTGCCATAAGATCGAGAGAACCCATCCGATTTTTCTGAGTCTTTCAAACCAAGAGTCGGTCGCTCACGTTTTATTGTTGTAGGGTTTATTCTGGCAGATCTCTGGAGACAGGTAGTAAGGCGTCCCAACACAAGTCTGAGCAAGTTCCATGGAACTAGTAAATTATATCAGAGTAAATAATGTGGTTTATTATGAGTAAAAAAAGGCTTACGACATGAACACACAAGAAAAAGTATAAAAATAGATAACAAAATTTGATGCATGTACATATTAAAATAAAGAAAAAACAGATTGTACATTTATACTGGAGTAATAAAAATAGTTGATTTTTAAACTTGTAATTCCAAAATCTACACATTAAAAAAAATTTATGGCCTACAGCTTCCACACAGAGATACAGTTGTTACATTACAAAAATTTCCCAGGTGCAGAGGAGTTTCCTCTTTCTGACGATCAAAGTAATGAGCTCTTATGATTTAGATTTGGAAAATATGAAAGTGAATACAGAAGAAAAAAAAACGAGCGCTATTACACTTAACCATATCCCAAAGATGAGGCATTTAAATTGCTCCAAATTTCACATTTTCCCCTTAGGACAAATTCCCAGACACAGAACATTTAAAAAATCTGTTGATAAAACCACCAAATTGTCTCCCAAAACAGTCACACTAATATATTCCCCACAGCATGTGTGAACCTGTGTGTTTCACTAAATTCTCCCTAGCTTTATGCTTATGAAAGTTATCCCTCTTTTGGTTAGCTCATTTCTTTTTTTATTGTTGTTCTAGTACAGTTGTCCCAGTTGCCCCCGTTGCTCTCCCCTGCCCTGCCCACCCACACTTGGGAAGTTTAGATCTCACTGTACAACATTGCCCCCGCCATTCTATTATGCCGAGATTAAACTTGGGAATTTTAATCTCACGTCAAGTACCATCTGCATGATCGATTTATTTTTCATCTGAATAATTTAATGGATTTATATAAACAGTTATCAAAAAAGATTTGGAAATCATGCCTTTAATATCTTCACTTATGATATTAAAATATACATATATATATACACACACACATATCTGTCATGAATAGAAAAAAATAATTTTCTAAAGTACTTACCTGTTCAGGACTCTTGCTATGCCAAAGTCCCCAAGCTTTGCAACCATTCCATTCTTGCTAAGAAAGATGTTCTATAAATGGAGAAAATGCTGTGTTGTTTGCGAGATTTCAAGAAAGTAAAAGGTCGGCTCTGTCTCTATCCGCTCCGTGAGCTATTACCTGTGTTTTTATGTCCCTGTGTAAGATCTTCCTGTCGTGAATATGTTTTAGTCCTAGAGAAACCTGCACAAACCAGCTCAGAATCTGCCGGGGGAACATAAAACAAAGCCTGTGAGGGTCTGGTGTCACGGAAGTGTCTTCAGGATAATATGCAAAAAGCGGGAAGCAGCATATTTCTGTACGTGTGCCCACGAGAAGGAAGCTAACTGATGTATCACCTGGCAAAGCGCAGGCATGAGAAGCAAGCCAAACGTGTTGGTACCAGTGTGAACTCCACGTACACAAAAGACAAGTGAAAGCCAACAAGAGAGGGCGGCTGCTCACAATTTCCTTTTCTCTTAACTCCAGGGGCTATGTGCACCGGGATAGGGGACAGGGGACAGGTGGCCCTGACGCTTGGTTACCCTGGTGCCACTGGGTTTTCCTCCAGTAGAAGGAGGAAATCAAGGGCAGAGAAAGAAAGAGGAAGGAATGGACCGTACGGGAGATTATTAAAATTTTTAGTGAAATACCTATCTGTGTATACAGTACAAAACCAAAAAGTGGTACTTTTAAATTTTTTTAAACCTAATTTTTGTAATCGTGATGTTACTGACCTTAGCTGGCCATGACCCTTTTTAGTAAAATATGTTCTATGCCTATAGGGATTTATTTAAACTATTCTAAAATTCCATGACTTCCATTCCATTCCAGATACTATGATTGTAATTTCAGTTCTCACTCAACAAAGGAAAACGTAATTCAAAATTTTGTAGAGAAAAGTAGTTTTCATAAAATGTGGCAAAACGATACCTAGATAGGAAGCAGGGTTCCCACAAATATGGAATTTAATATACAATGTAAATGAGCAAACAAAAATGCTTCAGTTTACAGAGGTTAGAGATATGGATCCTTTAATCATTTCTACATTCTACATATGACCTTCTAACTTTATGGGCATGATACTCTTAAATGCTAGACTAAAACAAAGAAACAAGTGGCCTAAAGAAAGCCGTTGGGCCATTCCTGGGCTCTGCTCAAGGCAGGTGACATTGCCCATCAACCACACAAGGCCCAGTTCAGGTTCCTCTCCATCCACGTGTTCCTGTCTCCATCCAATCAGTGTGCAAAGGAAGCTCAGCGTACAGAAAAAGTGTGTTTGTGCAAAGAGAAAATGGGAATCGAGGCTTCTCACCTCACCTTCTCGCTCCTCTGTCTTTACAACCAATGAAACTAAAGAGCCATTGCAAAGAAGAGATTCTATCCTCCCCAGCAAAGTGGGATGGCTATTTTCACCCAGGGCACCAAATGCTCAGAGCAAGAAGAGCGAACCCGAAACTATTTTAAGGGGCCAGGGAACATCCACATTCAGACTTCTTTTTTTTAAGCCATGAAAATTTATCTCAGGGGCATCCTACATGAGACTGTCCAAAAATAAGACATTCTCTTTTCTCAAGCAAACTTCACTCTCAAAATGAGATTCAATTTATGTTCAATTGCAAGCACGTGGTGGACAAAAATCTATCAAGAGTGCTCATCCCTGTTTTGGAGTTTGAATTCTTTACCAAAAATCATGCTTCACCTCAACAGTTTACTACTGATGGCGTTATAAATTTAACGCTCCCGTATAAAATGAAAAGGCAAGTTAGAAGTGTTTCTGACCTGGTCTTCACTAAATAACACTCCCCGTTGTCTGCTGATTCTTCTCATGAGGTCCCCTCCGTCACAATACTCCATCACAATGAACAGCCTGTTGTTCTCTGCAAGAAAAGGCACCATTCGGTCCTGGAAGCATTGCAGACACTCGCTCACCATTTAATCATTTGTCTTTCAAGTTCCAGAAGGTGGCGAATATAACAGAAAAATGTAGTATATGTATGTATATACATATATATTTAATACGTATATATAGATTTCAGATCTCTGGCTATAGAATCAGGACAGACTGGGTTCTAATCTGCCTTCACCGCGTGCATTTCTTAGCGCCATAACTGTAAGCAACTTATTTTAATTTCTCTGTGCCTCATGACCTCGTCTGTAGACTGGGTATAATAATGTAGAAACTCCCCTTAGGATTGTGTAATGATTGGCTTGAGTGAATCCACGTCAGATGCTTTAAACAACACTCGCGCTTTACGACAGTTCAGTAAATGTCAGCTATGTTCCAACAAGAGATTCGAAATCCGCCGTAAATCAGCAGCTGCGGGTCTCTCCCAACACCCCAGGAAGGGGAAACAGACCCGTGTTGAACTCGGGTATGAACTTTTATCGATATGACACCACGTTCTTTAGAATAACCACTCTTCCAAGTGACCTCTGGCTGCCCTACGCGCTGGGCGAAGGGGCGCGCGCCGCTGCGTCGCCTGCCCCCGGGGGCCACGGGGGCTGTCCGATGGTCGCAGCGCGCCTAGGCCCCTCAGCTCCCGCTCATTCTTGTCAAGATCGCTGGGCTCGTTCCCAGGTCAGTGTATGCCAATTATACACGTCATTGTAATTACTACACAACCGATGACACGTGAATGGAAAAAGAAAGACGTGATTGTGTCTACAAAAACTGCCCTGAATGCGTTGGAGGAGGCCACGAAAGTGAAGAGCTAGAAAGCCGTTGGCTTCAGTGTGGGACACGTGGGAACCCCCTGGGCAAGCTCTAAAAGGGCCGTGGGCAGTCTCTGTAAATTCTCGCTCGACTCTGAAGAAAAGAAGCTGGAAGTAGTACAGGAGGGTAGCCCAGGGGAGAAAGGACATTCGGTGTTGCAATCAGAGGAGTCCCAATGTGCTCCTGCCTCAGGCCTTTGCAGTGACTCTCTGTGGGTCTTCACGTGACTCTCCAAGTCTTTGCTCAAATGTCCCCTCCCCAATAAGGCCCATCCTGACCTCCGTATTTGAAACTGTTCCCTCCGCTCCCGCCTCACCCTATTTTTTTTTTCCCACAGCACTTGTCACCATCTAACAAATGATCCAAATTGCTGGGTTTACACTTACTGTGTAAACTCCGCGGTTGGAGCAAGAAGGTTCCCAGACACCCCTGTGTACACACCTGGTATAACTCCCTCCCCCGGAGTCGGGGCAGAACCTGTAAACAGAGTGGGACATCGCTCCAGGATTCGGTCCCTTAGCAAAGGGGATTTTGCTGATATAATCGAAGTGACCAATGAGCTGATTTTGAGTTAATAGGAAAGGAGATTTTCCAGGTGGGCTGACTTAACCACAGGAGCCATTTAAATCCGGGTGTAGAGGTTGGGAACAGAGGAACTGTGATACTGCAAGCCGGAGGGGGCCTCCTGAAGGGCCACCTGGAAGGAACGAGAACTTGGCCTCTGGGCACTCAGAACCGCACCCTGGTTCACAGCCAGCAAAGCCCCAGACACCTCTGTCCTGCAGCTGCAAGTACATGGATTCTGCCAACGACCTGAATTAGCCTGCAAGGGAACAGCGAGCCTCAGATTTCACCTCTGTGAGACCCGAGCAGAGAATCCAGCTAAGCCGAGCCCAGACTTCCAAGCGCTCCAAAGCGGGTGGTGATAAGTGAGTGCTGGCTTGAGCCACTAAATTTGTGGTCATCGTTGCGCAACAGCAGAAAACAAGAGCGCAGGGATTTTTTCCTCTTTTGTTCACTGAGATTATATCCCCAAGACCTAGAACATGCCCGGCATTTGATAGGTACTTGATATATATTTACTGGAGGAATTTAAGTGGAATTTAGCCTTAGGAATCTCTCACCACAACTTCCTTATTTTTTGTATGTTGCTTCAAACTTGTAAAACTTTCATACTCTCCATAGACACATATTTAATGAAGTAGAGCCAGACTTCTGTTCAGAGTCACGTTGTCTGAGTAAGCAAAGGCTTTATCTACACTGTCTAGTAGGTGCTGTAAGAGTGCCGGAGGCTTTCAGATAAACTTGATGTTTCAAGTCCCAACAATCTTCCAGGCAAACTCAAAGGCATCACAATATCTCTAGTTTTTCTAAACACAGGGATGCGCTAATTTAAAAAAAAAAAAAAAGCCATTATAAGAAAATTTCAGCTTATAATATAAAGTCAGCAGAGGTTATTTATACTGTGAAAGGGACCTCTAATGTTATAACAGTATCCAGGGAAATGCTGTTTTTAAAGATCCATTTGGCAGGGTATAAAGACATACTCTAATGTATTAAAGGGGCCCAGCCCATGTACTCATTCAGCAATCATATAGTGAGCACCTACTATGTGCTAGATGCAGGGGATCAAGTGGTGAGCAAAAGAATCCATTAAGTGTCCTCAAAATGGGAGACAAATATTAAACCAGTTCGTAATTGTTTATATAAACAGCTGTACATATACAAGCACAAAGCGCTAGGCGAGATCAGGAAAGGGGGCAGTCACTCGAATGTGACCTCACATTCGATGAGTGTGAGGCGGCCAGCTTGAGGGAGTCCCAACAATAACCAAAGGATGAGGAAAATAAAGACCGCCTTAGGGTGGTGGTAGTAGGAATCACTGAACAGGAACGCAGGCGCTATATTGAGTGGCTGTCCCTTAAAAGTTTTTGATACGACGGAATCCCCTGGTCCTGTGTGAAGGGACAAAGCCAGCCCCATTTGCTATTGGGGCACCATTTGCCGAGCAGGCCTCTGTCCTTGCTAAACACGACTGCCATTTTACTCTTCTGAGCTTATGGCCCCAGGACTGGAAAGCACTGGAAAGTAAGAATAGAACTAACTGCTCCCTGCAGGCGAAAGATAACACTGGAATCAACTGTGGCCTCCCAATAACACCCTAAGAGCCCAGGGGCCTCACCACAGCGCCCCCACCCTTCTTAATCCAATTACAATCCAATAAAAGCTCCAAGTCCCCCCCGACTCCGATGCTGGTGCATGTCTCCACATCGTGCCCCTCTCCTTTCTCGGAATAAAAGCTTCGTTCTCTACATTTTCTTCTCTTTGTGAGTTCTTCCACAGCCGTGTGGCCCACCACCTTAACACTGTGCGCCGCTCAGCTCCCGGGAAGGCGTCAGAAGAGCTCTAAGAATTCTTTCGAATACTCAGTAGTTGAAGAAAGAGGGCTGTATGCAGAGCTATTTGGAATGCAGTGGTTTTCATTGACAAGACACACAGTGCCCAGCACAATGTAGGAGCTCAAAATACACTGTTTACTGATTTACAGACTTTTAGCCCCCGATGGTGCTTGAAGATGTCCGGGTAACACCCCTGCCCTGTTGAACACTTAGAGCCTGTGCCTTTGAGCACACACAGTGCTGAGGCTGAGACGGGACTGCCCCCCTGAACTTGGGCACCCACGGCCCTCTCGCAGCCTAGGAACACCTGATGCACTGCACCTGTGTGTTTGTCATCTGTCTCTGGCCCCTGGAGCGCAGCTGTATGAGGACAGCCATGTTTGCCTGTTCTGCTCACTGCTCTGTGCTTGGCACCTAGAACAACGCCTAGCATGTGGTAAGCATGGCATAAACATTTGTTGGGTGAGTGAATGATTTCTGACCAATGCTATTCTCGTGTTGGTTTGATCAGGTGCTTTGTTCTGTTCCTACCTTTGGAGCGATGGATGGAGATAGAATAGATCGTATATTCAGATGTGCACATGCCGGGCTTGCTTCCTTACAGTTGTCCCCTCTACTTTTGCCATTTGCCTGACCATGGTGCATGGCCGTTAGCTGCTCCTCTGTAAGAGGATCAGACACCCCCACCTGTTGCCACAGGTTCTGGGGACTCACGTGGGCAAAGTACACCCTCCCTCCACCACTCCATTGTCAAGGTTAGCTGCCTGCTGCTTCGCAACAGGAATGTGCACCCGCGGGGAAAGGAGAGCCACGCCACACCCCGGCAGGGCTGGGACAGGCGCTGTGGTGGGCGCTTGTGTCTTGCTCTTTTCCTTGGCTCAGAAGAACAGTGTGGGCCACGTCTGGGCTGCTCCTTCCACCTGGACCCCCGACTTAAGACCCCAGACCACCCACAGCCGATATGGAATGAGTGAGAAACAGATGCGTATCTTTGCAGGCCACAGAAATGCGGGTGCTGGTCCTGCAGCAAAGCTAATACACCAGTTATTAACTATTTAAGGGAGTAAGAATTCAGGGGAGATGCAAAAGCTTGGGAAAACTGTCTACAAAAATTCACTAGAGAAGAAATAAAGATTACATCTCAATGGCAGTTTAAATAAATGAACAATGATCCCATTCACAAACACTACACACAGTTCTCGGGAATGTTATCTCTTACGGAAGTCTACATGCTAATACTTTGTTAAAATACGTTAAGAATGCTAGAAAGTCAAACCTTGAAATGAACTGAAGAAGGTCACAATGTTAGGATGTTTCATCTTTGCCAGAAGAATGACTTCTTTCTTGGAAGCTTCTTTTTCTTGGATGGGCATCTAAATTATATTAAGAGACAGAACAGTCTGTAAAGATGACTTGCTTTCAACAACATGCTCTCCGCTCACTCCTGTCTAAAATTCTCCAGGATTTCACTGGCTTTGAACGGCACTTCTGAAACCGATCTCGCAACCTCAGGAAACAAAATTTCTAGAATCAGCAAAGTGCCTCATAACTAATCAGTGGTTTGTCATTGAGAATTGTAACCAAAAATATAAATGTTTCCGGTGCAGTTTTGCTGTATTAAAAGTTCAGTTGGACAAGAAAAAGCTGAAGGAGTTCATCACCACCAAGCCAGTATTACAACAAATGCTAAAGGGTCTTCTTTAAGAAGAAACTATGAATAAAAAAAAAATCACGAAGAAAAAATTCTCACTGACAAAGGCAAACACACAATAAAAGCAGTGGATCAACCAGCACCAACGCTAGTACAAAGGTTAAAAGACAAAGGTTAAAAGGTATAATTACGAGAGTAAATTGAGGGATATATACATACACAAAAGAAGTACAAAAATAATGACAAAAATATAAATGTAAAGGGCATGAGTAAAATGGCAATTAAATAAATTAAAATACACTTTCAAGGATTTTCTTTAATTGTTAAATTTTGTCATCACTGGAGTTAAACTGGGCCAATGCAAATATATTAACTAGTGTGCTCTGGCTGGTGTGGCTCAGTGGATTGAGTGCCAGCCTGTGAACCAAAGGGTCACCGGATCGATTCCCAGTCAGGGCATGTGCCTGGGTTACAGGCCAGGTCCCCAGCAGGGGGCGCTTGAGAGGCAACCACACCTGATGTATCCCTCTCTTCCTCCCTTCCCCTCTCTCTAAAGATAAATAAATAAAAACTTGAAGAAATATATTAACAAGTGTAATTATGAAGTGAAATAGTTTTAAGTGTGATGTATGGCCCACCTGCATATACATGAAAATGGCGCATACGAGAACGTTTTACTACAGGAGCTGTACTACAAGGACTAGAGAAAGTCTGGGAAGTCGCACCTCAAACTGTGTTGCTAGTGACTGTACTAAACTTATTGTACTGGATGAAGGAATGTACTTAGTCCACTCAGAGTTACTTTGGTTTAAATGTCTAAACAACATCTCTCTTTTTTTAGTGTGTAATTTGTACTATTGATGGGGGGGTATTCTTGGACTGCAGGAGTTATTGTCAATGTGTGATTTTATTTTATAGAATCACCTGACATGATATATTGATTTTTTATAAGTGATATTTAGATAATCGTAACAACTCTTACTTGACAAACTGTGAAATGTTTTGCATTGGAAAAAAAAATGACGTTCTATTTCTTAAGGATGCATTAGCTTTACAACAGAGCTGCAAGTATCTATCCGTTGAATCATTTGCCCAGTAAGAATTGACCGAATACCTGCTGATGCAAAGCATTCTTAGGTGCCATGTGGAAGACCATGACATGCAAACGTGGATTCTGCCTGCAGAGAACACGCAGTTTAAGACGGAGGAGAAGACACAGGACCAACAGCTACAGCCCGTCAAAGTAGAAAGCAATCAGCGCCATAGCAGCAGGCCCAATAGAAAACTGTGGCGTTTACAGAGAGAGGTTGGTGTCTTGGGCGCAGGCTTGACCAAGCGGGGTCTTGACAGCTGAGCCGGGCAGGCCGTCCTCCACCTTCCCAGGAGCTGAAGCCCCAGGACGGGCACAGAAGCTGGGCTCGGAAGGATTTGCATGTGAAAAAACAGAAGGGTACGTGAGACCCAGGTTAGCAATGGAATTTGGAACAAGTCAGAGTGGGTGTCAAGAGTAACCCGGGGGAGGGGGATAGTGGTGGAAAGAAGGGGAGGGGCCTCGACAAAGAACAAGTAGGAATGGCCCACGGACGGACGTGGACGACAGTGTGGGGATTGACTGCGGCGGGAGGGGTGCGGGGGATGGGCAGAGGAGGGCCGAGGGGAGAGTCGGGACAACCGTAATAGAATAACAATACAAAAAGGAAAGAAAGAGACAAAGCCAGAGCAGCAGAGACGAGCAGGAATCTTCGCGGTACGATGGAAAGGAATCGGAGTAAATACACGAGCCTGGGTTTGGGCTGTGCTCGTGACCTGCTGTGTGACCTTTAGCAAGTTGCTTAACCTCTCTTATGTTTCAATTTCTGGTTACAAACTAAAGTTGGGCTGGATGATTAAAAAAACAAACAAACTAATCTGGACAGTGAAACAACAGAAAAGTCCAAGACGCAAAGGTACTAATAAGCCCACATTCCACCTAGGTCAAACCCGTAGGCCTTTTTTTTCTTTTTGTGTATGTGGGCATTTCCTGACTGTCTATACATCTCTGGATATTTCTTCAGAATAAACTCTCAAAACTACAACTACTGGATCCTAGGAAGGGTGTCTGTTTCATTTTCTTTTTTCTAAATGAAGATAGCCTTTTAAGCTTATACAAATAATACCACTCACAATTTTAAAAACATAATATATGTTCATGTTGAATTTCTGACAGTGCAGGAAGGGCAGAGGCGAAATCCTACCACCCAGCAACAGCCGCTGCTGCCGTCACGGGTGCGCGTTCCTACAGCACCTGTACACACACGCGCACACACCTTGGTGTGGCCCGATTTTTTTCATCTTTATAACATATCGTGGACCCCGCTCCTCATCAGTAACACGAACCTGGCATGCTTCCTTCCAAGGCTCTGATACATCTGGAGAAATCCCCCTCCAGATGGTACCGATTTACCTTCCCACCTGCTTCCTCTACTTTTATGTTCTTTTTAGCCCTCCCCAATTATATAAACAAAAAGTGATATTTATTGATTTACTTAATTAGTTTGCTAATGAGTTTGAAATTTTTGTATAATGACTTCTTCAGTGATGAGTTTGTTTGTTTTCTTTCATTTATAAAAAGCTAGCACCCTTTGGTAAATACTTACAAATAGTTTTGACACTTTGTGAATTTTCTTTCAACTTATTCATGGTGTGTTTTTTCGTTTTATTTTGCTTTTTCATCCTACAGAAGTTTCATATCTTTATGTAGTCAAACTGAGCCATCTCTTCCTTTATAACTTCTGTCCCAGCGATGGTTTGGGGACATCGCTGGGGCAGTACCAGAACTGTGCTGTATGAGGCTGGAACCTTGAGAAAGCTGCCCAGGCGACCCACGCAACCCAGGGCATGAACAAAAGGAAGGAAGCAAAGCCAAGGAAGAGACAGAGGCAAGAGTATTTAGCAAGAAATTCCACCAGGAGAGAGAAAACAGTTCACAGGCGACCCCTAGGTTTTGAGCGGAGATAGCACGGGGACATTGGTGTCGTTAACACAGGGCAGCGCGCAGCAGGTGAGGGAAAGGTGAGGAGTTTCTGCCTTGGTTGGGGGGTGACTGTGGTCCCTTCCAAGATGGTCCTCAATCAGCCGCACCCTTAACTCCTGATGCACAGAAACCACGAGACAATAAATGCTTATTGTTTAAGCCACTAAGTTTGAGGCAGTGTGTTACACAACAAAAAAACTACTGAGAGAGACAGGGCTCGATAGCTGGCTGGCAGGTGAAACGCAGGGCCAGGGCGCTGGAAGGTAACAGGGCTGGAAAGAGAGTTTTAAGGGTGACCTGCCTCAAGGTAAATTGCAATGAGGTGATCACGCAAAGTACAAACTGGGTGCGAGCTGGCAAAGGACATAGCGGGGGTGAGGGAGGAGACACACAGTCTCAGGAAGTGTAGTCATATAAACAGAACAGAGTGAGCAGAATAATGTCACAGAAGGGAACACCGACAGACACTAGAGTCAGAGGACAGGAGGAGAAGCATGGCACAGGTCCACGAAAAGCAGCCTGTGCTGGGAAATAAAGCGCTCTCCTGGAAGCCATCGCCCATGCTTTGCGCTGTAATGTAAGTTTGGGCAGTCCTTCCTTCTTCTCCTTCTTCTCCTCCGCTTCCTCCTCTTCTTCCTCCTCCTCCTTCTTCTTTGCAATTTCAAAAATCGTGATAAATATAACAAAATGTATAACATGTTAACCATTTTTTAGGTGCACAATTATGCGCATTAGGCACCTTGAGGACTCCATTTTGCACACATTATACATACATTTTTTTTCTGCTACTCTCACTTACAAATCCTCTAGAAGGCAAACCAACAAGACGTGCCTTAAAATTAATTCTTGCACACACTGGACAATGTTGTCTCAATATATTTTGAGAGGAATACATCCCTAGACAGGGTAACATAAACACAGACCAAGGGGAATTTAGGAAAAAGGATTCCCTTTTAATTAAATGTATTTAATCATTTTACCACATCACTAGGCTAATAATAATATGTGACTTTCCTTCATGTAGTCAATGCATTCAATAAGTATTTTTGACAACCAATTATCTGCCAAGCGCTGTTCGGAGTGTTACAGGTACAAGTTTCCTGTACCCGATGCCACAAAAAAATAAAAAGGCCAATATGCAAAAACACCATAGTTTGTAGTAAGAAAAATTTATTGATTGAGAAGGCCCAGCTCAAGAAGATAGGTTTGCCTAATGGCTTCTACAAATCCATCTTAAGAGAGCCTAGAATTCAGGCTTCTTTTATGTCAAGGGAAGAGAGGAGGGGCAAGGTGAGAGGCGGGCAAGGGCACCTCTGCCAAGGGGCTATTTTTGCAAAAACTCAAGCCTCCAGCAGGATTCCTCCAGCTAATTAGCACATCTACAGAAGGAGTTGTTAGCCCGAAGGCCCTAGTGGATATGCAGGCTAGAATTAAGGCAGTCAGAGAGAGAGCGCGTTCCTCCCTGTTACATGTATGCTGAGGGAGACAGGCAAACACATGAAGGAATGAGGGAGCAAACTAATTCCACGTCATTATAAACGTTACTAAAAAATGAACCAGCAAACATTCACATGAACTGTATTTCAGGCGTCCCATGGCTACATGTGACTGGTGGCTACGTCTTGAACAGAGAAAAAGGGAGGAAGGAAGAAAGGAAGGGAGGGAAGAAGGGAGGGGGGAAAGGAAGAGAAAAGAAAAGAAATGAAACTAGGTGATATGATAAGGAATGACAGAGGCTGAGTCTCGGGAAAGGCCTCCTTGTGGAGGTGACCTGAATATGATAGGACAGTAAGACAGGAGGCAAGAGCGTACAATGGAGTAAAGACAGTCTCTTCAATAAAGGGTGTCGGGAAAGTTGGACAGGTACATGCAAAACCAAGAAACTAGACCACCAACTTATGTAAAATGTAAAAGAACGCATTTCATTCTCACACAAGAATAAACTCAAAATGGATAAAGGACTTAAATGTAAGCTGCGAAACCATAAAAATCCTAGAAGAAAACATAGGCAGTAAAATCTCAGCCATCTCTCATAGCAAGATTTTTGCCAATGTATCTTGTAGGGCAAGGGAAACAAAGGAAAAAATAAAAAAATGAGACTACATCAAACTAAAATGCTTCTGCACAGCAAAGGAAACCACCAACGAAATGAAAATGAAACCCACTGCACAGGAGAACGTATTTGCCAGTGATACATCTGACAAGGGGTTAAGTTCCAAAAGATATAAAGATCATATACAACTCAACACCAGGAAAACAAACAATCCAATTAAAAAATGGGCAAAGGCCCTGAATAGGCACTTCTCCAAAGAAGACATACAGAGGGCCCAGAGACATATGAAAAAGTGCTCACTGTCACTATCCATCAGAGAGACGCAAATTAAAACCACAACGAGATATCACCTCACACCTGTCCGAATGGCTATCATCAATAAATCAACAAACAACAAGTGCGGGCGAGGATGTGCAGAAAGGGGACCGTTGTGCACTGTGGGTGGGAATGCAGGCTGGAGCAGCCACTGTAGAAAGCAGCATGGAGTTACCTTAAAAAATTAAAACTAGAACTGCCTATGGCCCAGGGATTCCACGTCTGTGAATATAGCCTAAGAATCTCAAAACACCAGTTTGAAAGAATATATGTGCCCCTCTGTTCATAGCAGCATTATTTACAATTGCCAAGATCTGGAAACAGCCCAAGTGCCCCTTCATTAGACAAGTGGATAAAAAAGCTGTGGTCCTTTTACACAATGGAACACCGCTCAGCTGTAAAAAAAAAGGTGCTCTTGTGCGACAGCATGGATGGACCTGGAGAGCATGATGCTGAGTGAAACAAGCCAGTTGGTGAAAGACAAATATCGTATGATCTCACTTACGTGTGGAATCTAAGGAACAAAATAAACTAGGAACAAAATAGGAAGAGAGGCATAAATACATGGAACAGACTGACAGCCGTCAGCAGGGAGGTGAGAGAGGGGGAGTGGATAAAAGAAGGTGAAGGAGTTCGCCAAAGACATACGGCAGCCAGGGGGCAGGGAGGGGGGCACGGAAGGCGCAAAGGGATGGGGGAACATCTGTGACAGTGTAATCGCTAAAAATAAAGCAATAACAACAATCATCATCAAAGAGATAAGACAGAGAAAGTGCACCACCCCAGGGCGAAACAGAAAAGTCAACCACAGAGGAGCACGTACCTCGCAGGGAGCGAGGGCCGTAGGAGCCAGGGGGGACAAGTTCATTTCTTCTTATTCTTTCTTTCTTTATTTTTTATAAAGGTCATGGGTTGCTGTTTGGCCAATGGATTTAGGAGGTTGAGTGAACAAGAGTCAACTCATTCATACGTTTAAAAACAAAACAACAACAAAGTATGTGGGAGGTGGAGGGTGGGGGGCAGGGGAGAGTAACAGGGCAAAAGCGGGCACAACGGTAATTGCATGACAGTACGAAAAGGGAAAAAAAAACCCCAAAACAATAAAAATGTGTTTCTTTTTCATACTGGATTAAAAGCCAGCTGAATATAACACCGAGTATGAACAGGAATTCGCACTTCTTTCTTTTACCTTTCCAAAATTGATCTCTTTTATAACACAGTGCTGGCTGTCAGATTTCCCTGTGGCCAAGTATGCTTTCCCGAAGGCACCTTCCCCAATGACTTTAATCACGTCGTATTTATCCATGGTCTCCAATGCACGAAGTTCCTGAAATTTAGAGAAATGCAATGTTATCACACTTTTCACAAATATTAACAAAGTCAGAAAATTGATCGCGGGAACGTAAAAGAACCCATTTTGTTAAAACTCTCTTTCCAACCTCAACCAAGACAGAGTCAAATAACTCTCCTGGTAGCCACAGGTATCGACCAAAGGGAGACGAGTGAGACGGAGCTTCTCGGTGCGCTCGAGGTCAGACGTGGGTGGCAGCTCGGCTTTGGTAGCTGCCGGGTTGTGAACCTGGGCAGGGCCGCCTCCGTAAGGCAGGAATGTCCTGCCTGCATAGTTTTACAGTCCAACCTTTCTCGGCGGTGAAGTGCTGCCCCCTAGGGAACATTCTGTAATTATGGAGAGTTTTTCCCCTCTTCTCGGCCCAATGGAGAGCCGCTGCGGCACTTAGAAGCGGTTGGGGCCAGGGATACGAAGATTCTACGACGCAAAGGATGGTTTGCATAATACAGGGTTATCTCGCGGCCCCACAACAGTAGAAAGTCCCCCACACATTCGTGTCTGTGGAAAAATCCGTTTATCTGCAGCTAAAGCCCAACTCTAGTTTACATCTAAATATTAAACATTTTTTTACACAGATTTAATCGAGAATTTTAAAAGGATGCAACTACATGTAAAATCAAGGCTTGATTACACACACACACGCATATATATATATATATATATATATATATATATTTTTTTTTTTTTTTACACTGGTTTTAAGGGGAGAGAGAGAGACGCTTTAGTTGCTCCACCTATTTGTTCATCCGTTGGTCGATTCCCGCTGCGCCCTGACCAGGTGGGACCTGGAACCTTGGCTACTGGGAAGACGCGCTAATCAACCGAGCCACCCGGCCCCGGCTTTGCACTCAGTTTTGTTCGGAACTTGACCGAGAACGGTTCGCCGTTTGGGGGAAGTCCCGCCTCCACTAGCCACGCTGTCCGGGTCGCTGAAACCGCCACCCGGCTACATCAGCAGTACTTGTTGCAGCACCAAACATTTACAGATGGAAATACGACTTCATTATAAAGTGTTTCCTTAAGTTTCCCCTTTATACCACGGCTCGGGCATAACGCTGACTTTTACAAATTGAACCGGCAAGTTGTGTTTTTGAACAATTTGTGTCAGGGCGGGAAGGAGGGGCGGTTGGGTGCGGGGGACCTGGGCGCCAGGTCCGCACCCCGGGGAGGATGCAGACACCCGCGTTGTGAGGGAATCGAAACGCGAGGGCAGCAGCTCGGGAACTGACGGGCTCCACCCTCCCGCCCAGGTGGCACCAGGGGGCGAAAGCCCCAGGTTTGGGAAAAATCCTCCTTCTCTAGGAACACTCTGGAAGGTGGCAGAGCTCGCGCGGAGCCTGGGAAATGAACGCGGCGCGTTGCCATGGAGACCGACGCACAGAAGACAGCTCCTCTGCGGTGTGTGGGCTCCATCCCTGTCCCTGGGGCCCCCAGGGCCCTGGGGGCAGCTCGGTTAAGGACAAGCGTGGCCCGCCTGCTGCATACCTGCTCCACGGGCTCCACGGGGCGACAGACGCGTCCCGGTGGACCTGGGTTCCCGGGCGCCTAGTCTCCGGGCAGCTGGGCAGAGCTGCGCGAGCGACGTGGGCGGGGCTCAGGACCCGAGTGTGGGAGGGCCGGTCCACGCGGAAGAGGGTGGGAGGCCAGCCAGTTTGGAGACCCAGCCGTGTGACCTCCCCCACCCCCCACCTCCCGCCGCCTTAGGTCGGATCTCCTTTGCTAACAGCACTCGGCAAGCACGCCCCTCCTGAGCTGGTTCACGGTGCACCGGATACATGCTTCGCACACGTTATTGTTTGTAACAACCCAGCAGGGTAGTAGTCGACTCCCAGATTTACGAGTGAGCGGAACTGAGGCAGGAAGTTTCTTGGACAAGGTCTCAAAGACGGTCACGAGATGGAGACTTGGAACGGAGTCCTGCGCTGGTGGCCACAGCTGGCGGCCTCTCGCGGGGTCCTCTTACAAAACTGGCTGCTGCCCAGCGGCCTGGAAGCGCGCTCCCTTCCCCCCACCCCGACCATTCCTCCTCGCAGACTGCACGGCAAGCTGCCGTCTCAGACGTCCCAGTACCTGTTTAGTGTTTGGAAAGGATGCCTTTTCCAGCAATTATAAACACGCAAGTAAAACATAGCCAGTGGAATCTAAATACCATTTTAATTTGAAAGTCACCATCATCTATTAAAAGGATGAGCAGGTCTTCGGCCTATGACACAGAAACAGGGACAGTTCAGGGTCTCAAGCTGAGTGCGGGGGCGGGGAGGGGGGGAGGGTGTCCTGCGGCTTCTGAAGCCGTTGCTGCCGCCTCCGCATCTGCTCATTTGCAATGTCAGGCCCTGATAACTCGAACACGGACTTCTACCAGACCAGCGACAGCACTGATGACCGATCACAGCGGTCCTCTGACTATGGAGCGGGTGGAGGACCCCGTAGCAAACCGTATACTGGCTAGGACTACTCGCGGCAAGTCCCTCTTGTCCCTCCAGACATGACGCAGCAGCAGCCACGACGGCCAGGCACTGGGCAGATTTTCCACCGCCTCAGGCATATACTTCCAAGGACACCTCAGCCAACCTGTGGAAGCTACTCTGAGGATGAGCCTCCTTTGCTAGAAGAATTAGGAATCAATTTTGACCACATCTGGCAAAAACAAAAACAAACAAACAAAACAACAAAACCACCACCGCACTGTTAAATCTGTGAGTCTGTGAAAAGGAGCAGATGGCAGCAACATGGAGACTGATCTGGCGGGACCCAGGGTTTCTTTGGGGCCACGTTGTTGCTGGCTGGCAGGGTCCGGTTTGGCTATGTGTGTGGGATCAATGCAAGGGGACATCTAGGGCTGTTTTATTAGCCTTCATGAGGACGGCAGGTGTTCATCTGGTTGTGTGGCACGTGTCCTTAGACACCGTCTTCTTCCAGCTTTGTGGTGACATTTTCTTTGGAAGGAACGGCAGGGATCATTCTCACTGCTGGGCTTTTTGGATGGTCTAGTTTTCCTGCTTCCAAAATTTTCACTTCTGGCCCTGACCAGGTAGCTCAGTTGGTTAGAGTGTCCTGATAGGCCAAGTTTGCAGGTTTGATCCCTGCTCAGGGCACATACACGAATCCACCAGTGAGTGCATAAATAAGTGGGACAACACATTGATGTTTCTGTCAAATCAATAAATAAAAATCTAAAAAAAACCCCAAACAAATCTGTGTATGTTTTCAAATTGTATTCAATTTCTGAATAAGCTGTGGAAAGACAGCAACTTCTAGTAGCATATCCTTGGTGCTTTGTTATAGGGGAGTCTTTGTCCTAATCTCCGTTTTTTGAACTGAAATTAGCCAGGATGTGCACATCAATGGGTCAAACACAGAAAAGGACTTCAGTCTCGTATCAGACCAGCAGGCTACTGCAGTGCAACTCACATGCAGATCTGACATCAGGCTTTTGCAATAATGGAAGTCAAGGTGTATCTTTTGTTCATTTTTACAGAGCTTTTGAATACTATATTGGATTTATCCTGCAGTGTGATTAGCTTTAAGTGTTTGTGCTTATACCAATACAACGTGCTATTTCTTTTCTGTTCCTGCAGCCTCTGAAAAACCTTTTTCCTTGTAAATTATATTACAATGTTTTCGATAGATTTTTATCAACTGTGGGGAAACTAACCACAGAGCTGACAAGCTTTCTTAAAGAAGACATAGGGTTTACTGCAGAAATATTTTTTTCAAGGAACTAGGAAAGACAAATCGCCTGTAGTCTCAAATCAGACGCACTTCAAGCAAAAAGCTGATCCCAATGTAGAGTTTATGAGTTTGCATTTCAAAAATTTGACATTCCTTTCAATCACCTCATGGAAGGTTTGCTAAAATTCAGTGATACAGAGGTTCACGGTCTACCTTATTGCAGATTTTTTAAATCTCATACTACTAATCAGGAACAATTTTAAATATTCATAGTCCTTCTCCCCCCACACCCTCTTTATTCTGCTTCCAAGGGAACACACATTCTGTGAGCTAATACTGTCCAGACGTTGACTCCTCCCTTTGAACACACCTTCAGTGTGACTAAGGAGCATGTGCCTCCCGGCGCGTCAGCCATCAAGTGCTCCCTGCCAGCCAGCTCGCCGCTTCAGTTCCGACACCCAGTCCACGTCATCTTCCTCCTCAAAGTCCCTGTGGGGAAACAGTATGGAGAGTAAGCCTCCAAATCAGGGGGCTGGTAAGTATTTGTTGATGGGTTCAAAGCAGAACACCACCATAACAATATTTACATTTTGAAAAATGAGCTCCACAAAGCCACTGAACAGAAGGAAAAAAAAGTGATTTTTTCCAAAAGATCACCTCTTTCACTGTATAATATTTTCAATATAAAAATGTACTACATTAAAAAAACAGTTAAGTCCAAGCTGAACAAGTGTAAAGACATGGCTCAGGCAGGAATTCAGTGATTACTGTTACGCACTACCCATCCCAGATCAAGACAGGAATATTCATTCAGGATGTAAAATAATATAACCAGCTCCTCTTAAACCTGGATTAAGGTACAATTTAAATCACACACACACACACACAAAACAAAAAGCTTTCTAGGTGTATCACAACGTACGTGTCCTCCTCGTCCAGTCTAGGTTCGAGTCTTTCTGGATCCAAAATGACAGAATCATAACCTCCATCAACACTGTCTGATGCTTCAGTTTCTTCCGACAGAGGACCTTTCAAGAACCCTTCTGAACCTTCAGAGGAACAGTAACAGAAATCACAGGAATTTAAACAGTATTTACTTATTTCCTGCAGAGTGGACTAAAACCCTCCAAAAGCTAGCGGGCTACCCGCGGGCGACTCCACGCTCTGTCTTCTGCAGGGCCTCCCACGCCACCCAGCAGGGCTTCCGGCACAACGCAGGCCCAGTAAGCTTCCGTATGTGTGCTACACTTAAAAATACTACTGTCAATGGAGACAAATGTATTTGAATGATAAAAAAATAAAAAAATACTACGTTCTTCAAGAGAAAAAATTCAGAATACCATCAAAACCCTCAAATGTAAGAACTTATATGAAAGCATTAAAAGTTATCTTGGGATAGTCAGACGAGTTTTTTATTGTGATGAAGTCTGAACTGTGATGTCACCAGTATATTTGCGTGGAAAAACTGAACTGCCCCACAAAGAAAGTAGTCACAGGATTATGCAAATAAGCCAACAAATGAGCAAAAAGAAGTAAGATAGGTATGGGAAATTTTAAGTATAGCTTAAGACTAGTGAGAAAAAATTCAAGAAAGCCTAAAAAATACAACACTATGAGTTACGTCATACCCTGAAAATGAAAGGGTTTCTGTGAGGTGGGAATTGGGGGGGGTCACTGATTCATTGGCAGAGGGTCAGCTTTAGAAGATGGAAAAAGCACAGGAGACAGACAGTGGCGACAGCTACACAACAACGTGAACGTCCTCGATGTCCCTGAACGGCAAAATGTCCCTGAGTGGTCAAAATGGTCCATTGTATGTGAGGTATATTTTACCACAATTTTTAAAAAATTCAAAGGGCTTCCACAGGTACATAACAGGCATGAGTCACCTGGTCTATATATCGTGTAGGTTTCAAAGGCCAAGCTGAGGTCCGCATTCTGAAGGATGCTCAGCAACGCCTCGGGGGTCTCCTTGAGCCACTGCTTACGGGTATTATGTCCACCGAACTTTATCACAGAACCGCCTACTTGCGAAAAGATAAAAATTAGGGCCAGGTAGAAAAGATTTTCAGCAATGTCTTCTAGATCATCTTTCAAGCAAAATTGATTATATGTATTTTACTACTACAATCTATTTCACTCACCTGTGTGACACCAAATATCCTTCACAGAGTGAAACAAACCAACCAACCAACCAACATCCCTGGCCCCTTAAACAACTACGAGAAAATGTTCCGCTGCAGGAGCGGTCAGTCTGAGTCCTAACCTCTGTCATCCTCCGCGGCGACACTGGAGGTGAGAACAGCTGTAGCTCCCAAAGCCGTGAGCGCTGCTGTGGGTGCACGTTTCTCCCACTGTCGCCTGGGAGAACTTGCCGACCTGGCTTTCCTCGGATGGACCGATTCACTAACCGGCTCTAAAACGTCAAAGAGGATTGCTGAGCATATTCTTTTATTCATTTCTCTATATCCACCCATGTATTTCTCTAACAGCTACAGCAATACTGCTTTTCTCTTTCTAACTCAGACCTAAGCACAATGTTCTTCAAGCCTCAGTAGTGAAGGAAATGGAAAATAAAAAATCCGGATGAAAAGGCAAAACAAATCATTAAGGTGAATTTTTAGGGATACTATGTATGTCCTTACATACTACACAATGGAGAAGAATGGAGCCTGGGAGGACTCAGGCGCACACTGAACGCCATGCTTCTTACGGTGAAGTGCGTAACAGATATGAGCTTTTCTAAAGGCTCTAATTAAGCACCACTCTTCTCTCTTTTTTTATGAGTAAGTGAGACATTCTTGAAATAAAACACTGGATAAATAAACAAAAAAATGCACATCCACTTGCCCAGGACACCTAGGATCTTGTACACCCTCGGTTTTTCCCAACCCCTCACTTATACAATGATCAGATTTTGAATAACTTACCTTTCTCTTCTCTGTTTACTCTCCTCGCTGTACTTGCGACTGAGTTTTTATTAATGCCTTCTAAATTAGTGTGGCTGCATGTTCTACCTTGTTCTTCCTCTTGCTTTAAGAGATTAAAAATATGGATTAAACACTGCTTTAATTGCTACAAAAGGAAAAACAACTATACAAAGAAAGAAAAAGTACAGCAGCTGGATGTAGTCCATTTGTAGTAACGTAATAGTGACTGGTTGTTATTATGCACAAACTGAGGTTCATTCAAAAAAAAGTTACAAGGTTAGTTACTAGTACATTCCATAAATAGCATAGTGTGTTGTTAGTGCACTTTTTCCTTTTTGAGGTAAAAAGACTGATGAAAATGCTTAAAGAAAGACAAAAACCATCAGGAGGACACGATTTAGTGAGAGGGCTGCCGAGGGCTCAATGAGACAAACAGGACCGTGAACGCCAGGACACCGAAAAGCGTCCACTTGATTCATGGGACAATGGGGAGGCACCGAAAGTTTCTGAACAGAAAAATGACAATATCAATATAGTGATCTAAACAAAAAGGAAAGAAATTCTGATACCTCCTATAACACGGATGAACCTTGAAGACAGCATGCGAAGCAAAAGCAGCCAGAAAAAGGCAAATATTGTAGGATTCCACTTACGTGAAAGATCTAGACTAGGCAAGTTACGTCATAGAGATGGAGAGTAGAATAGAAGCGGCCAGAGGCTGAGGCTGGGTATGTGGGTAAGGAAGGAATGGGAGTTATTGTTTGATGGCACGGCGTTCCTGTGTGGGATGAGGAAGCAGCACCGGAAACGGTGGTGCTGGTCACACTATTTTGTGAATGGAATTAATGCCACTGAATTATACGTGTAAAAATGGCTAACGTGGTAAATTTTATGTTATATATATATTTTACGACGATAAAAAAGCAAAGCAAAAGCCTGGCTAAAACAAGATTTTCATGACTGAAAGTTGGACAAAGTTCTCTCATATCTATAAAAGCACTTACCATCGATAATTAAAAAGGAAAAGAAAAAACCAAAATAAATGGTGATCTACAGCGGCTCTGGTGGCAGGACAGGGCAACAGCTGCCCATTACTTCGCACGGCAAAGGATGACACTACCCAGTGGGAAGGGGCAGGTCACATCTTCCAAGCGTCCCACAGCACCGAATGCTACCCAGTATCCAGGTGGTTTCGTAAATTTAATTTTAACGTACTCACCACAGTGTTTGCTTCTTTCTCCAGAGAGATCCTGGTTCTGCTGGACTCCGCTTAAAGAGGACAGAGAAAGAGGGCACACAGAAAGGGTACCATTCCCAGCTCCTAACTGATTCGCACAAAGCTTGAAAGACAAGTGAAGTGTTTCAAGCCAAAGAACCAAAGCATTAGCTTGATGGACGATGATCACGCTGTAGCCACCTGGTAATATTAACATCTCCTCTGCTTTCCGCTCTTTTACTCCTAAAGTTAACATCTCAAAGTCGCCCTCTCTATTGCCTTAGGCCAACCCAACTAGGCGCTAGGAGGTAGGATGCTCGGCCTACTCAGAAGGTCATTATCACCTTCAGCCCTGGCTCGGGGTGGCATCTGTGTTTCCCCGAGTCAGCTGTGACAGCAGGTGGAATAGGTGTCCCTCCCGAGGGACCAGCAGCAGGGAGAGGGCGCTCTGGCACCCAGTCCCTCTGGGAAGGGCAGCTGCTGCCTGGATTTCCTCCGGCAGAAGTCACAGTCTGTGTTCCTCATTCACTCAACACGTAAAAACTTAGATGCCATTAGGCATCTATGATGACAGGCACTGGGGACACAACAGTGAGCGAATGGGACGTGGTCCCTGCCCTCCCGTAGCTTCCGCTGCTCTGGTCTGCCTACAGGACGGACGGGAGACGCCACCGCACATATGGCCCCGGCGTGGGGGACCCTCTCTGCTGGTTTATTTCTCTCTCTTTAGGAACTGTAAAACTACACTTTCCCAAACTACCTTGAAACTCTTCCTGGACTGTTTTTGTTGGGATTGTTGCCCAGCATTTTAAGACTAACTTCCTATGACCCTGGGACCTGAGCGGAAGCTACGAAACAGAACTCAAAGAAAAATTAGCACTAAAACACGCTGCCGAAACAAAGGAAACCAGCTACCTCGTAAAGAACGGAGAAAGGGCGGAATTTTAAGACTGAAGGGTTTACAGCACTAGAAGGGTTTACAGTGTTACAAACACAACATTTAAAATGGAGCTTGAAGAAAACAGTACGGTCGGTATTCCGGTCGGTATTCGGTCGGTATTCAAAGTGCATCTTTTCTAGTACATGGTGCTGAAGTCAAGGGCACCAGCCAGTGGCTGCTCCGCAGCTCATCCCTCCAAGGGGACGACCTATGACCTCTGAGATTTGCCCAGGTTGACTAGAGATGTACAAAAACTTTGCGCAGCTCTCATGTGAACAGCGCCAGCTTTTGTAAAAGCTTGTTTTTAAAATTTTGCTTACAAGATGGTTCTTTGGAAACTTGGGGATACAATCTCTGATAAGGTTAACATTATATTTTCATGGCTAGACCCCTAGGCCAGCCCACAGAAGCCTTGTACCTCACCCGGAACGAACCAGGGTAAACATGGCTCTAATAAGAAAACAAGCGATCTCTACATCGCTAAAATCTCCAAACTTAGCTTTCTGATCTCTGGCAAAGTAAATATGTAAGATTCAGTACGGAATTATGTCCTATGTAAGAAAAAAAATTTTTTACTCTGAGGAGCACTTTAGAAAAACATCTCTAACCACTGGAAAATTGCATTTCTTTTTTGTTACACTATATTTCAAAAAAACACTTAACAAAAAAAAATATGCTTTCAAAAATTCTTACCCTTTTCTCTTGGTTTGCTATGCTTAGATTTTTTGGTTTCTTCTAACACCTGCTCGCCATATTCTCTGATGATCTAAAAACGTAAAGCAGAGAATTTAAAGATGTGCCTTACCCTTTGCTTTAGACACTCCCCCACAACAATATTGAACGTTGAAAAATATTGAATTGCTGAAATGCAATTTCAAACATATACCATAGAATTTAGATCCACGGACAGACACCTACATAAGTCTAGAAAAAGATCTGAAAGGACATGCAAAACTATACCTGTGATTACACGTGGGGAAGGGCAATGGGGAAGGAAAAGAGGGGCGAAAGGAAGCTTTAGCTTTTTTTTTAAAAAGCACTTCTGTATTCGAGTTTTTACAAGCCTGTACAACGTGGGATTGTTTAAAAAAATAACACACCGCCTTCCCACACACTCGAAGCCTGTTCACGGTCAGCCCGGCCGGCGGCAGGCATACCTCTGGGGTGAAGCACTTGTGGAGAAGCCGGGCTGCCGCGCCCCTGGAGAGGAGCGTGGTAGCCGAGGGGCGATGCGCGGGGTTCCTTTTAAACATCTGCTGGATGAGATGCTGAAGCTCGCGCGAATAATGAGATGGCAGGGGGCTCACGGACCCCTGACATATTTTGAGGATAAGGCTTTTCCAACTATTTGCCTGAAACTGAAAAGTAACATTGAACTGTACAAGCAGAAGCAAGGAAGGAGAACGGCAGTAAGACAATACCAGCTGACCTGAATTCACGTGAATTACTTGAATTTTACAACTGTTACCTGCTGCCTGGTCATTTTTCTTCCTAGGGGTGTCCTTGAGATACTATTCAAAATCTTATGGTGGTTCAGAAGAGAGTAAAAAACTGAAATAGTACGTAGTGAAAAACTTCCCCATCTGGAGAAAGAATCTCGCCATCAGTGCCGGCTGTGGGTCCTTGATTACTTACCATCCATGTTTTTGCAGATAAACATTTTTAATGTATTTTAAAAATCAGACTAATACATACATATGATTTTTTCCTAAAGTCAAATGACACCAAGGGCTTATACAAGAGCAGTGCTCAGTCACTCCACTCCTCCCCAGAAACCCCTATGCCTGCTTCCTGGCAAAATGTGCTCTAGACCTTTCCAGTTTTAAACAGCCTCGGCAAAGGCCTGTTCGCCTCTTGCGTCATCAAAGTAACTTTTAAAATTTGACAACAGATATAAAATCACATACCAAAAAATAACATTTTAAAGGTTTCCATTGCATACTAAATATATTAGAATTAACGTTAGATTCCGCCTTGATCATACTCAGGTAAGAACAGGTTGACTTGGAAGTGCGTTACCCTGTTAATAAGATATACGAGTGCAGATGTGAAAAAGGAAAAATCAACATATGCCAAAGGAAAAATTCAGGTAATGAGAAATAAGATTGAATCTGCCCTCCCTCAGGCTTTTAGTGTTTCTACTGGGTTTTTTGGCATTTCCTAAAGGCTTAAGAACTACTTTTGCCTTAAGGCAGGTGAGAGAACAAACTGTATGCCAAATATTCAGGGTGCGCTGCTCCTCAATACTTATTCTTGATAGAAAAACATAAGAGCATGTATGCAAAAGTGTACAAAAAAGACAAAAATCAGGGAAATAAAGAACATAATCTAAATAAGATCCTGGAATTTAAAGTTATTTTATTTGTATACAGCAATGGTTCTCCACTTGGGCCACACATTGGAATCACCGTTTGAAAAACACGAACGCCCAGGACACCCTCAGAGACGTGAATTCAATCAGCCTGGTGCGGCCATCAGGGCCGTTTAAAGTTTCCCAATGGAAATGGTCCAAATGGCAAATTTTAGGTTATATATATTATGTCAAAAAAAAAACAAAACAAAACAAAAAGTAAGAATAGCAAAAAAAAAAAAAGAAAGAAAGAAAAAAAAAGGAGCAGGAAGGAAGAGAGGGAGGGAAGCAAAATATAAAACGATAAAAATCTAAATAATGGACATTTCCTATTAGTATAAGCTACAAAAGTGACTCAAGGCAAAGATGGTAGCAATGGAAACACATTCACACCATGGGGTCGCCCAGGGGAAGCGAACCCCCTGCTGGACTCCCGCGCATTGCACGCGATCCGCCAGATGCGCCAACAGGCTGCCCGCCGTACTCACCGGGTGCTTCAGCGTGCAGAGTTCGTACAGAATGCACCCCAAGGACCAGATGTCACTGGGAACACAGAGGAGCAATGTGGGTTATGAGTTATCGCATGAACATATATGTACTTTCCAACATTAGAAGGTGAAAAATGACCTTTCGTAAGGACAGATGTTGCAAGTAATTCCTAGCTATTGAAATACAATCTAGGGTAATTTTTGTCTGGTACTTCGGGACTTACTAACAGTGATGCTCATGACAGACTCTGCCCCCCTGCCCCCCTCATCCTGGTAGTTCAGGTGCTATGTCAGGAGCATTTAGTGCAAGAGGGGATCTCTGTGGATGCCGATTATCACAGCTGGAAGAAGGGCGTTAGAAGGCGCCGGGGCAGCCTTCACCCAGACCACCCGGGCACAGCGCCAGGCCTCCGGTCACACCTCCTGATGGCCAGCAATCTACCGGGGGCACAGTGCCCCTGGTGGATGGTTCTAAGGGACAGTGTTCTCGCTCATCATAAGCCAAAACATGTCTTCTGGGGACTCTCCCTGCCGCCCGTGTTGGCTCCGCATTCCAGACAGAGAGAGCAAGGCGACCCATTCGCCCACACAGAGCTCTCCACACAGGAAAGACCCCGCACCCTGCCCTGTCCATTCGCTCTTCTCCCTCGTTCCCCCTCCCGGATGTCCCCACCAGGCTCTTCAGAGAGGATGTTCTTTTATTTTAATGAATGGTTTTTAGCAACTGTTGCCTCCACATTTTAATTTTTTAACGTTTGAAACCTACCGCTCAAGTGCTTATTATCTGGTCCTGTAAATGTTAACGCGATGACGTCATCCAGCGGTTCCTGAATTTAGCTGCACACTGGACTTGATCCTGGAGAGTTACTGATGCCCACTTCCCGCCCCAGACATGGTGGTTTAACTGGCAGGCTTGCAGCCTGCACTCTGGGAGTTTTAAAAGTGGGAAAACAGCAAAGTTGAAGAACCAGTGATATATTCCCACCGTCCCGAGAAATGACGAGCCTGCCTTTCACCATTTCCGTTTCGCTCCTCTCAACTCTGGTCCCAGCTGCTGGAAAGCTGGGGTTGCACCGAGAAGCCTGGCAATTCAGACTTGACACTGCTTTCAGGCATTTTTTAAAAACCAAACCTCATTTGTAGGCTGCAATGTCTGTCACCCAACAGTCACCCTCGCACCAAAGACGTACATCACCTACCTTTTATTGTTATAAGGCATGTTTTCCCAAATTTCCGGGGGCACATAATAAGGTGTTCCCACATAAGCACAAGCGAACGCCATGGGACTAAAACCACAGAAAGGCAAAGGGTGAGCACAGAACATCCCTAATCACAGGTGCTCGGACTGTTGCCACTACTACAGAGTAGACGCGCCTACCTGGAGAGAAGACGGGCAGATCCAAAATCTCCCAGTTTTACTTTTCCGTTTTGAGTGAGGAACACATTCTGCGTTAGAAGAGGAGCTCAGGTTACGTCCTCCTCATCCCAGCAGGAGGCAGAGGCCTCCAGGCAAGGTAAGCGGTCTGACATGGAGGGTAAGGGCAGGGATGCCGGAAATGATCGGGGCTCCGTCCCCACATGGACCAGAAGGACAAGGTAGCCTCCTGACAGCCACACGTCCCCCGACTTGGGAATTCTGGATGGCTGATCAGAAATCTAGCACGGGAGCTGCGGACTGGATCTGCAGACCCGATCGGCTGCCTGGGAACCCGTGTCAGGTGGCTCCACGCGGCAGGCCCAGGCCATAGCTGTTCTCCATCTGGGAACGCAAGGACTAAGGAAGCAGCTGAATGAACAAAACACTACTAAAGAGACGCAGTGACTTTCTCTCAGGTAGTACCTCATTTGGCTGGTGTGAATACTAGGTTGAACTATTTCTAAACTAAATAAAAAAGTCCCAAAAGGAAATACAGATAGAATAAGAGAAAAAAGATGGCATGAAATAGTTCTGGGGTTGTTTTGTCTTTTTTGGTCCCAAAATGTATTCCGCTTACCTTGGATTTGATATCTCTGTGTAACACACGCTTCTTGTGAATGTGGTTTACTCCAAGGCACATTTGTGTGAACCAATTAAGTATCTGTAAAAAAGGAAAAAAAAAGATGCAAATCTGCAAGAATACAAAGACCGGTTCATGTTAAACCTAAATTCCAAAGACTCATCCCCAGGCCTTAGCTGACTTGGGTTTTACATAATGTAAACCCAGAACTCCGAAAAATTACGTAGTTCAACTAAGATTCAGCGTTGCCTGGAGAAAATCAGAAAAGCTGTGCACTCCATGTTTCATTATTTTACCATTGTATGTATGATCCCAATAGCAATTTATTTTAATACAACTCCCACTATATTTTTCTTGTATTGAACCAAATCAAAGTATTTCTTAAATACACAAAGGTAGTTTACCACTTAGAAAAGCGAACATGCTACAATGCTATAGTGCAATCTTTACATCAGATTTTCATTTCCTTTTTCAGAATATTCTTCCATTAACATTAAAAGATTTAATTATAATTGACAACAATCCTGTGAGGTCAGCATTTCACTTACAAAGCCCCAGAATTTCCAGGCACCTGCGATTCAATGTCATACCGACTTTTTTTCCTTTTTGCTATGGAGGCTCATCCAGTTGAAGCCAATGATGACCTCCTTCTATGGAACCCACATTTTAAACAAAACAACTTCTAAATAAAAAAAATATTTATACCCATCCAGTTGTATACCCTGAACAAATTAAACCCCATGAAAGCTGTTTTTAGTTTCCTCAGCCGATTTGTTAAAATAATATTCGCATGTGATTTTCCATTAAAAAGGCAGTAATACTAGACTTAAGAAAATATGCGAAATTTGAGAAGGACCAAGACTGAGAATAGGGCTCCCAAGAAACAGAAATGCAGGCTTCATGTTTTTCATGATCTAGAAATACAAGACAAATTCATCTGCCTCTAAACTTTAAATACAACTGAGCCCTGACTGGTGTGGCTCAGTGGACTGGGCGGTGGCCCCAGGCTGAAAGGTCGCTGGTTTGATTCCCAGTCAGGGCACGTGCCTGGGTTGTGGGCCGGGTCCCAGACTGGGGGCGTGCGAGAGGCAACCGATCGCTGTTTCTCTCTCCCTCTCCCTCTCTGTCTCCCTCCCTTTCCCTCTCTCTAAAAACACATAAATAAAATCTTTAAAAAAATAAAACTTTTAATACAACAAAAATAAAAAATTTAAATATCTAGTACAAAATATAGTACAACTTTTAAAATCTTCTAAATATGGACATTTTAGTCCTTGATATTTTATACACTTCTATCTATTTTACTTCCTAGCAGCCTCGCAGGCGGCCATCCCCTGAGAGCAGTGAGCGCGTGGACGTGGAAACGCGGCCTTTCTACCCAGCGAGTCAAGTCCTCACAGGCAACGACGCTTTTGTTTTAACTCACACAGATCTAATGAGACAAGCTGCTTCTAAACCTTGAGGAAAACCCAGTCAGTCAGCTTCTTACCGTATCTTCGGGAAACAGCCTTCCTTTCTGAAGCTCAATCTTTTGCATTAGGTCCCCTCCATCACAATATTCCATCACAATATAGAGATGTCCTTCAGCTAGAACACACGTAAGACTCTTTAGGAAAGCACAGTGGCCCTAAATCAAGTTCCGGAACGCACAGAGCTGGGGGAATTGATCTTTACCTTCAAATGCCTCTTGAAAGGCAACGATATTGGGGTGTTTCATTTTGGCTAACAGAACAGCCTCCTTCCGAGAATTCTGCGTACCAGAGGACGACTAGAAGATTTTAAGTAAGTATAAATGCAATGCTTCATCTGAAAGATCGCTTCACAACAATATAGTATACATAATACTTCAGTGCCAGATGCAGTTTTATAGCCCTGCTCTTTGACCCAACTAAAGTTTATCAAACTCGAAAGACACCTTGTAGCGATCTTCAACTATGGCTATATTTTTCATACTTAAGGTGATCTAGCCTTACGAGTATGTAAACTAGCCTTAACATCAGCCTAAACATAACCTGACTTGGAGAGCCGGAATGCTGTTAATGACAGCGTATCCTTACAGAACGAGAGGTTTCGTGTTTTAACTCTCTGCATCACTGTGTCCACTGGCCCAGATTAAAAAAAAGAAAGAAAAAAAGAATATACTGGTGCATTACAATAGCATAGATGAGCAAAGACTATACGTAAAGAGTGTTTCCAAAACTGTTTATCCCTGATGTGCTCTGTGAGGATGAAAGACTGACCGACTTACCTGGCAATTAAGAAACAAGTGTCCTCAGACCAGCAACATCCATTCCAACTGGTAACTTATTATAAAGGCAAATTCACGGGCCCACCCAGCCCTCCCTCAAGAAGAGGCTGGGGGTGAGGCTCCACAGTCAGGGTTTTAACAAACCCTCCAAGTGGGGCTGACGCCTGCTCAAGTTTGAGAACCGCGAACAAGGTCAAGAATGCGGTGGGGGGAAATAAGAGCACTGTTGCATTTTATCGTAGTAAAATGTTTTGTTTTGTTTTTTTAAATTGATCAAACCAGTATTAGGCTGCCTCCATGGCATGGATTCTTTCATATGACAACTGCGATACACAGTGATAAAGAGTGATAAATCATCACCTTCTTCATCATACAGGGAAGTGAAACCTATAAACTGAACCACAGAATAGGTACTCTGATTCCAAAGTCAGCATTTTAGATCTTTGCTCTTCATTGTACTTTTGTGTTCCTTTTTCATTAATATGGCACCTCAGTTGCCCTGGCTGCGTGGCTCAGTTGGTTGGAGCACTGTCCTTTACACCAAAAGGTGGCAGGTTTGAGTCCCCATCAGGGCACATAACTAGGTTATGAGCTTGATCCCTGGTTGGGGTGTGTGTGCATACAAGAGGCCCCGGGCCGACGTTTCTCTCTCCCTTTTTCACTCTCTAAGATCAATAAAACCATATCCTGTGGTGAGGATTAAAAAAATATATATTGCACCTGAGTTGTTTTTGGCAAAGACTCCCTACACCCTTAGGCATACAAACTTATAAGTTATTACAAATTATTCTCACTGAGCTAAACAGTAACCATCACCTTTGACTATTTTCCTTTTGGTTAATTACCATATCCTAAGAACCACATAAAACATATCAAGCCCTTGTAAACCTAACGAGTGAACCCATTACATCTTTTACACCCAGGAGCCATTCCAAGTTAAATCTCAAGAGCTTGTTCTCCTATACAAATTACATGGACATTTTCAACATGAGCTAATCTCTTCAGCAGTGACCTTGGGGAGCCTTATCTCCTTCATGGCAAACGTCCGATTACTGCTTTCCTGCTGAACCAAGAGGGCTCTGCCGAAGGAGCCCTCCCCGATCACACGCAGGACCGTGTAGCCGTCCATGCTGGGCGCCCACGCGGTGGCTCCTCTCCCAGGCACCACGGGCTCCCCCAAGCTAGATTCTAAAACAGAAACATTTGAGGATTACATTCATTTTCAAAAGGCAGAATGAATTCAAAGTACCTCTGATCACCATGGCAGGACACCACCACCTTATTCCTTTGTTTGTTCAACAGTCTGACCTGAGCACCTGCGCCAGGGTTTATAACCCTGGGGAAGTCTGTCACCGGCCCTGTCCCTGCCATCACAGAAGCCCCAAGGCAGACGGGACCCCAGGTCTCAAACCAATGTAGGGCGGTGAGTCTCACAGATAGAGCTAGGCTGGCATCTAGCAGAAATATCCAGGGGAGTCAGGAAAATGTTATTTAAGCTGAAGCCTCAAGCATGAATGGAAGCTGGCCAGCCAGAGAGGAGCAAAGAGTGATGGAGCACAAGGGAATCGCTTGTTTAAGAGCCAAAGAGACGGTGTCCGGTTCAAGGAACTGAAAGAGGGCTGGGACAGGCTGGTAAAGCAGACAGGGCCTGTCTGAAGGCCATGGTAAGTCAAGTTCAGGTTGCTGCATTTTATCCTCGAGGTAACTAACGGGCGCTCTCTGGACGGTTTTAACCCCGACAGCAACGCAATCCTCCCTGCGCGTCAGAACAATCCCCCATTCTGGCTGCAGCGCGAGTGGACTGGACAGGGGCGGGGGAGGCCCCAACAGAAAAGGTAGGGAAATGATGAGGAAGTGGAATAGGGCAGTGGCCATGGGGATGAAGGAAACGGGAAGGAGATGTGTACAAAGGAACGGCAAGGTTTTTGGTGATAGATTTATGGAGGACGAGGAGGGAGAGGAGGACAAGACGTGGACCCCCAAGGTCCTGGGGTAAAGTGAGTTAACAATGGTATCATTCCCCCAAAGAGAGGAAAGCCACAGGGGTCGTGTGCGTGGCTTTTGTTTGATTTTTCTTGGCAGTGGGAATGTGCCAGGGATGGGGAAAGGCATGTTGAGCTGGAGGTGCCTGGGACTAAGACGAGACATTTAAACAGACAGTCTTTAAACTCCAGCCTCCGCTTCTATACATCCAGGAGGAAACAGCTAGTTGGATTGCTTAATACTAAGAAAGAATGAATAGAAAGTTCCTAATGCTTTGATACATAGGAGGCTCCAAATAAACCACAGCTAATACTATCATTAAAACCTTAGAAGAGTGATGATTTTGTTCTTTCTTTACAGAAAAAAACACTGGATGAATTTACTTCATTTTCAGAAAGCTTCCTTGTAGTGTTTTATTTTATTTTATTTAAAAGAAATCACACCACAAGGAATTATGAGGCACAGAGAGCAAGGCAGATAAAGTAAAAATCGCAGACCAAAACCTACAGTATGATCCCCCGGTGAATCTTCGTTTGTATCCCTGTTTGTCATAGAATTACCAGGCAGCTCTAGAAATAATTTCTCCCTAGAACCACTCAGATGCATTGTCTTCAAGACAACTTTTCAAGAACAGTTAGGTCTTCCCGTGTATTTAGGGACCTGATGGAAAAAAGTTTCTTTGACACTATTTTAAGTGACCCCTGGGATTTATGACACGATTTAACAAGGAGGCCAAGTTTTCCCCTAGTCCTATTCTTTTTTTCTTCGGAGTCTTTATTCTACGTAATAGACAGTAACTGATCAGTCAAGAACCGCCCGCACTTCTCGGCTGAAAACCACAGCTGGTCCTCTCGGCCCACACTTGTGCTGATACCACACTCACACGATCCTGAGACTTGCATACACTCTGAACGCGACAAGTGTCCCCTCGCGTGCCCATGCCCAGCAAAAACTAATAGTGATCTGCCAGTGCCACAAGTGGGATCCCCGGCGAGTCACAGGGGAGGTGGGGAAGGTGCGCGCCGGGGAAGGCCCGCATCACGTAGGACACCAGTCATCCATGTCACTCGCGACCAAATACTCTGCTGCTCCCGCGTCCCCGCTCCCAGGGCAGCGCCCCCTCCTGGCACCGGCGCCTCGCCCGGCGCCTCGGGGAGCGCGTCTCCGCCGCGTCCCCGGCCCGCGTGGGCCCCGCCGCGCCCCTCCCTCCACGGCCCGCCCGCCCAGACCGCTCACCCGCTTCCCCGCGACCCGAGGCGGCCCTCCGCCCCCGCGCCTGGCGCGCTTCCGCGGGGCTGGACGGCCGGTCGTCTCTCTGGTTGCGGACCGAGGGAACCTCCCGGTCGGGCGGGAGGCGCTGTTCTCGGAGTCGGCGGGCCTACGAAAGGCGCCTTTCAAAAACTGGTCCCACGTGGCTTAGAACAATGCCAGTAGTATCGGGGGTCGTGTCCCCCCCCAGTTCAGTTTTGTCTCCGCCCATGCGGACCGCCGAGTAGGTAAGTTTCAGGCGCTCGGCTCAGTGGCCGTGACCCTGGGCAAGTGTGGGGGGACAGAATGACGCCCCCCCACCCCAGAGATGTCCACGCCCCAGTGCCTGGAATTTGTGCAAGTGATCAGGTCCAGGGCAAAGGCGAATTAAGCTTGCAGATAGAATTAAGGTTGCCAACCAGCTCTCTTTAAACTATGGAGATTATTTTGGATTATTCTGGTGGGCCCGGTGTAACCTCATGGGCCCTTTAAAGCGTGTGGACGGAAAAGGGGCCACAGAATCGGCCTGACCAGCTCAGGGGAGGCACGTGTTGCGGTCCTTACACATTTAGAGACTGAAAATAACTGCACAGGATGGTCTGAGTATAAAAATTCCAACTCAAGGCCGGCCATGGCCCGCAGTCCCACGCTAGGCTCTGACCAAGGAAAACCCCAGGGACAGTCCCTGCTTTTCCCTGGGTGGTTACTTCCATGTCCCGTTTGCTGCTGACCTTTGCTACCCAACTTTTCAGGGGTGTCCGACCCGCAGCTCACAGGCGGCCCAGGATGGCTGTGAATGTGGCCCAACACAAAATCGTTGATTTACTGAAAACATGAGATGTTAGGTTTTGTGTATTTCATGTGTGGCCCAGACGCCAGAAGGCTGGACACTCCTGCTTAAACGGTCACCCAGTGCCTCACATTGACATAGTTCAGGTCCAACTACGTAGAGAAGACCAATTCCGTCCTGACTCCAAGCACCTACGGAAAGGATTCTGACCAGCCAGCTTGGGTCAGGTGTCCATCTGGGCCACTTGCCCAGGGGGACAGGCAGACAACATGGCACAAAATGGCCAGAGGGGATTATCTCCATCCTTCGGAAAGATGAGGTTCAAGTAAGTAGCTTCTTCATGGCCGCCTAACGTTGAAAGAAAGGCAAGAGCTGGGATTTTGAACACAGCTCTTGCCGAAACTCAAAGCTCACGCACCGTGGAGATTTAGCTTGGAAGGAACCCGAGGTCAGACACATGACTGTTCCTAAGCCTCTGAAAAGCAGTTCCACCTCTGTCCATAAATGTTAGAACTAACTATAACTATTTCCCTCAGTTAATTGAGGGGGTAAACACTCCATAGAATTCGTCCAAATATAGAAGTTATCTCAAGTTCTCATTTACAGAGGTATTTTAATCTATGCTGTATGAGCAAATGAAACTTATGTTATAGATATTAAAAAGCTCAGAGTGCAAGCCAGCTTGAAGTTTATTTCAAAATGGCCTATTTTGTGCCACCTGTACAAAGGATGAAAAGAACCAACTAAATAATTAAGGTAAAAATTAGGGTACACTATCAGAGATTACTTCTCAAAAGAAAATAACCATTAAGCACATACCTATTTTGAGTGTTGAAACACTGAAGTCAATTACCACTATATATTATCAAAGCCAAGGTTTCAATTTATTCACTGTGGTTAAACTGCATTTCATATTTGTTAAAATAAACGACACCGAAACATTATGTAGATATTTTAATTTATTGTTTACATATTAGGCATAGTTTAAAAAGAATAAAAGCCCTATTGTCTATAACGTGAAAACAATATAAGATGCTACAGATATATAGGTATAAATTAGTCTACACAGCTTTAAAATGATCTAATTTCTTACAATGGCCAGTTACTTATTAGTGAACGTAGAATTGGTAGAGGAGATACACCATTTGATCAGTTCAAAGACATAAATGATTTTATTAGTGATGTATGTGTGGAAAGAAGAGAACTGTTTGTATCATGTAACTATCATGTTTCAGGGGATGTGATTTAACAGTTGTTTTTAGACTACAAAGCAAGTTTAACTATTAGTTATTTTAGGAACACCACCAAAACTAGAATAACATTTATTAATTATTATTAAAGGAACACAGTAAACTAGTGGACAGACGCACCTGCCTCTGAGAAAACCGTGGCCTGTCAAGATCAACAAGGCTGGGCCGAGCTCTCTAACACAGAAGGCAACAGCAACGCCTGCTGTAATGTATTAGTAAAAGGGTTTCCTGCTCTGAACACTTAAGTATTTGGCCAACTCCCGACCTAAGAGACATACGCGGCCACAACCAACAAACTAAACCCCCCAGGAACAATGAAAACCTCATTTCCTATCATAGCTTTATTTCTCTGACGTCGTTTCAGTCTCCAAATACATCCGGCACAGGGCTGCATTGGGGCGGCATATAAAAGCATCCATTTCATCTCCCAACTCTGTTAACTGTTCTAATGAAGACACACAAGGATAGTGGTCTTTTAACATATCAGGCAATTTAGAAGTCTTGTCCTGAAGGCGCCTAGAACGTCTAACTGGTGTTAGAAACTTCAGCTCTTTAAGTGTAGAATTTATTTCATCAAACTGCATTTTCTTTTTTACACTAAAAAAAAAAAAAAAAAAAAATCCACAGAATGATTCCCGGAGTTAAAAAACACATTAACATTTTTTACTTTGTACTTTGATGCTATTTATTGTTCCATAACTTGTATAATAACCATGTGATTGTTTGTTTTATAGAGGTACTATACCGCAAACTCCTTAAAATAAGCAATTTTCTCTTTTCTCAATTTTTGTTATACCTTATGCATAATCGATACGTGGATATCTGTAGAATTGTCTGTTGAATTGCCAAAGCCTACTGTTACCCATAATACACAAACAGCAATTAAATAAGTGATGTAAAAATTTTCTTTTTAAAAGTAGCAATATTTAGGGAAAAGCAAGCAAGTAACAGTACGTAAAAGGTGATGGCCCAATGACATTTAATTTGTTTGAAATCTTTCTATTAACGAATAGCTCTAACCAAAAGCTATCTTAAAGATTTTCAACTACTGTATTTATTATCCCTAAGCATAAAAACAAATCACATTACATTTTAAAAGCTTACCTTTGCAAGTATGGTGTAGTAGACACATTATATTTAATTAAGCAACTATTCCTAGTTTCTGTGTTGGGGGTTTTAGCATCATTGGTTGGATCTTTTGTTTTGTCAATGTGCTCTTTTTCACAATCTTGAAACACCACACTTCTGTGGTGTTTATTTTCCATTTCAGGTTTTTCTGACTCCACATTAACACCAGTATCTTCAGGGTGGGCTTCTTGGATTTGCTCCTTGGTTGTACAAGCCTCCTCAAAATTTTCTCCTATAGAAATACACTTACAGGTTATGCTTTTGATCAAATTTGAAAAACAAAATCAGAAGACATTACCGCTATTCACAGCAAACCAGATTTTCAAAATAAAGACCATTAGTTTTCCTAAGCAAATACTGCTGACAACTGTTTAACGCTATTTACTAACACCTCTGTATCAGGGATTATAGGTACAAATATAAGAATGGGCATCATCCCTGTCCTTTAAGGAGTTCACATTCCATGGAAGAGACACGCTTGAAGATAATTATAAACGCCGCGCCAATAAAAAGGTTGGAAGAAAGAACCCACAAAAAGGAATAACAAGCTCTGCCGGCGGGACTGGGAGATGGATGGCTGGGAAGGACCTCGCAGGTGACCTGCACGCTGGGGCTTGGAAAATGAGTACTGGACAAGACCAAGGAAGACAATCTCGGTATGAAGTTAAAGACAACTTTAAAGCGCCAGCGCACTTAGAACATGAAGCAAGGAGCAAGGTCAGGATGTAGGGAGGAGGGGATGAATTCAGATAGGCAGGAAGGGTCGAGTGCAATGAACTTGATGTGCAAGTAAGTTGGCAAACAAACAAACAAAAACAACAAATTTGCTGGCGAGACAGCTACAATTAGGTTCGGTCACGATGCAGGATGGTTTCGAAAGGCAGGGTACGAAAACTCACAGCCCATGACAGCAGGTAAAAAGACAAAGCGGTTGTAATGGCACTCGCACATCGCGACAAGGAGGAAGAGCCCGAGGTAAGAGCCATTTCCGAGCTAGGCATTAAGCAACGATTGCACGCGTGTGTCTGTCTGCATGAAGGGGCATCCCTTGAGGATTTCTTGCTTTGGTGTCTTTGATGGCAGAGGAAATCCCCCCCCCCCCCTTTTTCTTTTTTGGGAGGAAGAGATGGTGGTACGGGGACAGATAAAGGTCAAAAAACATGTTAGATGTGAAATACCTGTGAGACATCTGGTAAATCCATCAAGTTGAGAAGACCTCTAGATTTGATTATTAGGAAAATAATTAGAGATTTACTAAGAGATGTTTCAGTTACATGATATGCTGAATGTGGTTCTTTCAGTGAAGAGACTTTGAAGTGGGGAGAGGGGAATATGGATTCTTTAATTCAACAAGTATGTCGTGCCTGGCACATGCAAGACACCGCATTAGCACCAGGGATGCACTGGTGAGGAAGATCAGACTCTGTCCCCGTACACCGAGCTGATAGTTTAAAGGACAAGACAAGCAAGCAAGCGCATTAATTACTGTACAGAGAAGAAAACGGAGCACAAAACAGGTGCATCCAACCTAGATGGGTGGGGGAGGAAAGGGAAGGCTGCTCCCAAAAACACCTTTGAGTTGAGGGCTAAAAGTTAAGGCGGAATCAAGTTAGAAGCAGAAGACTGACTTGGATAGACTCAGAAGCAGGGCAGACAGTATAGCCTCTTCTAGAAAATAAAAGAAAAAAAGTAAAGAAAGAAATTCAGGGGTGTGAGGGCGTAGGAGCGTGGCAAGAGGCTGGAGGCAGGAGTTCAGACAGGTAAGGGACGGGGCACTCGGATCGCAGCGCTGAGAGGGCCAGGGCAAGAGCAGAGGCCGGCGGACGGCGGATGAGACGCGGTGCCGACGGAGGGGTCAGGCTGAGGGGACGTGGGAGTGAACGTGACCCGGGGTTTCTGGTGTGGGGAGCCGGCGGTGTCCGAGAGGCACCGGCGGTGCTTGCCTCTCTTGCTATTTCAGGAAGCCGGGAGTCTATTGACTGCATTTCTTTCTCCATCTAAAGACAAATAGTCCACCTGCTAGAAAAAAATTCCACTGACTAGGACTATTCTATGAAGGAAAAATAGGATTGAAAACAGAATCCGATTTAAACACTGTTTTCTCTTCCTACACACCTCCAGAGCCAGTGGGAATAATGAGGAAGGCTTTTAAAATGAAATTCTTATTTCTAATTTGCCATCTTTAGTATTTAAGACACAGGATTGATTATTCTTTTTATTAATTTTTTTTTAAAAAGCAAAGGTATACTTGAAATTTAACGTCATATCAGTTTCAGGTATACAGTATGATTCAGTATTCAGATAATTGTGAAATTATCACTACAGTAAGTCTAGTTAACATCTGTCCCCATACATAACAAAATGAATTTTTTCTTGTGATGAGAACGTTGAACGTCTCCTCTCTCAACTTTCAGATACGCAACACACTATTAACGAGAGCCGCCGTGCTGTGGCCGCGCCCCCGCAGCGGATTCGCTTTACAGCCAGAGGGTATAACCGCCGGACCCCCTCTACTCATCATTTCGCCAGGATGGGTTACTCTTAAACTTTTCTCCCTTCGTGGCAGAGTAGACTTTCCTGGCTTTTCCTCCTGTTCCCTGACCCGCTCCTTCATTAGCTGTAACTAGTAAGGTCAGATCACACGCACCTTCTGCGTGTCCCCTGGGGGCCTATGACCAGCAACGGAAACGGAAACAGTCAGCGGGGGACTGGACGCGCGGCCGGTGGACGACGCCCCCGCGCGCGGGGAAGCCACAGCACAGTGGCCGCCTCCAACAGTGTTTTTGGAAGCAAGTAACCAAAACGTGTATAGCACACTTAGAATTTCAGTGTGATCTTTAATTTTACTCGGGAAAAAGGGTATTTTTTAGAAATCTACGTAGCAGCATACATCAAGAGCCTTAAAAAGTTCAAATTGGCACTTTCAGTCAAAAGAAAATAACCAGATACAAGCAATGATGGTATAAAATAGGTGCTCAAGTATTTCTGACTGGCTGACACAAAGTGTTATAGTAAAAAAATTGAAAATAACTCTAAACGAGGAAACAGATTAGCTTACACTCATATGTAGTGATTTCTGCTCTCATCTAAGCTAGTTAATGTTAACAATGGCTAAAGTTTAACGCACTTACCATGTGCCACAGAATGTGATACTTACACAAACTGTGTTTTGTGTACTCACAACTATAAACCTACTTTTTTCCACCCCGGTACATTATTTCATTCAATGGTCCCAAGAGTCTTGAGGAAGATATTAACATTACCTCTTTTACAGATAAGGGGTTAAATTTCTTGCAAACATTCATAGTAATTGGCACAATCTACATCTGAATCTAGCATCTGTTTACAGTTGATACACCTAACAGCTAAAGACTCTCATCTCTCCTCCGCCTCCTACTCCCAGCACAGAGAATTCCTAAATGAGCTTCTCCTCTTCAGCACAGAGCACAGGACAGAATCTAACAGGTAAAAAGTGTCTCCAGATCGTCTACTCGAACTGCCTAAAACTATTTTTTATTAAAACTTTTATTGTTATTCTATTGCAGTTGTCCCAATTTCCCCCACTCTGCGCGTCCCGCGCGCGCGATCCCAGTCAATTCCCGCGCTGCTGTCCGGCCCGCGGGTCATTCATGCCCGTCCTTCGTCTACCAAACTGCCTCGGTCCTAAAACAGGAAATTAAGGCCCACAGCGGTACCGGTACCGGTACCGGCACCACCAGAGACTCGGGCGCGGTGCGGGGGACGCAGCCAGCCTGCCTTCGCGCGCGCTCAGAGGCGGCGGTCTCCACATTCTGAGCCCGAACTGGGGTCAGGCCGGGGTTTAGAACCCTTGGCGTTGGGCGAGAAAAGGATCGGAAAGTCCCAGGGAGCGGAGGTAGATCGTAGGTCAGCCGTTTGTCGGAGGGCTTCTTGCAGCTGGCGGCGGAAAGCAAATTTACAAGCGCGAGAGCCGAGCTGCTTCATAGCATCGGGCTTCCCGGTTTTTGGTTTTTCTTCCCCCCACAGTACCTTTCACAGACACTCAGCGACAAATCGGGGCTTGGAATGAGACCCAATTAAAATCCTTTATGCTACACAAAGCTGAATCTCAGAGGTATGTCAGTAGAAGTATGAGGAAAGATTAACCTACATATTTCAAAAATTTTTAAATGGTAAAATAAAAATAATTCAGCAAAAATGTAATAAAGTCACAATTCAAGGAACTAAAGAAACTAACTTACCAAGTTTAACTTTTTCTTGACTCTTCATTGTTAGAATATCTACAATTGCATGTCGCATTTCTTCAATAGGCTTGGTTTTTTTTAAATAAAGAAAGCAAACACATTAGTTTTATGTTGTAAGATACTATTTTGTCCAAGTTGAAAACATTAAATGCAGTGATTAAACTGTGTATACGAGGGGGTGACCTGTGCAAGAGTCTGTGAACCAATGAATGCATGAAATAAAAAACTTCTCCTCCTCTCCCCCCCCCCCACTAAAAAAAAAAAATTTAAAACAAGGCAGTGGTTCTTAGCCTGCTTATTTTGTCACTCAAATTGAAAAAACAACTGTCTTTTCCAATTTGTAAAATAAAAACGAATTTAAGAAATAGAATTTCATCAGTTTAAAATTTTCCCCCATAATTTTTCTTCAGCCTTTGGTAACTACTGCTACTTGCCTGATGTAAACAAAATTAGTAAACAAGTAGCAAATTAACATTATTAATATCTATTAAAGAGCTGATTACATTGACAGTTTACTTCTTTTCTCCTCCATTCAAGTACATGGCTATATTTTGTTTCACATGGTATTAAATGCATGTTTGAATAGCTCAAGGTTAAAAACCCAACGTCTGGCTTAAGTGTTCACTGTCTGCCAGATACTACAAGCCCTTCCCGTGTTCCTTTGAACGACCACGCCCGCTCACGCAACATGTTCAAGATACTATGCAAAAGTGATGCTCTGGCTCTTAGTCTTCATTCAAGAACTTAGTCCCGAACCACTCACCCGTTCTGCTTTCAATTTTCTTGGCCAACTTTGATCCTTGTTCTCCAACTTCTACTCTAGGGCCCCATCTTTCTCTTTACACTGCTGCTCCGTGGGGACCCTCTGCTCCAGCTCACACTCTAGCTGCGCGGCCATAAGCCGCCTTAAGTCATGTGCTTCTGCTTCAAGGCAGTAGGGGCCTACCGCTCCCTCGCAGGTGGGATTCTAGCACAATTATCCTTCAGCAAAGTGCCTTACATGTAACAACCTTCAAGAGGATGCCCACTGAATACTTGCTTTCTGATGCAGGTGAAAGGTCAAATAGCATTTGTTGGCTTTGCTTAGACTCCTATGAGTAGGCCTGTCTTAAGGAAAGGCTAGCATGAAGAGTTTTTAAAAACTCACTGTAAACAACTGATAAATAAATTTTAATATTAGAGTTCAATTTCCCAGTAGATCAGGGAATGTGCAAAGTGACAAGTTGTGCTACAGTATTTCTCCCTGCAAATGTCATTCAATGTACGCTTCAGCTTACAGCATATCCATTTTCTAAGGTCTGTTTATTCCTAGGATGTGAGCAGACTTTTGAAGGTTGAGAAACAGCTTTTATACAATATGCAATTCTTGTGGCCTTTAAACATTACTTCTACATGTATAACCATAATTTTATTAAGTCCTGCTGTGATGTGTCCCAAATAATTCTGAATAATTACACTGTAATAAACATCGGTAAGTTTTAATCTCACCTGAGCTCCTGCCAGAATGGCCTTTTCATAAATTGAGATAATATTTTCAATAGAGCTTGTGAGTGGTTCGATACGTGCAAGGCATATCCAATATTTAACAAGTTTTTTGGCATCTGGAATATCTTTAACCAGGTCATTCAGTGTCCCCAATATTTCTTCTTTTGGGCATCCCTAAAATATTGAGAATTGAAGTAAGTGATCCCTTTTAGCCTAGAAAGTATGAACAATTAAGCAGGCTCACTACAGTCAAGATCAGTGAGAGAAAAAAGTTGTCAGAAAATTCATAAAAATATTCACTATTATCCTCCTTACCCCAAACTTACTCTGAATGGTTAGTAAGAAGCATATCAGCCCGTAAGTACAAGGCACAAGAAAATAATAGTTGGGAAAAATATTAGTAAAAAAGTAACACTCTATTTGGTCTTTATGTTTATCCTCTTATATACTGATGATTCCATTTGTTATTTAGATTTTTTTGTATCTACCAAATGTTTATGAATGAAAATAGTTTGCAGGTTTTAAAATTATATTTGCCAGTTTTGTTATTAAGGTTAAATGAGTCTGTAACAGTTTATGTAAGTGTTATATATAGTTAAGTAGTGGAGCAGAAAAATTCTATAGTATCAATAAAAAACTCCAGCTAAGCAGCAATAGGAATTGAAACAGTTTCCCTGACGATAATTTTCACTGGTTCTCAGAACTACAAAAAGTTTAAAGATGCTCATGAAGACTAGAGTAAGGTCTGAAATCATACTCTGTATATTCAGTCTTGCTCTGGAACTTAGCAGTGTGTTACCAAAGCAAGATTATAGTCAGGAAATAAAGAAAACATTCTGCAGTTATTATAGGATGTCAAATTTTAGTCCAAACAGTAAAACTACAGTAAGTTCAAGACCATAATGATGTTGGTTGAGAGTAATGGGAGTGATTGCAAATAATTCCATCAACTTGAATTTAACCTGCGATAATGACTTACTTATTTGTACTGCTAGTCCTTGGTAAATTATTAACATCACAGAGGAATGCAATATTTACAATTCAAGTAAAAAAAACACCTATCCCTTTGATATATGAGTATTCTATGAACTCAATGAAAATGCAGCCCATTAAAGGCTAAAGAGAAATAATCTCCCAATTAACAGTAAGTCTACGTAACACCCCTGACTTGGTCATAAAAGACTGACAATGTAATTTGATGGCATAATACTTATGAAGGTGATCTGCAAATTACAAACAACTCTGTAAAATATAAGAGAAAGACTCTACCTCATTAATCAGGTTTAGACATTCAGAAAATGTCTTGTTCACTTTCTCAGTGAATAACCTCTGTTCGTCTTCCTCTGCCATGGTGGTCCAGAAGGAGCCCACCGGCTTCCCTTCCTGTCCTGCAGACGGAGGCTGGGCGGCCGCTGAGCTGGGGGGCCTTTTCAGCGCCCTTCCTTTGCTGGCTCTCCACTCACCAAGGCGAGCTCTGCAGTCGGGGACAGAGTGTGGACAGCCCGTGAGGCGGCGGGGGGCACCGCCAAAGGGAGGGAAAGCCTGACCGTTTCAGGTCTCTCAGCAGCTCCCCGCCAGGAGCTCACAGATTTGAAGGAAAAAACACCGAACATATCAATGTTAAGTATATGCTCAAACACACAAGAGTGAATTTTTAAATGGACACGTTAAAAAATATTTCCCAACAAAATTGGGAAATAAAATTAAGCACCATAAAGCAACCTGAAAAAACACATTCAAACACAGTAACTCAGGCCATACTGCTTCACAATATACGTTTGCTTAAATCTGTCTGCCTATGACAGCAGAGAATATGCACACACAAAATTCTAATACGTTCAAGGAAATTATAAACCAATTCATAAATGGCACTCTATTGAAAATGAACCTAATGAAACTACAGCTACTTACTTTCGCTCTGCTGCAGTTTCTTTGGGCTGAGCCGACCTACTATCGATAGTTGCTTTTGCTATAGTGTGTCTGCGCTGGTCAATGGTTTTTGACTGTTCTATCAGTCTGGTATTGGACAACGAGGCGGGCCTGGCTATAATTTCAGATGTGATGCTTCTGGATAGTAGTGTCTTATTTCTTTTTACTTCCTGAAAAGAACTGGCTTTGACACTGGATGAAACTGGATTTAACTGTGCTATTTCTTTGTCACGAGACCCTTTCCGAATTGTTACATGGAAAGAGGGTCTACTGATGCCTTGCTTCAGGGAGTCCTGGGTATCACGGGCATTACTGTAGTGACGTCTAATGGGGGGACGCAAAAGCTGTTTGCTCTGAGATGTAGTGCTCGCAGATTTAGTGCTAATCATCACAGCCGGGGCTCTATGGCTTTTCCCTGGGACGCTGCTGGTGCTCGCGGGTTGAGGTTTTGTGGCTTTGGAGACAGTAGCTGCAAGTTTGTTTGCCGCTGCAGAACTCTCATCTTTGACTTGTACAGGTTTTCTAAATGAGTTAACCTTAGACTGAACAATTTGGCCCCGATAAGATCCAAGCACAGGTTTCTTGAGCATGTTAGCATCTTGCTTTGGTTTTTCTGTAGCCACTTGTTTCTTTTTATTATTGTTTTTAATATGGAAGGTTTGGCTTAATGTCAGACGTTGACCTTGGGGCTCATTTTTAATTGGTAACGACTGCAGAGTTTGATTATTATTCTCCAAATTAGGTGCATCAATTACTATAGTTGAATTGGTTAATTCCTTAGAAGGTTTTAAAGGAATACAGGTTTTCTCCATTGTTATATTATTTTTGCTCTTTGTAGGTCTATGGACATTTTCTTTATCATCCTAAAAGAGTGGAGACAAATCGGTTATTTCAGAACTTTTTTCAGAAAGTTTAAGAAAGGGAAATAGGGGAAAGAGAGTTTTCAGGACTATGTCCATATCTTACCATTTTTGCCTTAAGTTTCAGAGCTTTTGTCTCTTCTTGGACCTGACCCTCAGATGCCATCACTCTCTGGTTTCTACTACTTTAAAAAAAAGGGGGGGGGAAGGGGGAGGGATGGAAGAATATTAACAATTACCAACTTCATAATTGTAAATTGAGGTAAGCACTGAGAGATTTATTTGTCCTAAGCAAAACTTTTACTATAGGGTGATTAAATGGCATAAACAAGGTGGCTGAGGAATTTAAAGATATTTTCTTTAAAGTCTTAACATCCTCCCCCACAGAATATGTAAACACTTGATAATCTCATTCTAATCATTCTGTCCTAGCCATTCAAACAAGTCTTCAGAAACCTTTAGTAACCAACACTTTCCTTGGTTAGTTTTCATTTTAAGTTCTTGGTAACAGACTTTTATTGAAAAAAATTAAAAATAGTCTTCTCAAAAGAATCCAGAATTTTCCATACATACACTTACAGGTTAATTAATAATACGGACTTCAGTTTCTAAATGGCATTTAGAAAACACCCAAAGAACCAACCCCTCCTCGTGAATTTGACTTAAACTCCTTTTCACATACACAGACTGGTTAGGACCGGCCATGAGAATCTCAGCAAGTGAAGAAAGGGAAAAACAGGGTCAGTTCGGTGTCACTGATTCTAAGACAGATCCCAAGCGCAGAGATACGAAAATGTGAACAAAATGTACATTTCAGCATAAACAAAGTCTGCCATCGATACAGTCGTTCATTTTGGTCACGATGCCTTTCATGCCCACTCGCTGGCTCTGCGTGGAGAAGGGGCAGAACTCTGACAGCCTGACGACACACTTTCAGTGACGGCAGAAGGGTCAACATGATCAGGGCACCTCGGTGGCCAGCTTCAGACGCAGGTGCTTCCCGCCCCTGCCGGGCCCTCCCACGCGCCCAGCGCCGTCTCCCACAGTTTGCTCCTACACTCGCTGCCTGACCGCACACGTTCCTGCTCCTCGCGGCCTGCAGCCTGGCGCCGTGGGAGCTGATGCTCCGGGTCCACCTGCCAGGTGGCTCCCAACAAGGCCACGTACCCACCTCGGCGTCTCACTTCTGCACTAACAGTATCCTGCGATGCTATCCTACCGAGGGGCCTTAATGAGAATCAGCCTGTGTTTCCTCCGCCAAAGACGCCGAGCCTCCCTGCCTCTGCCCCCACTCCCCGCCGCCCTCCCGTCTAAGGCAGGAACCGACGCCGTGCTGGTTGTCCTAGGGCACGCTCTTCCTTTGTGCCCCCCCCCCCCGCCCCGCCCGCGCAGGGACTCGGTTCCGGGGCCCGTGCGCTTGCTCTTCTGCATCCCCATGCTGTCCCCCTGCTGGGTCATTCCCGTCAGCACGTGAACACCAGGTGTTACATCTCGGTTACAGTCTTCAGCCTCACAGTGCCCGCCCGCTACTGCCTCGCGTCTCTTCTCTCCATAGCAAAACTCCTCCAAAGGAAGGGACCTCTGTGCGCATCTCCGCGTCACCACAGTCCGCTCTCTTTCTCTTCTCAGCTGTGCCGTCAGGGACAGGGACGTGTCCCCACGGCTCTACTGAAACTCCTAACGCCACCCACCTCCAGCTGCACCCGACACAGACGGCCATTCTTTCTTTAAAACGCCCCCCTCCCCTGGCTCCCTCTGGACCTCCAGGTCTTACTTCTTCCCCGCGCCTCACCAGTCCACGTCTTTTAAAGTCTCTCTTCTTCCCAGCCTCGCTGGGGCTCAAGGGCACACACAAATTTTAAACTCTGGGGTGGGGAGACAGGCGAAATCGGTACAGGGGATTAAGAGGTACAACCAGACCCATCGTGGCGGTCATTTCATAATGTATCAAAATAGCAAATCCCTATGTTGTACACCTGAAACTATTATTGTATGTCAACTATAACTTGATTTTTTAATAAGGGGAAAAAAATAAATACAATGATTAAACCTTTAAAAAAAATCTCGGGATGTTAAGGAGAATCTACCTTATTCACCTGTCCAGTAATGGAGACTTAATGAAAATATATAATCCTATTCTGTCTTATTATGATAAAATTGCCCTCAAAAGGGTTATCTTTAACAAGAGTCTTAAAATATCCACACTAAAGACTGTAAAAAGAAAGAAAAAGAACTGTTTAATTTTAAAAAGCTACACCTTACTGGTTGTCTATTGAATAATGTGTTGCTCAAGTAATATTTAAATTGGCATGTGTTTCCCAAAATGAGTACAGTACTTGTGAGATGTCTTGGTACAGCCAGAAGAATTTTTGAGTTTCTTTTCTTCTGATTGGGTGTAAGAGCATTACAAACCCCCCGACCCACTCGGACTCCTTATTTAAGTAAGAACTGAGAGTCACTGTCTTATTTGAATTAGTATCCTGCTTGCCTACTCTCTAGTACTCCCTCTCCACCCCTGGGCTTTTAAATAAATACTATCTACGCACAGACAACTCACAAGTTTTTATGTCCAGTCCCAACCTCACCCCTGGACTTCAGACACCAACTATCTGGCGTCTCCCCTTGGATGCCTCGCTGGTGCCTCAGACTCAGCAAGGCCGAAGAGAACCCCTGGTCCCCCGCCCCGCCCCGGGGCCCCATCTGAGTACAGGAATCACTGTTAACTCAGTCATTCAGGTCCAAAGCCTAAGATCACTTTTGGGGGTCAGTTTTAAACAAGGAACTGTGGGATTTACAAAAATGTTTATTCCAAAGGAAAACTTATAAAGTTCAAATTTTTTTAAAATTTTATTTGGAAATTATGCCAGACATAAATTGCAAAATCATAAATCGTTCAAAGAACATCCATACAGTCTTTACCCAGGTTTGCCTACTGTTGCCTTGTTACCCCACTTGCATTAGCATCTGCACTCTTCCTGACCGTGTGTGGCGAGTGCACTCCATGTTTTACCCTTTTAGCATAAGTGAAAGGGCTCAAAGAGGCCTTGTAAACCAACCCCACCCGAGGGTCACTGCCGGTCACTGCCGTAGGGGCCAGCTTACACATTCCAGCCCTGGGCCCGCCCCTCTAGAGCCTGAGCCTGCGGGCTCAGGCTGCACAGAAAGGGCCAGGAAGGGAGGTACAGCTGTCATCTCCGCAGAGTGAGGGGACCTTTGATTGCTTTATATACTTGCACGGGTTTTTGTTCTAGCCACACTCATGCACTGTTTTTAAAACTTTAACAAAACTATACAAATATATTCCTATAGAAGACGGAAACAAATGAATTCCAAACACGTGGTGGGGGGCCGCTTCCCAAAGAACTACCCTCCTCCCACCCCACACATGGGCTCTGCCTAAAACCCTGCTACACAAAGACTGGCCTTTGTAGAGCTATATAAACCTTAAGTTAATATTTTGGTAAAGATACACATTTTGCTTTAAAATTGTTTCCTCTTGGAGTGTGAATTAATTTACACAGAAAATGATGTTTTAACACTGGGCAATCCAATAACACAGACACTACGCCACCACTGGACACAATACACTTGCCATGGGGCCAGTCCCAACTGAGATGCGCTCAAAGTGTGAAACACACACCAGATTTAGAAAACTCAGTACCAAAAAGGTTAAATATCTCCATTCTTCAAGTATTACATGTTGAAATGACAACACAGGGATATGCTGCATTAAATAAAATGTTATTATAATTCATTTCACCTTAAAGAAACTTTTAAAATGTGGCTGCTAGAAAATTTTTAATTACACATGTGGCTCACATTACATTTTTACTGGACAACTCTGATGTAAGTTTACAGATTGGAAATTAAAAAAAAAATTCTTTTGGACCTCACCTGGATAGTATCTGATTTTCCTGTTTGTACGCAAAAAAAGTTTTTCTTTTCAACATATGTTCCTTGAGTTTTTGTTTTCTTTGCTCTAAATAACAAAAGAGCTACAAGTCAACATTTGTTACAGTAATAACATCAAAGAAATACTGACTAAATGAAGCTTTTACTTCGACAAATGCTCTACCTAACATCACATCTAGTGTGTAACAGAAAATTGCCCCATTCAGTATTGCCTCTGGGAAATAACTCCATTTTTACAAGACTGTGCCATAAAAGGCCCTACAGCCACTCTGCACAAGAACGACGTTATCTCCTGTTTTACACTGAAACCACCTGGAGAACATCACTGTCAACATACGGGTACTGAAAGCCAAGCTTTAGAAAACCAAATAGAAGGGACGAAGACACTAGACTCCAAGTTCTCTCATTTACCAGAACTGAGCTGGCTGAGATCTTTGTTCTGCTTCCCCATTTTCAGGCCAAAGAAATAACAGTATTACTTCTGAAGACCTAGCCGACCCTAGATTTCCATAATGTCGGGGCGTTCAATAGTTAGCATTAGACGAGACAGCCCCAGCTCTGCAGAACTTCTGCTCCAACGTTGGCAGGAGGTGGGGCGCCCTGCGCGGACGCCTCCGGTTCCCCGTGCGGATGCAGCCCGGCCCCCGGCCCCCGCGGGTGCCGGTTCCGGACCGAGCCCCGCACGCGCCCGCTGGATAAACGGGCCAGTCTCGGCCACCTGTGACCCACGCCGGCCAGTAACGACTGCGCGCCAAGGGCTCAAGACCCGCACACTACCGCCGCGGCGCGGGCACCACTCCGTCGGCAGCGCAGCTGTGCGGGGCCAGGGGACCCGTTCGGGGTCTCATACACCTCACCAAGGGTGAAGAGGGTCTGCGGGCCTACGGTCCTGACCGTTGAGCCCGAGCCACCCACCCCCCACCCTGGCCGCCCCAGTTTCCCTCGCCGGTTCGTGCGGATCCCGCCACCGCAGCCCTCACCTCCGCACGCGAACTGGGCCCTCTGATTCGGGGGAAGCGGCAGGTCGCGCGGCACCACTGGGGTGCTCATCGCACAGCCAAGCTGGGGTACCTGTCTACGACTTGAGCGCTCCGCAATCCCTCCGACCAAAGCTGGCGCGCACTGTCCCCGGCTCGAAAGCGCTCGGTGTTTAGATGGCGCGCCGCCGCCTCCGCCCATTGGTGCCGGAGTGAATTGAATGGGCCAATGGGAGCAGGGGGCGGGGCTTGGGCTACGGTTGCCTGGGCGGGTCGCGTGTCTTCCAGTTTCTGTTAGGGCCGCTGTGGGATGGTTCCTTGGTTTTCAAATCAAAACAGCGCGCTGCGTCTTGCACTTGGAGCTTGGTAGGAGTCGGCCTGCAAAGTCCCTGCTGTGCAGCACCTAGGACTGGTCTTTAGACGCCCACAGTCCATTGAGGAAGGTAGACGCGAAAAGGGTTGTTTGGCTGCACTTCTTATTGAACGTGGGCGTGTTCACCGAAGGGGTGGAAGAGGCTGTAAACACCAACTACCCACCAAGAGCCTGTGTATTTCGCTTTCACAAATAGTACTTGGTGGCTGCACCACAGCTGCTAAGGGGGACGTTGGTATCTCCTGTTTCACCATGAGGGGACGGGCTCAGTAGTTATCCCCACAAAGCTTGCAAAGGGGAACTGAACTTAGGATGTAAAATCTTTCATGCTACGCAATCAGATGCAAAAAACAAACAAACAAACAAACAAAAAAACAAGGAGAGGAAGAGAATGGGGTAAAATGAGGACGGAGCCTTCCCTTATAATCCTCCTGTAAGATTAAAATAGCATTTGTTGTAGACGTTTTGGGTGTGCGTTTAAGGGTGCTGTCATAATGTTTCATTTCTTATCTAAAAATGTCTATCCCCTTCCTAAAAGCCTAGGAAACAACATAAGAATCATTGACAGCTAGAAAAGTTTGGGAGGTGGGATGGGGGAGAGTTAGAGAGATCTGCCTGGGCTCAGCTGGCTCTCCACCGTGGTCAGTTTTTCTTGTCTTTTCTCTGCTTTTTTCTTCGGGCATCTTATGGTAACATCTTGCTAATGAGGAATTCAGTTTGGGATATTCTGTAGGGTTTTTTTTCCTTGATAAAATGTCCCCCCTTTTTTTAAATCCTCACCTAAGGATATGTTTATTGGTTTTCAGAGAGAGAAAAAGGGAGAGAGAGAAAGATTGAGAGACGTTAATGGGAGAGGGAAACATCCATCAGTCCCTCCCATGCATGCTCTGACCAGAGGTGGAACATGCAATCTAGTTATGTGCCATGATGGGGTATCAAACCTGCTCCAACCAACTGAGCCACTGAGCTTGGTCATAAAATGTCCCATTTTTAATGTAACTTTGCTTACACCTAGGGCCAGCTCTGGGAGAATCAATCACTAAACAGGGCTCGTGGCTATCTCTAAGATACCACTGCTCTTTACATACTGCTGTTAATATTGTTGATTATTCATTAAAGTTTCATCAGACAGGGCAACCAGGGATTCCCATTAAGTGACAGAGAACAGTTTAACAGAATAGAATAGTTAAGAAGTGACTCAAGAACCTCCAAAGCAGTTTGCTAAGTGAAAGAAACTAGTTGCCATTTATATTGAATATGCAGAATAGATACATTAATAGAAGCATAACACAGATTGGTGTTTTCCAGGGGCTGGGGTAGAGAAGAATGAGTAGAGACCACCTAACAGATAAGGGGTTTTATTTTGACTAATAGAAGTGGTTTGGAACTAGTAGCTGTACAACTTTGTCAATGTGTTAATGCCACTGAGCTGTTCACTTTAAAATGGTCAAGTTTATGTGAGTTTCAATATTTTTTAAAAGTGGACATAGTAAAAAGAAAGTGACTGTGAGAAAGCTGGAGACCTCAATAGGCTGTAACGATGCAGGAAAACCTAAAAAACCTGAAAAACTGCTAGGTTTTTCAAGATTACGAGTCTCCTCTAAGCACCAGGCTCACCGATTCCTAGAATGGTAACTTTTTAAAGACATCTTCCCATAATTATTGGAAGGAAGGCAGACTGTTTTCGAAAAGATCCAAAGAGAAGACTTCCAGAGCAGGGCTTCACCAAGACAGCCGGCCGTGAACCCGTGGTCACCAGGAGTACTGATGATCAGCTCTAGCTGCCCTTCCTGGCGTCACGGGAAACAGGGAAAGCACCTGTGAGAGAACAGGGCCGGGCAGTGCAGGGGGCAGAGGGAAACGGGAACTGCCCGAGGACACAAATTGCGTGGGGGGAGAAACCTCCAGAAAGAGGGAATGGTCCGGTGTTGGGGGCTAAAGAGGTCAGGTAGGGTTGGAATTGAAGGGAACCATTGGGTTCGGAAGTGAGGAGGTTCTGGCAAAATCATTCTGTGGAAAAGGACGAAATGTTGCCGAGAGAAATGAAAACCCAAATAAATGAAGATAAAGATTATGTGTATGGATCAGAAGATGTGTATTAAGATGTTTGTTCTCCCAAGGTGACCTATTCAATTGCATCCAAATCAAAACCCTTAGAAGGCTTTTCTATTGAAATTACCATTGGATTCTAAAAGTTAAATGGAAGTGGAAATGATCTAGAGAGGAAAAGCAATTTTGAAAGAGAACTAAATTGGATGACTAACACTACTTGATTTCAAAATGTGTGATAAAGCCACGGTCATCAAGACAGTGTGGCATAGGTGTAAAGAACAACAAATCAACAGAATGCAACAGAGATCCAGAAATGTATCCTGGGCCAAAGGAGGGTTCCAGTTGTGAGTCCACAAAACACACGGTTTATTCTTGTTTGAGTATTAATTATTTTATTATTTTCCATACCAACAACGGTAAACCTCCTTCTGCCCCACCCTGTATATTCAAGTCTCGATGGCCAGTCAGTTTTCTACAAAGTTTTTAAGACAACTCAATGGCGGAGCAGAATGAGCTTTCCAAAAACTGGTATTGGAGCAGCTGCCTATGCACACAGTAAATATGAACTAAGCAGACAGTAACCAGTTTTCCACCAGCTGAAGAATGGCTAAATTGTTGTAGAGCCGTATAATTGACTACTTGCTATTCAGCAATAAAAAGAGACAACTGGACAAGTTATAAAGATATGGGTTACATTTAAGCCAGATACAGAGGACTGTAACCCTCATGATTCCATTTACACGAAATTCTAGAAAAAGGCAAAATTATAGTGATAAAAAAAGCAGCACAGTGGTCCTTAGAGGCCAAGAAGTTGGGGGAGGAAATTGAATGCAAAGGGGCCAGAGGAAACCTTTCAGGGTGACGAAAACATTCTATATGTGATTGTGGTTACATGATTGTAGTCAAAATGAATCAAATTACAGACTTAAAAATGCTTATTGTATGTAAATTATACCTGACTAAATAAAGGAAAAAGAGAGGAAGGAAAGAAAGAAATTGCTATTTAGTGCCCAAGTCAGTTTTTGGACAAGGTTCTTAATATGTTAAGAAAGTATTTGTCCCTAAGATATTTTTAAAATTGAGGATGTTGAATTGTGTCAAATATCTTTTTATTACACTTTGATGATTATTTGATTTTTCTTTTTTGATCTATTAGTTAAATTTTGTATGCAGATTTCCTTATGTTGAATTGTATTTGCACTCCTTGAATAAACTCCACTTGAACTGTGCTATAGCATTCTTTTAATATGCTGCTTATTTGTTTTTGTAAATACTTTATATAAGATTTTTGCATTCATATTTATGTGTGACCCCTCTCTCTATACTTTCTTAGAGCATTTATATTGGGTTTTAGAATCATTTTTTCTGGCTTCATAAAAAAAATTTGGAAACTTTCTTTGCGCTCCGGAAAAGTTTAGGTGGTAAAATAATCATTTATTCTGTCAAGGTTTCAAAGAATTCGCTTGTGAAATTACTTGGTCCTGAGTGTTTTTTTGTTTGTTTGTTTCCTCGTTCCTCTCTGATAACTTACTCAATTTTAGGTTTTAAAGTTTCATTTGGATGTTCATATTCTCTCAACACCCATTCAGCCAAGTGTTCGTATTCGTTTGCACAGGGCTTGTAAAATGCCCTTGACAAGGACCACACCTGCTAGTCCGTTCCAGATGAGGCCCTCATAGACTGCCCTGCCTAAGGGTGGAGGGAACCCCATGCGCACCGACGTATAAAGTCAAATGTAATCATAAGCCCCTTAAATGAACAGTAGTGTGTGGAAAGGGAAAAGTTCCCCTTCTGACCTCTGCTTCTTTTCGTTGGTTGAATAATCAAATCAGCATGAGACAGCACGACGAGCGAAAAGCCAAGTTAGTTTCGTGCCCACAGGAACCCCACACACATGAGAGTCAGATACCTAAGCGACTCACAGACAGAAAGGGAACATGAGGTGTACATGGCATCCTGAGGAGAGATGAGGTAAGAGGCCCCGGAGCTTCAGAAGTTCCCTGCAAGGGGAGCACATGTTCGGTAATTCGCAGTTTTCCCTGCCACATAGGTGGGTCGAGAAAGGTGGTTTCTGAAGACTGCTGGTTGCTGGAGAGGAGGTGTCGGCAGGCATCAGGGCCCTCGGGGCTGGTCCTGCTCTGTGGAATCAGCGCCCACGCAGCAGCTCATATGCTGTGGTTGTGGCCAAAACTTGGCCAGTCATCCCGAGGTTCAGCCCCACCCACTGACATGCCAACAGCAGTCAAGACTCAACTACAACAGGGGGGCAACATGCAACCCACAGAAGGGACACTCCAGGAGCACCCGGCTCAGGTGATCAGGGAGACTGCCCCACCGAGCCCCACAGAGCACCTTCGATAGAAGGCCACCCTGACAAGACTGGGAGATGTAACAGATCTAACTAATATATAGAAAGAAACACAGAGAGGCAGCCCAAATGGGGAGATAAAGAAACATGTCCCACATGAAAGAACAGGACAAAGAAAACACCAGAAAAAGAGTTAAATTAAATGGAGGCAAGCAATCCACCAAAACACTGGTTGTAAGGATTCTCAAGGAACTCAATAAAGATGTAGTAAACATAAAAAGGACATAGAATAATAAAAAATAAACCAATCAGAAGTGAAGACAATAACTGAAATGAATACACTACATCGTCATGGCTGTGTGTGGAGCCAGTTGGGACTGATACATTGGGGGAGGTCACTCTATAATAAAGCGATTGATTTTCTAATCAGTTTGCTGCACATCTGAAACTAATACAGAATAATATTGAATGTAAAGTGTAATTGAAAAAATACATAAAATTTAAAATGAATAGAAGAAATCAAGAGCAGATTGGATGAAGCAGAGGACTGAATCGGTTATTTGGAAGACGGTAGCAGAAAACACTGAGTATTACAAGAAATGCTAAAGGGGCTCTATAAGAAGAAGAAGGGGGGTGGGAGAACATGAATATAAGTAATAAAATGGCAATAACTCCATACCTACCAATAATCATTTTAAATGTAAATAGATTAAGTGCTCCAACCTAAAGACATAGGGTAGCTGAATGGGTCAGAATACAAGATCCATATATGTTGTGTTTACAAGAGACCCACTTCAGGTCAAAGGACACACAAAGATTGAAAGGGATGGGAAAAGACATTTCATGCAAAAAGAAATTAAAATAAAAGCTGAGGGAGCAATACTTATATCAGGCAAACTGGACTTTAAAAATGAAGGTTGTAGTAACAGATAAAGAAGGACATTCCATAAGGATAGAGGGATCAATCCAACAAGAGGATATAACCCTTGTAAACGTTTATGCACCCAATATAGGAGCACCTAAATACATAAAGAAAATATTGATGGACATAAAGGGAGAGATCGACAGTAATAAAGTTACAGGAGTAGACTTCAACACCCCACTATCATCAATGGATAGATCTTCCAGACAGAAAAAGCAAAAAGGAGACAGTGGCCTTAAATGACACATCAGACCAGATGGACTTAACTGATATTTTTAGAGCATTTCACGCCCCAGCAGTAGAATACAGATTCTTTTCAAGTGCTCACGTAGCCAGCATTATTTATAATAGCAAAGATATGGAAGCAACCTAACTGCTCATCAATGGATGATTAGATAAAGATGGGCAGTACAGATCTACAATGGAATATTACTTGGCCATAAAAAGAATGAGATCTTACCATTTGCGACAGCATGGTTGGGCCTAGAGGACATTATGCTAAGTGAAATAAGTCAGACAGTGAAAGGCAAATACCATATGATTTCACTTATATGTGAAATTTAATGAACAAACAAACAAAAAAAGAACAAACAAAAGAGAAACAGGCTCTTAGATACAGAGTACAAACTGATAGGTGCCAGATAGGAGGGGCGGTTAGGGGGCTGGGTGAAAAAGATGAAGGGATTAAGAAGTACAAATTGATAGTTACAAAATAGTCATGTGGGTGTAAAGTACAGCCCAAGGAAAATAATGTAATAACTATGTATGGAGCTAAGTGGATACTAGATTTAGTACGGGAATCACTTCATAAATTATATGAATGTCTAACCATGCTGCTGTACACCTGAAACTAATATAAAATAATATTGAATGTCAACTGTAATTAAAAGTTTTTTTTTTAAAGAGTGAGGTAAGGGAAGTAAATCATTATTTCAGGTCTTGAGATGAGCTTTTGTGTTGTTCAGCTTGGTTTCATGAGGATGTGGCTTGAGGGCCTTTCAGCTTTAGGGGTCAGGAGCTGAAATACAACTCAGGCCACAATGTTATCTCTAGGTTAACAAAACACCTATTTTATGACCATTAAGGCATGACCATTGTTTCTTGCTGCCTCAGGGGTTTAGTAACTATAAGGGAAAGAGCTAAGGCTTGCAGGGCATGCTATGAGAACACGGAATAGAGTGCTCTGGCTACATGTTCAATCAAAACCACACATTAAATCAGGAATGTCAGTGTACATTCCAGATGTGTAAAAGCAATTCAGGCTATGACTATTCATTTGGGGAAAAAAGTTATTATTGACAGCCTTTACTGTACATGGCAACATGCTGAAAACTGACAAGAAAAAACGGCAGAGATGTGTAGAAATAATGCACAATAAGAAAGTCCAAGCTACGGTCTGGGGTCCATCAAAGTCCCTTGTGAGGTCTGGGTTTATGTCCCAGCCGGGCAAAGGATGGGGTGGACGTCCCCGCCGTCCATCGGTGAGCGACCGCCAGGGGGCGCGCCAAACACGCCTACACGTCTCTGGGGACCCTCGGGCCTGCGCGCTCCCCGGGGCTCCCGCTTGCCGCTCCGTCCCCGCCCGCCGCCAGGGGGCGCCGCGGGCCGCCCAGTGCTCACTAGCCGGCCGCGAGCGGCTGCGCGGGCGAGCAGCGGGGGCCGGCCCGGAGGAGACCATGGACCGCTTCGTGTGGACCAGCGGCCTCCTGGAGATCAACGAGACGCTGGTGATCCAGCAGCGCGGGGTGCGCATCTACGACGGCGAGGAGAAGGTAGGACCGCCCCGCGCGGCCAGGCCGGGCCTCGCGCTCCCGGCGCCGGGCGCGCAGTCGGGCCTGCCTGCCGGGCCTCCCCTGCGCGGTCCGTGCCCGCCCAGCTCTGCGCCCCGACTCGGACGCCGGTACGGTTCCCAGCTGGTGCGGACCGTGGCCGCTCCCCTACGCCCCCCTACACCCCCCTACACCCTCCTTCCCATGGCCCAGTCTGCGCGGGCCGAGAAGGGCGCCGCGGTACGCGTTCGCGGCAGCGATCGCGGTGGCCCCCGCTTTGGGTGGTCTCTGCGCCGAAGACGCGCATCCGGGCGGAACGGCGGCGCAGGCCTGCCCTGCCTTTGTTGGGGCGCGGCCGCGGTCACGTCCCCGAGCCCCGGGCCGTGGGTCCTCCCGGCGCCGCGGGGTTCTCGCGCGGCCTGGCGGGGCCGCGCACCGATTGCTTGAGCGGATTTCTGAAGGGACGTGTCAGTGCCTCTTTGAGACGCCAAAAAGCTAAAAGCTTTAAAAAATTTTTTTTGTCATTACTTTAGAAAGGACTTTTGTTTTTGTCAAGTGCTGTTGTAGGCGGTGCCTTTTCATCCGTGCACAAGCCTTTGGAGGTACGTTGGCCAATTCAGAGATAAATATTAGCCGGGAGGAAATGTTCTGCGGAGACTTCCACCAGACGACACACCGTCGTCCTCTCCTGGATGAAATGTATAAGCTGGGGGGCGGGGGGGGGGAAGTAAACACCCATTTTTAGTTTCCAGAAGTTTCGGTTGCTATTTCTCCTTCCTCGTTCTTTTACTGAACTTCCTCTGCACCTTCGCATACCTCCGTGGCTGTACCTGGTCGGCGCGGACGCCCGCAGCCTTCCCGCTGCCCGGGGAATGGGGGCAGGGGGTCCAGACGCTCGCGTCCCTTAGGGAGTTTCCTTTTTTTCTTTTATTATTTTTATTGCATTTTTCCCATCACCATTTATCCCCCTTATACCCACTCCCAGCCTCACTCCCTCGCCTCTTCACCCCCCCCATTGCCACTCTGTTGTCCTGAGTCCTTTTCTTTTTCGCTCCACCCCTTCCACCCCCCAACTCCCTCCCCCGCAGCTGTCACCCTGCTCTCCATCTATGATTCTGGCTCTGTTTTGCATGGTAGTTCAGTTTGTTCATTAGATTCCACATGTGAGCGAAATCATACGGTGTTTGACTTTCTCTGAGCGGCTTATTTCCCTTGGCATAATGTCTCCATTATTGGGCCAAGGTCTTTTTCTTAAGCCATTTGCCTGGACTTAGCCATTTGCTGCCTCAGCACTTTTATGACCTTGATCTCAAACTGGGCGTGCACCTTCTGGTTGGAGTGGCAGCTACATGTTTTTGTTTTTTAAAGTAAGGTGGCACCTTTGGAACTGTTGTATAAGGGAAAAGCCCGAGCCCGTGCCTCTCCCATCCTTCAGGGGTGCGATGCTGCCGGCGCTGAGAACTGGGCGCCCACCAGGGCAGGCACGCCCTTCCGGGAGTCCTGCTTTTGCAGAACACACAGCCCTCTATTGTTCCGTCTCATTCCAGCATGCAAATTAGGAACACCTTGCTGACGCCTACTGTAACTTTGATATATTAAAAAAAAAAAGAAAAAGAAAGAGAGAAAGAAAGAAGAAAGAAAGAAAGAAAAGAGAGAGAGAGAGAAAGAAAGAAGAGAGAGAAAGAGAGAAAGAAAGAAAAGAGAGAAAGAAAGAAAGAAAGAAAGAAAGAAAGAAAAGAAAAGAAAAGAAAAGAAAAGAAAAGAAAAGAAAAAAAAGAAAAGAAAAAAAAGAAATCTGCCCTAGCTGGTGTGGCTCAGTGGATTGTGTGCCGACCTGCGAACCAAGGGATCGCTGGTTCGATTCCCGGTTAGGGCACAGGCCTGGGTTGCCGCTGGGTTGGGGGTGGGGGGGCGCAAGAGAGGCAACCACACATTGATGCTTTTCTCCCTCCCTCCCTTCTCTCTCTCTCAAAATATATAAGATCTTTCAAAATAAAATAAAACAATAAAAAATCCAAACCATGAGTACCTGTGTATGAAAAACCATTGTTCAACTAGCAAATTCTGGTTTTTCTGTAGGTGTTTGGCTTCTTGCTTTAGCGGACAGGTAGATGTAGGTATCAGAGGGCTCAGAAACAGCTGAGACCCTTTGCTCTAGTCCAGAATTCTTACCTGTGGTAAGCAGCTGGGGTGGTGAGGGAAGGGCGTGGGTGTCCTGAAGCTGAAGCAGAGCTCGCCGTCGAGCCAGCGCCCCGCGGGGGTCCCTGGGCTGGGAATAGTCACTCGCTGAGCTGTTCATGGTGCGCCTGAGGGCCAGGCTGGGGGAGAGCCCTGTGCCGGGCCTTCCGGACCTCAGGTGGCTGAAGATTCTCAGGAGATTCCCAGAGCCGATCAAGCGCCCTTTCCAAACCTTCCCCTGGCTCCCTGGACCGCTGAGCGGCCACGGCTGGGCCTCCGGGCTGTTCCCCAGGCAGGAGTGCGCGCGGCGGTCTAGGAGACCAGCGGACCCTCTCGCAGTGTCCCTCATCCTTGTATCTCCTGGCTCTTTGTGGGTGGGAAATACATTTTTAAGTGAAATCCTGAATAATTAGAGCACCTGTTATGTACAAGGAGCTTTTATCTGCGGTCTCACTCACCCTTCTCAATGGGCCTATGAATTGCATAGAAGGAGAAAATAATTCTCAGGAAGAGACTTGCCTGAGATCCACAGTTACCAGGAGACACCGGGTTCGGTCTCTGTCGGTCACACTCCGAACGCCTGCGCTCTGTCCACTGTGATGCTGCTCTTCAAAAACACAGTGCCATGTAAAGTGGCAAGTTGGCAGCATATAGTAGAAGATTTAGAAAATACTTCTTTTCTTTCATCTACTTATTTCACTTTTAGGGATTTTTTTCTTGGGAAATAATCAGAAATGCATAAAAATACAGCAAATGAGGATGCTCATCTCAGCAATATTATGTCATATATTATGTGCACAGGGAAACTGGAAATGATCTGAATGTCCCCTGTAGGGATTTGTTAATTAAATATGGCATGTCCTAATCAGCACGAGGAATTCGTAACGATAGCCTGCTAAGTGAATAAAAAGTTAAAAAATTATGAATATGACCTCATTTTAAGGATTATACACATGCACCACACACATATACAAGGTCTGTGCAGAAGGTATCCAGCCATATAATATAAGAAATAGAGACATTTATTGAAGAAGATACAAGAAACATTATACACAGGACAAGGACACCTCAGTCCCCCTCAAAGTGGGCACCACGGGACCTCACATAGCTCTCTGAGTTGCCACCAGCTGCCCTGTTGTATTTTCCTGAATCTCATCGACTGAAATCTCATCCCTTTCAAAAGTGATTTTGTTTTTGGGAAAAGCCAGAAGTCACAGGATATCAAACCTGGGCTATAGCGGGGTGGAGTCACCAAAAAACTGCATGAGACGGGATGCATGAGCGGACATGTTGTCGTGAAGAAGCTCCAATCACCAGTTGCCCACGGCTGCGGCCTCCTGAATCACCTGAAGAGTCTCCACGGAGGAATGTTCAAACTTAATGCAAAAAATGATGCGGATTCATTGCTCTGTCCTCTCAGTCATTTTGAATGTGACGGCCACACAGTGCACATGCTCACTCAGCAGTGTCTACTGCCCCCACTGACTAGTACAGTGAAGTTGTCATTGTTCACACATGGGCATTCCAGTCCACTCTCCTTGGCTGCCAGGTTACATCAATGTCATACAAGCCATTCTTCTTATATTAACAGTGGCTGGACTTTTTCTGGATAGAGCTCGTACACATCACATATGTATATTGTGTATGCATACACATACACTCTGGTATGATTGAGTGATTTCATTTTCTTTTTTAGATTTAAAAAATAGTTTCCAGACTTTCAACAGTATGTTATTAACAGAAAAAATGTTAAATAAAAGAACAAAACAGGGCGTGATAAATGGTAAGGAAAAAATACAATAAAAAATGAAAAAAGTCTTTAAAAAACAAAGCAAAATGAAACAGAGTATGAGTGTATTCATCACATGCCTAAGTTAGGTCAACCTTAGATCAACTTTCAAGCGTTAAAAGTATTCCGCTGGCAGAAGCAAACCAGTCTAAACTTGTCTGTCAGGCTGCGCTGGCAACCCCTGGGAACCCCTGGAGGGAACTGTTGCACAATTTCTTCACTTAGAGCAGCATCGTTGCTACATTTTTACATTTGGCCGTGTTAATTGAAATTGCAAGGGAACATACTCTGGCTTCAGCTTTAAAATCACACCCCTGTGTGTGGGGTTCAGTAAAATCAAGTACAGTTTCTTAACCAGAGCTTTTACGCTCTAATGTAGCATCATATATTCTTAAGTTGATAAAACATTTGATGTTGGAAAAGGGAAACCTTACTTGTTGGCAAAAAAAAAAAAAAAAAAATTTAAAAAGGGAAATTTTACTTTTTGGCAGAAAAAAAGAAAATAGAGATTTTAAAAATATCTTAAACTGAATTATTTGGTTTTAAATACACAAGATTAACCAAAAGCTTTGAAGCTAATCAGAATTAAGTGACAGGATATGTTTTACTTCTGATTCACAGGAAAACCAGTTACTTTTCCCAGTCGTTGTCTTCGCCCTTGGGGTGGTTTTGCCAGAAGAATTTGTGGGCGTACATGTTTATGTAGTTAGATTTATCAGTCTTTCCCTCCAATGCTAATTGCTTTGATGTTTTTCTTAGAAAGAACTTCTCCACCCTGAGGTTATTTTAAAAATTCTCTCTTGAGTTTTTGAATGCTTTTATAATTTTATATTTTTAAAAAAGGTTTTATGTATTTATTTTTAGAGAGAAAAGAAGGGAGAGAGAAAAAAGGAGAGAAACACTGATGTGAGAGAGAAGCATAGATTGGTTGCCTCTCACAGGTGCCCTGACTGGGGACAAACCCGTAGCCCAGGCATGTGCTCTGAAGGGGAATTGAACCTTTGACCTTTCGCTTTGCTGGAAGATGCCCAACCGGCTGAGCCACACTGGTCAGGGCTGATTTTACCTTTTTTCAGACTCAGCTGTGTGCTCCACTAGAGTTTATTTTGGTGCAGTGTGTTGGATATACATCCAATTTTATGTTTATTGTTTTTTTTCCTGTCGGACAACCCAGTTGTCCCTGTGCCATTGGCTGAGTCTCCATTCACCCCTAACTCTGAATGTGCTTGTGTCTATTTCTGGATTTCCTTCGTTTTTAAAAATTATATGAGTGTTATACACACATCCAATCTCATGAGAAAAATTCAATCAATAGTGAAGTTTTAGGAAAGGGCCCTTTGCCTCTCCGTTTTCCTTCACACTTTTTCTGAGATAACCCTCGCTAACCAACAGGTCACTGAGAACTACGTGTAGAGCTTTTACTGCTACTCATATGTGTATGCCTGTAGTTTGGGGAATACGGAGATTCGATCTATGTATCCATGTATGTATGTATGTAGGTGTGTATGTATGTATTTACCTACCCACCCACCCACCCACCTACCTCTGTCTGCCTGCCATGGGTAACGTGCTCTAAGCTGCGCTCTTCCACCCACGTACTCTGCGTCTTGGAGTTGCGCGCTTGCGCGCGCAGCCCAGCCTCCCCGTTCTTTCTGACCTCCACGCGGAGCCCCCTGTGTGAGTGCAGCCCGCTCCCCTCAACCTCTCCTCCCGTGTTGCACACCCAGGTTGCGTGCAATTTTCCCCCAGTTTGAGCAAGGCTGTATATATAGCCTACGAAGCGTGTGGCATCGCTTCTCTACAATTTGTGATAAGCCTAATTCCAAACTATTTACTGATGATTAATTTACTGCTGCGTAATTTCTGGGGAAGGAAAGCTGGAGCACACTGAGTGACGTGTTATTAACAGTTCGTGATGATCTTGTCTTTCTAGATAAAATTTGATGCAGGGACCCTTCTTCTTAGTACCCACCGACTGATTTGGAGAGATCAGAAGAATCATGTAAGATCCATGATTTTTTACATCTGTTTCTGGGTTTTAAATCACTGGAGTTTTTCTTTCCCGTTTTCCGTCTCTGGCCAAACTGTACAAAAATGCGATGAATTTTCATTTCCACAGTGTTGTCAGAGTGTGTGTGTCCCGTGTGGCCTCTGAATGGAGTACAGATAGAGGAGTTAGAGTGTCGTCCCTCATTCAGCTCCAGAAAAGTCTGTAGTTACTGAATGGAGACTCACGATGACTCCTGTTTGTTTGTTTTTAAAAGACTTTATTTATTTGTTTTTAGGGAGGGGGAAGAGAGGGAGAAAGAGAGAGAAACATCCATGTGTGGTTGCCTATTGAGTGCCCCCTACTGAGGGCCTGGCCTGCAACCCAGACAGGTGCCCTGACTGGGAATCAAACCAGCGACACTTTGGTTTGCAAGCTGGCACTGGATCCGCTGAACCACACCAGCCAGGGCCTAACTCCTGTGTTTTGAACCCCAGTCAGACTCCACTCCATGCCTGATGTTGCATGCATGACAGGAATAATTATCCCATCAGCTGTCAGGGGTCCTTAAAAAGCTCATTCATCTCCAACACAGCTCATTCTTCTTGTTGCTGTAGAGAATCAGGAGGACAGGTCTGCAGGGAAGTGCGGGCTTCTATGCAGAGAGTGAGAAGAACGGCCCCGAGGTCCCTCGGCAAGAGGAGAAACCCTGTTTTTTCATTTCTAGCAAGAGAACAAGTGATGTGTATAGAACTGATATCTTTATTTCAAAGGGCTTTAACTAGAAAGTGTGTGTGTGTGTGTGTGTGTGTGTGTCTGAGAATAAATTTCAGTGTTACCAGTAAAATAAATAATCTCCTTCACACTGTTTGTATAATACTGCCCTCCCATGAAATTTTAATTCCACAGATAAACTGTATACTGTACTGAGGCTCTTTGAAGGGCAACTAACCATTGCAAAACATAAGACCCTTTTTGCTCCTTGAGAACCAATCTTTGTGCCCTATTGATACTTCTGTTGTTGACAATGCGTGCCTTAGAACTGTTAGTGTTGTCTGATTCTTTTAAAAGAAATAATACTTGCAGGAAAAAAATCCTTTTGGACGGATAGATGTCTTTAAACACTATGTTCATAAAGTAATCGTAGTATAATATTTTGACTGTTAAATAAAGAGACTAACTTAGAAATCTTTAAACCAGCCATTGAATGCTAGTCATATATAATAATTTAAAAAATTTTTTAAAAATTTACTGATTACAGAAAGCCACATTAGTGTTTTCTGTTAAAAATTGTGTGTGGACGAGTGATGTACAGAAAATTATAAAGAAAAATGACCACCACCCTTTAAAGCTGTTTTGATATTTACCTGTTCTATTTTTTTCCTTTTCGTATACAAACATATTATATGTAAAAAGTTTTATATAAATACTCCTTTTAAAAAGATGTGCCTACTGTAAAATCAAAGGTAGTCACCGCTGTTTTGAAACCTCTTATTTTCTTCCATGTACTAAAAAGCTACCACAGCATTGTTTTCACTGAGTTTCTCTTAGGTTTATTTAAGGAGTCAGGTAACACCATTTCCGTCACGTTTGTTATGAAGTATCTTCAAGGTCCCTGGCCCTGCTGCAAACGCTGTCAGACAGGGGTGCCTGACCAGCGCGAATCGGGGCCTCTATCGCTCCCCCTAGGAATGCTGCATGGCCGTCCCGCTGTCCCAGATGGTGTTCATTGAGGAGCAGGCGGCTGGAATTGGGAAAAGGTGAGTCCTGTATTTCACAGCCTTTACGCACGAAATACATTTGCGCGGGAGCTATTATCATTAATGTAGTCGATTTATGGCTGTGATGACTGCGTCTGTGGACACGAATCTCCTGACTGCGCTCGGGGGCTTTCTACGTGACCGTCCTCGGTCAGGGGTTCCCCTAAGAAGGTCTTGTCCCACCTCACACTCGTTTTGGTAAATGGAAGTCATTCCTAACGCATGAATGAAGTGCTGAGGTTTGCTACAATGTCCTTGGGTCAAAATAAATACATGTGGTCTGGTTGTCCTTGCATATGTTTCCACGGACATTTGCTCTCAAATGTCTGTGTATCTTCTCACTTTGTGCTTAAACTCAGAAATGAGAAAAGGAACTGACGTCGCTCCCGTTCCTAGCTGGTCATTAAGTTTCTCACTGTGAATGTCTGAGGAGTCAGTGTTAGAGAGTCGTAATACTTATTGTCCAGCCTGGGACATTCATGCGTCATGGGAGCGCTGTTCAGAATTGGACCAGGGCCAGCCCACAACGGAGCTGTCACAGGCAGACCAGGAGACGTGGCCACCCCGGTTTAGAACCACAAGGTGAAATGTTTCTGCTTCTCCCAGCACACCCGAAATTCTGGCTTTACATTTTAAGTGCATGGAACTGAGGTCAACTTATGAACAAATGTTGCTGGTAAGGAATCTTTTTTCCACGTGGGCTCATCTTTAGCTTTAGCGTAGTTAGATACTTCAGTGGACGTTAAATGTGTTGAACTTTGCTGGAAATGCAATGCATGCCTTAACTATAACGTTATAGCTCGCCTGAAAGATTGTGTATTTGACATAAAAGAAACTAAGCAATGTTTTGGAAAGGTGGTGAGTGAGATATATATTTTTAGATAGGCTATTTCTCTCATTTATTTTTTGTCCCTTGTCACTTTTTCCCATCTTATATATTCTTTTTTAAAATTTTATTTAATTTTTTATTGAGGTATAATTGGCATACAACATTATATTAGTTTCAGGTTTACAATATTCAATATGTGGAAGTTCTACGAAGTAGAACTTTAAGGGTGTTGTAGATCATTTGAATTTTCCTCTGCTGTGTTCCAAGGAAATCCACACTAGAACAAATATATTAAAAGTAATTACCTTCATATTAGTGTCTTATTTTTGAACCTCCAGTGATGAGAAATACAGTAACTTGCCAGGTTAACTTTTCTCACAGGTTCTCTTTAGTTGCTGGCTCCCACCTTTCCCCCAAACATTTACCGTGTTTCATTGATTTAAAGGTGTATGTAATATCGTTTCACCTTTTAGCATCTTTGAACGCAAGACGCTTCTTTGATTTGGCTCGATTTTAAACTTGATAAATAGGATGTTGAAGGACCCAAGAGATAAGTATGTGAAAAATGAGCGTGGGTCTTCTACGCTGACTTTGGGATTTTTAAACTTCACGTTGCATCGTAATATTTTAGCTTTTTATTAGGTTTACCTTTGGCAAAATCTGACAGCAAGGCTCGGCATCTTCCGTTTTAAATGTCACATCGCGCCGTCGCCCCCTCGCCCGCGCCGCCCTGCCGTGGCCGTGGGGTTCTCCCCCCGCCCTCCCCCCCCCTCCGCCCCCGCCCCGGCTTCGCCGCCGGCGGTGCTGCGGGTCGGCTTGCGGGCTCCTGGGCTCGCTGCGCGCACGCTTGACCTCCGAGGCCCGGCGGAGGGTGCTCACAGATGGGTCCCAGGTCGCCACACAGAACACTGGGGACATTAAGGAGGCCCCACGTATGGTATTTCAACTTTACAGTGATATTTAGGTAACCACATGGGCCCAATCAAAGTAAAATTGAGGAATAGGTCCATCTGTAGTGTGGCCATTAAAATAAAAAAAAAAAAAAAGGCTTTAAGCTAGATATGCAAGATAGCAGGATATTCTGGCTAAGTCTTTTGCTTTGCTGATTTTTATAGCACATTGTTTATTGAGCCAGTTGGGGGGAAAAAAAGAGAGGAAAAAAGACATAAAACTGAACAGATATGGAACATTGTTTATTGAGCAAGCTGGGGAAAAAAGAGGAAAAAAGACATACAACTGAAAAACTGAACAAATACGGCGGTATTTTTAATAGCACAGAAAATAATGGTAGTCACAAAGATTAGGGCAATTTGTGTTCCTAGAGCGGCAGCGTTTTGCAAATTGTTTTTGCTGTTGGATATCTTTCTGGGTCATGCTGCTAATCAAGGGGCATTTCCCTGAAATAACAGTAGAGAATGTTAGTTTTGGATGGAATTTTAACCAAATGCTGGCTGGTCCGTTTTAGACAGATAAGTTTTCACGTTTTGTTTTCGAGTGAGGAAGGTCGCCTGCTTTGGCAGAAATCACAGGCCCCTGGTGGGTCCTGGGGCTGACTCTGAACCGGGGGAAACGCTAACCATACACTGAAATCCTACACCGCCCCCAGTGTATTTTGAACTTATTTCCTAAAACCACATTTTACTGAATCTGTAGACCTAGTAACCTGTACTTTCTCATTCATACCTTGTATGTTTTAAGTAGGGATATTTTTAAAAGGTTCATTAACACTGAATTAATGCAAACTTTAAAAGGATCCTTTTCAGAATATTCTTTTTCTACACGAATTTTAAAAGCAACCTGAAATATATGAAAAATTATGAAAAGAGAATTAAGGGATCTTAGAAAGGCAACTGATTACATTACATGTGCTTTTCCTTTAGTGCCAAAATAGTGGTTCACCTTCACCCGGCTCCTGCGGACAAAGAGCTGGGCCCCTTCCAGAGCAGCAAGAGCTCCTACATCAAGCTCTCCTTCAAGGAGCACGGCCAGATCGAGGTGAGTCTCAGTGAGAACATGATGGACCAGACATGTGCGCTTGCGCAGGCAGGGTCTGTCCAGAAGGGATCTAGCCGTGCGCTATGAAAAATAGAGACGTCTACTGAAGAAGATACAAGATACGAGAAACATTGTCCATAGGACACTGATACCTCAGTCCCCTTCAAGGTAGGCCCCTCGGGACCTCCCATAATCCTCCCAGCTGCCATCAGCTGCCTCCTCGTATTTTCCTGAATCTTGTCCACGGTATGAAATCTCTTCCCTTTCAAAGGTGATTTTAGTTTTGGGAAAAGCCAGCAGTCGCAGGGCGCCCTGTCTGGGCTGTAGGGGGGCTGGGTCGTGTGGGTGATCTGACGTTTCACAAAAAAACTCTGCACAAGGCGTGATGTGTGAGTGGGCGCGCTGTCATGAGGAAGCTGCCCGTCACCAGTTGCCCACGGCTGTGGCTCTGAATTATCTGAATAGTTTCTGCAGAGGAATGTTCAAGCCTAACGCAAAATTTGATGTAGGTTCATTGCTCTACCCCGTCAGTCATTTTGAATGCGACAGCCACACAGTACACGTGCTCAGTCAACGGTGTCTACTGCCCCCACTGACTAGTACAGTGAAGTTGTCACTGTTCACACATGCACATTCCAGTCCTTGGCTTCCAGGTTACATTGATGTCATGCAAACTGTTCTCGTTATATTAACAATGGCTGGACCTCTTCCAGACAGGCCCCGTAGTTTTGTTGTTTGTCAATATGGAAGGCAATATTGTTTCTACATTGTTAATACGATGAAGGCAACATACCCGCTCTCACCGCATGTTTACAGTAGCATTTCTGATATCTTCGGTCTTATCAGTAGAGAAGGTGAAGTTTGGGTGACGGTGGGAATGGAAAGCAGGAGCACGCGGTCACCAGGAGAGAGCGGGGGGAGGCCAAGTCATGCTTTGAGGCTGCTCGGCCAGTGTTCGGTGGCGCGCGCAGTCCGGGTAGAGGGACGGGGAGGACCGCATTGCCGTGCTGAACAGCCTCAGCATCTAAAAGCTCATCAGCCTGAAATCAGGCGGTCTTCTATTTTTTTAAACTCTACACAAATCTAATCACTTAAGTGCTTCTCCCACAGTGCAATAGTTTCTATTTTCTGGGTAACAAGTTGCTGTATAGATATTCTTAGCCATTTATAAGTGCGTGTGTCTCCCCATTGAGATCATTCGTTATCCCTGCCCCTTTCTTCTGCAGCTCCGCACCCAGTGCTCTCCGCACAGCAGCGCTAAGCGTATAGTCACTAACTCAAGTCAATCCCACTGTAGGTGAAAAATACAGTGGGGTTTTTTTTCCTTCTTTTTTGGGGGCAGAGGCATGTTTTGACCTGAATTTCTGACGACACATTTTAACGAGACAGAGTATTCTCTGTTTCCTTCATGGAGAATGGTTGTATATTTTTCTTGGCACCAGGTCTGTTTCACTATAGGTAGAAAACAATCCGCAGAATTGTTTAGAGTAAGTCTATTTATTTCATTGTCACTCATCTCTTTGTTGAGAATAGCTCGCTTTATGCAGGAGGTCAGCCCCTTCTCTTCTTTTCCTCTTTGTTCTTTCTGAAGTTGATCCAAGAAAAGAACTTCCTTTGATTTTCTTTGATGTCTCTGAAACTTCTCGGCTTGTTGCAAACGACTGAATAGACCTTTCAACTAAACAAATGTGAAGTAATGATTCTTATAAGGGTACCGAGGCCTGACCGACTCACTCACAATGTATCTGTGTGTGTGACAGTTTTACAGGCGTTTGTCTGAGGAAATGACGCAGAGACGATGGGAGAACATGCCCGTGTCCCAGTCCTTCCAGGCCAACCGAGGACCCCAGGTACTGTTGCACCTTCATTAAGAAAGAAGGTTTCTGTGAGTCTCGAACTTTCCAGAAGTAAACTAACGCTATTTGGTTAAGACGGTGCTTTCACAGAACCTAATTTAGTGCTCTGTAGACAGTCAACACTTAGTGAAACGAAATGGCTGCTCCCCAGAGTACCTCTCGAGACGGCATAAGTGCGAGTCCACGCCCTTCGTTCTGTTGTTTGCGCTCCGTGGGGCAGGCGGAGAATGGTCGGTGCTCCTGGGAGACCTGTCCCAGGCCCATCCCACGGAACCACCAGCCACGGGCGGACGCTCAAATGTGTAACCGTTGTTTGTAGAATAACAGCTGTCAGGTACCACAAGTTTAACTACAAGTGTTTGCACATTTGAGACCCTATTAAATATCCAATACGTATGTAATTTAAGGTTGTCGAAGAAAAAAACAGACAGAAAATTTAATGAGTATCCAAAGTGAATTAATATCTGCAGGTTGCCAAAGAAAAGATGCATAGAACATTTAATTACTATCTGCAGTGAAGAGTGAAGTATGCCATTTGTTGAATGCTCCGTGCTTCTTTGTAATGATCTGAAGAGCATCATGTATAGCAAGAAACCGACAAATGTTTTGAAAGGAAATGAGATGTAATTGTTTGCTGTTTTCTTTGGTTCTTTGTGGGTCCTTTCCCACCATTGAAAACACAATGTGGTGTGTTTCAAAAGACTTTGTCCTTCCTATGTATGTTTTATTTTATACTTTTTTTTTTTTTTTTTTTTTTTAGCCAGGAAGAATAAGGGCCGTAGGAATTGTAGGTATTGAAAGGAAACTGGAAGAAAAAAGAAAAGAAACCGACAAAAACATTTCTGAGGTAACCCTTACACGAATCCCAGTCAGCTATCTTTTTCAGCCATTTGTGTTTATTCTTTTGGATACAACTGTGACTAACTCCATTCTGTAAATGGAAATATATTTAGTTGGCCTGAAGCTACACAGTATCTTATTCCATTTAACAGGTCCACTTCGGGTTGACAAAATGTAACCAAAATGTATTTTAAAAACTTTTTCCAAAAAGGAATAAAAAAGCAATGCATGTTTGTTTTCTGTGATGTTAGAAAATGTCATGGATTCTGGTGTATAAACTTTAAAATCTAGGTGGAATTTATTGGAGGGTACTCCTAGTGAATTCAAGGTCCTCTATATAATTATTTTGGACGCTTGGTTAACTTAGTTGTGGGGGAAAAAAATGCTATTTTCTGGCCCTTAATCCTGGTCAGACCCCACGCAATTTAATGCTGATGATCACTCAGGGACCAGACATGAGGACAGATAAGAACAGATCCAAACAGGCCATCGTCTCAGAGAGCAGCTCTGAGCTGGTACTTCCCCGCGTATGAGGAAACTCAAGCCGAGGGCTTCTGCAATGAGTTAATCTATCTAAACACATCATTGGTTTTCCTCTGTTCATGTAAAAGTGGTGTTGGCTTTTTATGAAATGATTCTACAAAGTAATTCTTTAGTTTTTATAACAGTGTGTAAGTAAAATTCCATTGATTGGTGCTGTTCATAGAATTTCAAAGATGTATATAAATCAAATAAAGATCTAAACTGCAAAGAGTTATTGAATGCCCGTATTAGTCAAGGTTCTCCGGAGAAACAGAACCCATAAGAAATATACCAATATTGAGCTATGGATGTATTGATATCTATAGATACCGAGCTATAGATATACTGATGCCTATAGCTGCATGTCTCTGTACATATAGATCTGTATCTACCGTTGTATTATCTAGATCTCTCTGAATGTGCACAGGGAGGGAAGGAATTAGCTCACGTGAATGCGAGGACCGGGAGTCCACAATCTACCACCCGCAAGCTGGTGACTCAGGAAGGGGGGTGAGAGAAGTTCTAACCCGAGTGCAGAGGCCCGAGAGGCTGAGGGCTGCCGTCCCAGGCCAAGGGCAGGTGGGGACTGATGTCTCGCGCGGCCGCGGGCGGGGAAAGCGTGGAGGCCTACCTCCGCCCCCGCCCCTGCTTCCCCGCCTTGAGGGGCAGTCCGCTGGACCCTGCGCGCCAGGCCAGGAGCGCACATTGTGGGGCGGCGCCCTTGCAGGTGCACGCAGAACAGCGTCCCATCGCAGCCCCGGGCGCCCCAGGACCTAGTCAGGCGGGCGCGCGCAGTCCACGTCTAACGCTCACTCCGGGCCGCTGATTGCAAGGGCGGGTCACTGGAGAAACCGAGGGCACTCGTCCCGTTAGTGCCTGTGGCCCGGGTGTCGCCGGTAGCTCGTTTGTAGCAGAGCTGCCCGGCTCCTCGGCCCTGTGCGCTTCCTGCGGATTGCAGGCTGCGCCCCGAGGCTGGGCCAGGCCTGGGTGCGCGCCCTGTTCTACGACTGGAGGTCCGGCTCCGTCCTGAGCAGGCGTGCACGCCCGTGTCTTCTGATGGTGTCAGCAGCTGCCGACGTTCCCCGCAGAAATCGGTTGGGTCCCTCGCGGTTATCCATGCTGACAGTTTATAATTTATTTCTCCTGTCCGTTGGAATGCTTTTTAAAAGAGATGCTTCCCTTCGTCTACTATTTGGCCACTCAAGGATGCAGTTTACAAAGGGAAAGATGGCCAAGCGCCTCCCCTTCATCATCAGGGTAATAAATTGGTTCCCCACACTCCAAAGGCAGCTATGCTTGTTTTTTACATATTATAATGAATTCATCAATTCAACGTATTTGATGAGTTTCAGTCAATTGCAGTTATTATTCTATTGAAAGCTCAAACGGTCCCGTCTTTGGCCAGTGCTAGTCTCTTCAGGGTGGCTCCGGGTGCTTCTGAGGTGACCTGGCTGGCTGCGACAGCTTACTTACAGGCCGGTGTGACGAAAGTTCAGGACCCCCTGGGGCGTGCAGAGCCCAGACGGGGAACCAGCCACACCTGAGAAGCCCTGCTGTTCTCCAGTGGGGAACGGTACTTCCAAACTGCGGTCTACCTGTTAAGAATGTGCATCTCTGTCAGGTCTTTATTTCTAGCCTATTCAGTAGAAAGAGCTAGAGGTTTGTTTTTTTTTTTAATGAAAGTGCCTCATGAGGTCAAACTGATACTTCCTGTTCAGATTTGGACGACACTAGCAAGTGCTTTTGAAAACAGTTAAAAAGGTTCCTTTTGTATGTGAATAATTTTGCATTACTAATGATCCTTTTTCTGAGTGCTACCATACTAATTTAGTTTCCAACATATTATTTTTCTTTTTTCTAAAAAGACTTATTTTATGTATTTTTAGAGAGAGGGGAAGGGAGGGAGGAAGAGAGGGAGAGAAACATCAGTGTGTATAAGATACATTGATTGGCTGCCTCTCACATGCCCCGAGCTGGGGACCTAACCTGCAACCCAGGCAGGTGCCCTGGAGGGAAATCCAACCGGCGACCTTTTGGTGCACAGACCGGCACTCAGTCCACTGAGCCACACCAGCCAGGGCTGTTTTTCTTAATTTATGAAATGTTACTATGTTTCAACCTCATTTTCCAAGTATTCTACACAAGCCTTGCCCCTCCTGTGCAGGTCACCGACTTGTTCAGCAGGTAGTCCCTGCTGTCTACTTCGTGTGAGCTCCGCATCAGATGTTTTAGGGACTGAGGTGAGGTGCCAGGGAGGCAAGCCGGTGGCCTTCCCCCACGGTGTGAGGAACGCCACCTCAGCAGAAAACAGTGGCTGCGGCGAGAACTCCGGCCCGCCCTCCGACAGCTGCTGGCGTTAGGGAAGGCCCGAGAGCAGGGGTGACGGAAGGCCGGGCCTAAAAGTGGAGCCGCTGCCAGCAATGACCAGCAGGGCTAAGGGGACCCCGGCAGAGGGAATGGACCGTGCAAAGGTAGAGAATCAAGAATATTGAAACAGGAAATTCAAGAATATATTAATAGTTACTGAAGCTAATAACCAAAATAATGACTAAAAGTCAGTAAGAAATAATGCTACAAATCGGCTTAAGAGGCTACCCCCCTGGTTTTAGGATAGATGCCACTTTTTTCAAAATTGGAATGGAAATTTGACTACGGACATGGCAGAGGGAGAGAAGGTTCTATAAATTGGCAAATGAAATAATAGAATGAGCATGCGCGCCTGTATTGCTTTAATTTTATCGTAGGTAGTTTCTACACCCATTTTTCAGATGGTTGGCCAATTTCAAACTTTAGAATGATAGAAATAGAAGTGAGGAAGCTTTTGTGTTTTATAATTATTCAAAATATTTTATAGGGAGTTCTATAAATACAAAATATTTATATTCATTTTTTATGAACCCTAAGGAATAAGGGTTAGTCTATATATTCTGTGTGAATGCGCTATTCTAGTATTTTTTAATGAAAATATATATTACGCAGTAAGTCAAGTGATTTACCATATAACATTTAAAAGTGTTGTCTTCCTACTTTTCCTTAATTTTCTTTTTATAGTCAAAATAAAGATCTAGTGTGTCAGGCACTGGTGCGTGTTAGTTGTGAACGGGGGTTGGTGTGCGGTTTGCCCTCTGCTGAAGGGTTAGGGTTGACCGAGCAGCCGAAGCCCTGCCCAGTTTCCCACACGAGGTTTCCTGCTCTGCTGGCTGTTGCTGATAAGAATCCCGCGGTCCAGCCTTTTGTTTATCTGAGGAAGTTCCTGTTAGGTGTGTGCACATTCCCCTTTGTTTCGGCACTGGCGTCAGGGAGTGGCCCGAGGAGTGAGCTGGTGCAGCGCTGGGCTTCAGCAAGGCCCTTCGCAGATGGCGCTGCTTTCCTGCCTGTGACTACGATGGCAGTCACAAGAGCTAACCAGAGAAGAGCCTATGCACCGCTCTTCTCCGTGGACTGAGCGATAGTCACGTAATGGTAAATGGCTCAATTGATTTTTAAAAACCAACCTCTGTGCACATCAATTAGAGGTGTCGTGCACTGGAGGTGTACCTTTGGTAATCTGAAACAATACACCTCGTTAAATTTGGAGAGACCTTTGAAGAAGATACTCATTTTAGTAAATCAAACAAGCGATGGATTTTATTTAGAAGTGTTTGTGTGGTGTTTGAACATTTTTCTTTTGTGAGTGCCCCTGTGTCCGAAGCCACAGGTCTGAGCCGTTCGGTATTCAGAGGCTGGGATTTCTGGTTTCAGTTAAGTCACACCTGCTCTCAGAGCCCGAAGTGTTGCTGCGGTTGCGTGTTTGCCATTTTCAACCAGGAAAGCCTGGCGGTGCCTCCTATCCGGAAATGGTTTGGGACAAGCCAGTGACACATCATTTTCTTGCTTGTGTTAAAGAACAGTAAATAATATTTTCTGAATATGTCCCCTTTCGTTTGTTTAATCCACAGTAACATTTCTCTTTGGAAACTTGAAAAGTAGTTTTTGCGGTTTGTTTTGGAAAATGTATGGTTTCTTAGCTCAACTGACTTCTTAGAATAAGGCAGATTTATTACTTGCACAAATATTTATATAAATAAATTGACATTTGTAAGGAAATGTCATAAATTTTTATTGTAGGGAAGAAAATAGAGTGCTTCATTGCTTTAAAACATTTTGATTCTTCAGACAGATGCCAACAGAACTCATTTCTCATTTTAGGCCTTTGAAGACCTCAGCAAGTTAATGATCAAGGTACATGTCACTTATACCTATTAAATTCATGCCAATTATGACAGTTTCAAAAACATATTTTATTGCCAGACACTTTGGGGACAGTATTTCGTGCAGATTTTCCCTATTCTCTTGACAGGCTAAAGACATGGTGGAGCTGTCGAAGTCCATTGCTAATAAGATTAAAGACAAGCAGGGAGACATCACAGAAGATGAGGTAATTGGGCTGCTTCTTAAGATGTTAGAAACTGCACTGATAATGCACTGATGTTTTGGTGGTTTACCAGTTTGTGCTTTTTTTAGTCCTCATCTGAGGACGTGCTCATTGATTTCAGAAAGACGGGTAGGAAGGGAGACAAAGGGAGAGAAACATCGATCTCTTGTGCCCCGACCTAGGACTGAACCTGCAACCTATGCATGTGCCCCGCCCGGGAATTGAACCTGTGGCTTATCGGTGTACAGGTTGACGCTCCAACCGACTGAGCCATGCCAGCCAGGGCCCAGTTTGCCTTCTTCACGCACTGTTTTCTTTCTTTTAGGCCTTGAGGATATGTGAAAGTGCAAAAGAAAAAGCCAACTATGAAAACTGTTCATTCTAGTAGGATTGTAGGGTATTTTGATAGCTTTTCTTGGAGCGTATTAAACATATATTGAAATATGTAAGGAGTGTCTCTTTTCTACCTCGTAAGTTTGATGTCTCATGAAATTTGTCTACAGTCTGGCCACAGCCAGTTTTCTGAGTTTGCGGTTGTGTCATTTGGTTGCATTAACGACAGCCCGGTTATTTCCATCACCTCTCGTGCCAGACGTGGGAGGTAAAGGGAGTATGCGAGAGCAGGATAGAAGGAGAATAATTAGGTTTATGTGGGCACTGCTGGAAGTAGTGGAGCCGAAGGGAATCTGTGATGGAAGGATTTTGAGCATTGGGGCGGAGAGACTCATTCCGAATTGTCTTTGTGCTTTTCCCCCCTCATTGCAGACCATCAGGTTTAAGTCCTATTTGCTGAGCATGGGAATAGCTAACCCAGTTACCAGGGAGACCTGCGGCTCCGGCACCCAGTACCACATGCAGCTGGCTAAACAGCTGGCTGGGATATTGCAGGCGCCTTTGGAGGTAAAAGCAGAACCTGAACGGCCTTTTGAAAGTGCGTTAAGTTCTCCCCATGTCATCGGAAATCTTACGAGCATCACTTCTTTCCTGATGGGGTTACTTATTCGACCATCGCGTTATTTTTTTCTTTCAGGAATATTAAATGAGTTCAGTGTACTTATTAATAGATTCTTTGTCAATAATCTAAACTGTTTCCAATTTGCATATCAGATATCTATAACGTCCTAATCTATTTGCTATGAAGTTTCTCTTCCCGCTTATTTTCAAAAGGACATATATATGCTCTCTGTATGTTTAGATATATTTGTGTATATAAGCACTCAATATCTGGGGGGGTCAAAAGTAGGTTTATAGTTTGTATGAAAAATGATGCAATAATTAATGAATAATAATACAAGAATAAACTGGTGTACACACAACTGTAAACGTCCTTTTGCCCCACCCGGTACCTGTATTAATTTCATAATAAGATTCGTCTTCTAGCCTCACATTACACCGGCAGCCGGAACTTATTAAAGTACTTGTGTGCAGGCCGACCCCCTCACCCCACTGTGTGCCAGAGGCCGGCGCCAGGCGCCACGACGCTTGGTCTGTGACCGTTGCCGTGTGTGACTGTGATAATAAGCACACCTTTAAGTGTAATTAGAATCCTGTTTCACACCTACGGAGCTAAAACTAATTCTAATATTATGAAGTATCTAGTTTTTGTTCACATGTTCTCTGACAGTTGGTTTGTTCAAATCAGGATACGTTGCAATTGGTTGCTGTCTCTCAAATTAGTTTTTTAATTCCATGGGGTTGCCCTTCTCCCACCTACTCACCCCCAACCCACCCCCCCTCAATCTACTTAGTGAGGAAACTAGTAGTTTATCTGATACAGTGTCTCAGAGTCTGGATTTTGCTGACTTGCACGGCAACACGGTTCCCTGTAAACTGGTAGTTATACCTAGGAGGTTTTTTCCCCCCTGACAAGAATATTTCAAAAAGGTGTCGTACATCTTTATCAAGAGGCACATGTGTCTGATTGCCTTTGTGGTGATTGCCATTGGCTGTCATATTATCAGGAGTGGCAAAGGGGTGGTATTCGTTTTCAGCTCTATAGTTCCCTCTCTGTGTATTGGCTGGAATAACTGAAAACAGGGCAGGAACACGGCGGAGAGCCCTCTCTTCCTCTCAGTACATGTTAGAGTAACAGTGACATTAATGTCCAAATACTGAACTTGACATGTCTCACGGCATCTGAGCAAGTTCGCCTGTGTGGAAGCAGTGTTTTTAAAAGCTTCTTAAGACACTTTATAATTCCTGATTTCACTCTGATTATGATTTCTGAGAAGTGCCAGCTGGTGCTGACGATAACGTGATACTTTCCCAACGTTTCTCGTTTTACCAGGAACGGGGCGGCATCATGTCGCTCACGGAGGTATACTGCTTGGTAAACAGAGCTCGGGGGATGGAGGTAAGCATAGGATACTTAGAGTCCCTCCTTTCAAAACTAAATACAGGCTTTCTTAGTGCAATGCAAGCTTCCCTACAGCGAGCACGGTCTGAGGAAGGGTTGTGACCGTGGAAACCATCCTGAGGAGCAGTGCGGTGCTCCAGGCCGAGGGCGGGCCCCGGGCCAGCTTTGCCGACCAACGTCGCTGGGTGGCTGAACCTCTTGGACTCTGTTTTCTGCCTGGAAAATAAGGGTCTGGACCGGCTGTCAGCCTTCCAGCTGTAATAGCTGTGCGTGTACTGTGATGAACGAGGTCGCCCGTGCTGCCCGAGCTCCATGGGCTGAAAGCGGCTGCCGCAGAGGGACAGCGGCCGCGCCCCTGGCCGTGAGTCAGCTCTCGCGGACCCCTCCCACCCGGACGTCCGTGGCCACCACCAAGGCTCTGCCCGGCACTCCTTGGGCCCCCACAGTCAACGCCGTTCTGGCGTGTCTGCAGTGAGCTGCATCTTTCCGGCCTGCCTCCCAAGCCCTCACCTGCCCCGTGAGCTAGGCCTGCGCCCTGGGCCCCTATTTGAATGGTCCTCTCTGCCATTCACTTACTGACTCTCTGCGTGTTACCTCCTCTGGCCTCCCAGGAGCCCAGGAAGGCAGCTCCTGTGAGTCTCCCCGGCTCGGGGTAGCCTGGGGAGGAGCACATGGAGGCTCAGGGAGATGAGGTGACTTTTTTACTGAGGCTGCACTTGGAGACAGGGATTTGGACCCAGGCTGGGCTGACGCCGTGGCCGTTCTGGGTGGCTCAACCCTGTGCTGGTCACCCAGCGCACTGGGCTCATTCCTTCAGGCTCCAGGGCCCGGAAGGGAAGCCATTAGCTAGCTGCATGTGACGGCAGAGGACCCAAAGGGATGTGTGTGCTAAGTGTAGCTTACACACCTGAATTGGAAGAGTTAGTACAGAGTAAAGAAATGTTAAATACCTCAGTACCAATTTTTTATACTGTTTATACAGGGTGGGGTAAAAGTAGGTTTACAGTTGTGAGCATGCAAACCAGTTTATTCATGCATTATTATGTAGTAATTATATTATATCCCATACAAACAACTGGAAACCTACTTTTGCCCGACCCTGTATGCTGAATTTTTTTACCTATTGAGTATATATGTTTTAAAATTAATTTCACCCATTTCTTTTCATTTTTTAATATGGCTACTAGAAGCTTTAAAATTACATATGTGACTTATTGTACATTCTGTTTCTATTGGCTAACGCTGCTTCATGAATAGAAGTTTTTGCTCCTTTGTTTGTATTTTTGCCTTGTAGTGATTAAGCCACTAAAATCCTTGATTAGTGATCATTTTTTAACTTCTTCCTCTGTTTTAGAGACCATAATAATGATAGAGCATCACTCTATTAATTTGCGGTATAAACTGGATTTATTTCCCCATTAGTTGCTCTCACCAGAAGACTTGGTGAACGCATGCAAGATGCTGGAGGCTCTGAAACTACCTCTCAGGTAAAAGCACCTCCGCAGGAAGTTGGCCAGCCGTGGCCACTGCCCCGTGCGAGGCGGACAGGGGAGCCCGGCCAGGCGCGCCCCCGGGGGCGGGCCGACACCCTGGCCCTCCGAGCGCCCCCGCCCCCACCCCTGCGGCCGCCGTCACTGGCTTCCGTCCGGTGGGTGGCCTGAGGGGTGTGGTGGTCTGGCTCTGGTGTCAGCAGCGCAGAGAGATAAGAGCGGGGTCCCTCCCATGAGGTCACGGTGACTGGCCCCTCTTCCCTTAGGCAGTTTGTGTTTGTCTCTGGGGACTCAGAAGGACAGATGTCCAGCTGTGAATCTGTATTTTCCTTGCCCTCAGGCTAGAAAACGATTCGCCAGGCAGGGATGTGTGGCACAGAGAATAGAGCGACCACTGTTGTGATAACTGCGTACGGCGCCAGGCGAGTTCTGGAGTTACCAGGGCGATCACGCCATAAATTATACGGCTGTCTAACCACGGTCGTACACCTGAGACTAAATATAAAACAACACTGAATGTCAACGGTGTTTGAAAAATACTAAAAAGATAAAACTGAAGGAAAACTGAAAAAACAAAGGAGTGTGTTTTTTTTTAGTACATGGATTATAGTTCATAATTTTATGAACTGTTCATTCATGAGCTTCGTAGTTATGCCGTGGTTGCTCGTTGTTGTTCAGTTTTAAGTGCTGTTTTGTGTTAACACTGGCCTCATACCTGCGCCTAAAAGAAGGTGGAAAATGCGTGTGCCTCCTTCGTGGCTGAAGGTCGGCGATGTTCACAGCTTTGTTCTCCCATCTGCCGTTCGCAGGCTCCGAGTGTTTGACAGCGGCGTCATGGTCATTGAGCTTCAGTCCCACAAGGAAGAGGAAATGGTGGCCTCGGCCCTGGAGACGGTACGTGAACCCGGCTTCCTCCAGGCGTCGGGGTGTGCCGGGAGGCCCCGGTGCCCGCGCCCCGCAGCTTGAGAAACAGGATTTCCTTTCGAACTTCACTTTACTCAGAACTCGTTTGTTGGCCCAGTTAAAAATGGGTTATCGTGAACAATGGATAAATGCTCATCCAAGTGACTCTTTGAAAGCTTTTCGAAACTTACGACCATGCAAAACATCTTAAAGGAAAGGAGAATTAGAATTAATGAGGCGCTCTCTTTTTGTTTGCAGCTCAGTCCTGAGAACAGGTTTTTAACTCTGTGAATGAGAATGTTCTCCATGATAGAGCTTTTCCTTCCGCAACACCTACACAAGTAGTGTTACAAAGTATCGCCGGTTGTTTTATGAATAATTGTTCCAAAAAATATGAACAGCCACTGTAGTTTAGATGGATTCTATGGCCAAACCACTAACACTTGTTGGGGTACTCAACATACTGCTCTGCCTGAATAAACTCTATGGTGAGCCTGTGTAATTTAAATAACTCCCATTTATTATGCTTTTTATTTTAAACTAGATGAAAAAAACACAAGAGTATAGATATTTCAACCACACATTTTAAACCAAACCTATATATATGGTCCTTCACGGGATCATGTAATACGAATTCTGTTAGAATTTGTTATGTGTTCCTTTTCAGAATATCTAAGGTTTTTTTTTTAGACCTTAGTATAGGGCCTTTATTATATTATAGAGGGTTTTATGTTATTTCAGCCTCTACTTTATTTGGCCTGGGCCCTTCAGCTTTTGTAGAATTAAACATTAGTAAAGCAGACTTAGTTCTGTAGTGACTGTTCTTTGGACTCTATTAGAAAGTTCAGGAAATCATTTCCTGAGTATAACTAGTAGACATTCTCTCTAGTTAGTACCTAGGTGGTCTAAATTACGACATTTTTTTCCTGCTGTGTGTTTCTGTTAGGTTTCAGAAAAGGGTTCCCTAACCTCGGAGGAGTTTGCCAAGCTTGTGGGCATGTCTGTCCTCCTGGCTAAGGAAAGGTGAGTAAGGTCCTCGCTCTTTGACGCAACCTGGGCTTCTGAGCAGGCAGATGATCGGTGCTCTCCCTTGGTTCCCAGGTTGCTTCTTGCAGAGAAGATGGGCCACCTTTGCCGAGACGACTCAGTGGAAGGCTTGCGGTTTTACCCAAATTTATTTATGACACAGAGCTAAGAGTTCTTTCTATTTTAAGTACTTCCTATCCTGGTACTTGTGTTATGTAGAGTTTGTATGATATTGAGCTAAGAATAAACGCCGATAAACTGAGAATTCACTGGAGCTCTGCGGTACCATATACAACCCTTTTAATGTCTCCCAAAATGTTAGGGTTTAGGAAGTTGGTTTAGGAAAAATATAAAAAAAATACAGGAAAATGAATGCCAATGTGAATTTGAAATCATGCGACCGTTGTATAGAACCCTCACAGGGTAACCTGAGATATGGTGGATTTTAACTTGACCGTCCGATCCAACCATTTTTTTAAAGAAAGGAATTTAGTTCATGGGGGAAGAAAAAGAAAGTTGCATGTTTGGACAGGTTAGGTCGTTATTTTTGTGTGACTAGAATGTACTGAATTGTACGTAAGTGAAGTTTTCCTGGGCCTCGTGTGCCGGTCTCTGGGCGGTTCCTGTGAGGCAAGCCCCGCCACCGTGTCCCCGAAGGGCCTGACAGCATCGGGACGAGGCGTCCACGCGCAGGTCGCCCAGAGGGCTGCTGCCCGGCTTTCCCGCGGAGGCGGTCACGGCCGGGGCTGCACCAGCCAAGGGAAGCACCTACAAAAGGGGGGAATGTTGTTTGACTTACGTATGTATTATCTGACTCGTTTCTTTTTTTTTTTTCCTAAAGTGACGATTTCATGCCTGGCATGTAAAGAATGCAACTATGTCATTTTGTTTAAAAAGTGCTGTGGATTTTGAAACTGAATTAAAGAGCTGTTTAGGCGTGCCCAGAGGTGTGAGTGCAAATCCGGGAAGTGGAGGCTCAGGGATCCCCTGGGGTCCCGTGTGAGTGGGGCGGCTGGGAGCGCCCTGGACCAGCTTAGGGACCTAGGTGCCCTTTGACCTCAGGGCTAAGGAGGGGAGCATAGGAGTGGAAAAGTATGTCTCCTTTTCTTTCCCTCAAGGAGTCTCCACACTGAACTCTTCAAAATCTTGCTATCGTATCCTAGCAATTATTTTTCTCCATCCCCATCCATAATATGTCGTATGGAGAAACCTTCCTGCTGGAAAGTGTTACAGAGGGGACAAAAACTGGCAGGTACTGAATTTCCATGGCCCGGGTGTTCGGGTGGGCCCCCCGACTTCCTGCGTCACTGCTGCACAGCACACGGTACGCAGGAATCTCCTTCGGCTCAGGGGTCCCACAGCCAGAGGGGACCCTCTTCCTGAGCCTGAGTCACGGGGCAAGGGACTGAGGGGCTTTGGCCACGTCTCCTAAGGGTGGGCTCTGCGTGGCGGGAACACTGACACTGAGACCCCGAGGAGGCGGCCCCCAGGGTCACACTCCGGGGTCCCTGGGATGTCCCCACTGAGCGAGGAGCCGCTGCAGGTGCCCGCTGGGAGGGGTGCAGGGGTCCTCCGCCGCAGCCCAGGGGGCCCCTCTGGGTGCAGCCAGAGTCGTCCCCGCCCCCGCCCCGAGCGTGGCCGTGGCCGCTTCACCCCCTCCGGGGTCTCGGGCGGGCCGCGGCCGAGGCGTCCTGCCTCCGTCTTCACTTCGCTCACCTGTCGCTGACGCTGCGTTGTGGCGGCAGGTCCCCCGATGGCCTCATGGCTTGGCCTCAGGCTTTGGCGGAGGGGAATTCCATGTCCGGCTGCCCAGGCCTTCTGGGCCTCTGGGGAAGCTTGTTTGTATGTCCCCCGGCCTCTGGGCTGCACAGCTAAGACCGTGTGAGCCCCTGGAAGCAGCGCCCATGGTGTGGATTCATGACAGCAAACTCCGACAGCTCAGCACACGTACTGACACTGGTGCGGCAGCACGTTAACGCACGTGGGGCGCTGTCAGCGGTACGAAGTGAACCAGAGAGGCAGTGCAGTCACATAGGAATACGCTGTGCAAAAAATGTGTAAAAAACAAATATGATGGCGTTCACTGTGTTATTTTTAAGGTGGGCGTTCTTCACTCTTTCCAGACCTCAGTATATATATATATTTATCTTTTTTTTCTGTTTCTCTTTTAGTCCTCTCTCGGTAGAGGTTATGTTAAATACAACCAATCAGGCTCTAAGTGCAAAAAAGCTCTGTGTTGGTGCTTGTCAATGGCATAATTATTATTTTTGCTCTCCTAACTTTGCTTTTAGGAACATCAATCTGTTTGTATCTTTATGGTTATGGAATATTTCTAGTCACATACTGTCAAACAAGTTTTTACACTGTACAAGTGAAGATTGTTTTCAGGGTTAAATGATTGGTATAAATGTATATAAAATTATTGCAAAATTTAAAAATGATTTTTCTTAACTTGGTGTCTTTTTAAATACTCTTTGAAAAATATATGTAAATGATAAACCTTTAGTCAGAATAAGCCAGTATATGTTCCAATTTGTTCGTTTAGAGTTATAACCAAGAGTTGATTATAAATATTTATGACCTCAAGCTCTTACTGTTTTAGCTGTTTTAAAGGAAGGGCAACTGGCTCGTGAATTGTTTTTGTTTTAAGTTCTTGATGTAAACACCACTGTTGACTGACCGTGTGTGTTCATGTGAATGGACCCCACCTCTCCCCTGCTATCTGACGAAGGTGACCAGGTGTGGATTCATGTCACTCTTCTCAGGGGCAGCTACTTGAAATGGTTCTTCTTTGTCCAACCATCTCAAAGTTTTCATTTTGCTGTGGTACAGTCACAACTTACAAGGTGGTTAGATTTTAAAGACTGTGCTAAGTGTAAGATCGAACATGCTCAAAATGATCCTTGAAACTCTCTTAAATTGCCAATAAAGTTCTACATGTAGTCTTACGTTAGAATTCCTAGTGATACATGAGTGTGACTATTTTATGAACTTAGTAAGTACAATATGTAATAAAAACTACATATTGACAATAGACTTTTATGGCACTGATAATTAAACTATATAAATGTGTGTGTCTCTTTTTTGGCTGGTAGGTATGGTTGAATGTATGTAAATTTAGTGCTAATCTAATCTCTTGTGATAGAGCCAGATGTAAGCTCCACAGGGGACAGAGATTTCTGTCTGGTTCATGGATGTAACTTCAGAGCCTGGAACCGGGCCTGGCACACAGTAATCACTCAATAAATACACAATGAACGAACGAACTCTGATGTATGTACCTAGTGTAACTTGGCTTCACTGTATCCTACTTCCTCTCTCATTCAATTCAATTAAAAACTAGATTTTTTTTATTACATTCCAGCTTAGTGTGAGGAGCGCTGTGGGCCGCGTGTGGGGGGTGGGTACAAAAGTGAGCGAGCTCTGGCTCCTGCCCAGAGGGTGGCCTCGCTGGGGATACGGACACGTGAGCACCTTCACCGAGGAGGGAATGAAGCGCGTGCCATCGAAGGGGTCCGCGCACCGTGCTGATGGGCGAGCCTGGGAAGGCCTGTGGGCGAGGGAGAGCGCGGGGGACGGCTCACGAGGGCCAAGCACTCAGCAGTGGGTGGAAGGCACCGGGTCACGGGAGCAGCACGACATGTCCCCCTTCCTGTTTCTGAGGCGCATTCCCCTTGCCTACCCCACCTGCCTTCTTCCTTCCACGCACCTCCCCACTAATCAAGCCCGCCTGCTCTAGACAAATTTGTTTCCAGTGCCCGACTCCACTGTTTCTAAACTCCCTAAGAGTTATTGTCTGTCCAATATACTTCACTTTATTTTGTGTCGTTCTCTAATTGTTGTCTTAATGCCATGAGAAACTAGAGAAATTGGGTTTCTTTGAGTTCAAGCATTCGCAAACCACCCTTCTTCTGAATTCCCACAGGCCTAGGTCAGTGATTGTACATGGTATTCTAGTTAAAGCATTAACTGAATTGAGTGATTTTTGGATTATAATGTGTTATGAGGTGACTTGCAAACTTAAATCTATGTCCTTTACCCACTTACCAAGAGCTTCTCAACCAGACTCACCAAGGACCAGCCTACCTGAGACACACGTTGTCTATTCAGATTTTATAACATGGGCCCGGTCCATGATGCAGGAGCACCTCAGAAAAGCCAGGCTAACACACAGGGAAGATCTTATTACACTGAAATGTGCATTGTTTCATGTTCTTCCTTGTGTCTCGATAATCATGAAGCAGTTAGAGCTTTTCTCTCAGTATTATCTGGGGCAATGAAGGTCTCTCTCTTTGTATAAATGGATGTTCTTGAGACCGTGAATAAATTTTACACAATTTGGACAAGATCAGTCAGCACCCAGAAGGACAGCTGAAGCTATCGTGATCGCCAGCTTGTTTTAGCTCGATTCTGACGGGACCGCACCACTGTTCATTAGAAAGCTTTTCTTCCCTTCCTGTCTATATTGCTTTCTTTTTAGAAAAGCTTAAACTATTTTAACTGTCCAAGAAAGACAGTAATACAGTTTGGCAAGAATTCTAATTAAGGTAAAAATGACCAAGCACAGCGATTCAGCCACTTGTCTCTGGATTTAGGTCCTTCTCCCCTTGGAGACTGGGTCTGTCTCCAAGGTGTGTCTGAAAGATTAAATGCAGAGCAAGGTACCTTCTATACATTTCATTTGATCACCAAGAAGCTTCACTAGAATGAATACTATAAGCCTTTTACAATGGAGGAAAGGAGAGATTAAGTCATTTGCCCAAGAGCGGGCTGGAATCAATCTCACCTTTCTCTAACTCCAAAGCCCAGTCTTTCCACTGAGCTTTTGCTTCACAATTGAAAATGCCAGGAACCACCCTGACTCGTGCGGCTCCAGTGGGTTGGGCGTCCTTCCGTGAACCAAAAAGTCGCCCGTTCAATTCCCGATCAGGGCACAGGCCTGGGTTGTAGGCCAAGTCCCCAGTGGGGCTATACAAGAAGCAACCTATGGATGTTTCACACATTGACGTTTCCTGCTCTTTCCCTCCCTTCCTTTCTCTCTAAAATAAATAAAACCTTTAAAAAAAACACACAAACAAACCAGCAAAGGAAAATGCCAGGGACCATGGCATGTGGTTGACAAAGAATCCCAACTTGATAAGTGGATATTGGTCTAGGTAACCCTACTGGCAGTGAACTTGAATGAAGGCTTTAAAACCTTTTTTGAAACTTTGGATTTTAATGAGTACTGCTAGAATTAGCAAATTTGGTACCTCCGGCAACCTCTGATGACTGAGTAATTGTGCTACCTTTCAAAAGACGAAGCGATAGATCCAAGGACGTGCAAATGCGGTGTTTTAAGAGTTTTAAAAATTGAGGTAAACTTTACACAGAGTGAAATGCACAGATCTTAAACTGGTTACTTCCGACAAGTGCATAACCCCTGTAACACACACTCCGACCGACGGAACTCACCTGTGATCCCTAAAGGTCCCTGGTGGCTCTTTCCAATCCCTTGCTCCCCGGAGGCCACCACTGTGCTGTGACTTCTATTACCACAATTAGTTTTGTCTGTTAAATGATGTATTTTGTGTAAAAGAAAAGGCAACGGGCAACGGCATTGCACATTTATTGCACTGTACTCAAGAACTGTTAAACAAGGCAGAACGACAGTCTCTCGTATTCTTTTACAAAGAATTTAACCTGCAGATTAGAGTCTTTAAAATGTTATTTTAACGAGTATGTGCCTTACGGAACTGTTTTCTTTTGAAACGCTTCCATGACATTTAGGACGCCAAGTGTTTGGGGGAACCAGGACCCCAACCCACCAGTTACGTCACTTCACTGGCTTCCTTTGCGTCCCCCCAGAGGAACATGGCCCGGGAGAGAAGTGACTGAATGTGAAAAGTCAGGAAACTTCCGGCTAGCCCCTAAAAACCCGGGTCCCTTCTGCGGGCTCTGGTTGCGCGTGTCTTGGGGAGGGGTCTGCGCCCTCTCCCGCTGGCCCGGGCGCGCCGCGCGCGCTTCCTGCGCCGTTTTCGGTCCCCCGCGAGCCAGCGGGGCGCGGGCAGGAGAGGATGCGCTGCCCAGAACACGTGGGCGGGCCGGGCCGGCTCGCACAGGCTCCCGCCCCCCCCCCCCGGGGCCGCCCACCTCCGCCTCGCGCCGTCGGGGGCGGGTCCGGGTGGGGCCGCGGTCGGCCAGCGCAGCGGGCCGGGGCGCGCAGTCGGGGCGCGGGGTGCTCGGCGCGCAGCCTCGCGGGCCCTGAGGCTCCTCGCCCGCCGCCCGCCTCGCCGCCACGCTCGCCCGGCCCGGGCCGCCGCTCCGCCAGTCCCGAGAGGTAAGACGAGCCTTCTGCCGCCCAGCAGGCGCTCCAGTGTCGCGGAGGCTGCCCGGACTCTGTCGCCCCCTCCCTTCCCGCTGCCGGAAAGCACGAGTCCTCGGGGGAGCAAGGGATTGGAGATGTAGACGTTGCCAGTCCCTCGACGTACGCAGTCGGCTTCCCTCACTACTTGGTGCTCAGTCTCCGCCCCGGGGGACACGCTCCAAATGTGTTCGTCCACGGGTCGCAGTCCTGACTGTAACCTGCACGCGGCTGTCCCGAGCGCAGGTGTGGGCGGGGGACCGAGGCCGACTGTGGGCTGGGAAGTCCGAACAGTTGGGACCCTTGAGGAATAGAGTCAGGGTACAGAGCGTTTCAGAACGTTTGCTGCCCCCCACCCCCAAAAGAAATCCCTTCTGGGATATAAAGAGTATGAAATAGAAGCATTTTAGAAACGGTCCTCGTTTTTTAAGGGAGCTTTGTCTGACGACACGGGCAAGGCGAGAGTTCCAAACATGACCTTGACTCGCGGGCCTTTGGAAAGCGCTGGGGTGCGGGGAGCGCGCAGCTTCCCGGGGCGGCTGCTGCGTCCCACCGGAGGGCCCAGGGCGGAGCCGCCGGGATGCTTATATAAACACGGACCGGCTACACCAGCTGCTTTGGTGTTAGGGATTTCCTCCTAATAAATAGTAGTATTAGGTGTATACACACGAGCGTGTGCAGGTTTGTCAGGAGGGAGAGACTCATTTTGCTTCTTTTACTTTTGCTTTTATTCTTTCATAAACCATTGGTCATATGGCCTTTAGGATCGTTCATTGTCTTTTTCAGCAACTACAAAGGCACCGTGGGGGTTTATCTTATCTGGTTTCACCAAAAACATGGAATCTGAGCTTGGCGTGATACCGTTAGTCATGGAGAATATTCACAACTTCTGCCTACCTGGTAGCCGAAACGTTTAAAATGTGTCTGTAGACAGTCATGTCTGTGAATGCTATCTAGAAGTATTTTTAAATGTGTGTAAAATCTACTTAAGGTCTTATTTTCTCAAAATGATTCTCAGGTCAAACACTGTAAGTAGCAAGTACTATTTTGGAAACCACACGTTGGGATAACTTAAGCAAGTAAGGTAACAAATGTAGTGCTTTTTACCCAGCAAGCCATGCTGTTTGGGGATGCTGTGTTAAAGTCTTCGAATTAGGGGTTGAGCTAGTGAAAATTCACCTCGAGAATACTTTAAAAAATCCATATTATGATTTTAGGTAGGCTGGTTCATTTTATAATTCCATTTCTATTCAGTACTAAATATAGATTATTGCACTATTCTAGGTTTTCCTGGTCGTTTTCTTAAGGAGGAAAATGTGTTATAATCACAGTCAGTTGTAATTAGGAGCTGCTGCTGCTTTTTTAATCCTCACCAGAGGGTATGTTTATTGATTTTTAGAGAGAGAGAAAGGGGGAGAGAAAGAGAGAGACAGACAGATACTGATGTGAGAGAGAAACATCCGTTGCATCCCAGCCACACCGCGGCCAGGGGTCCATTGGCAGCCTCGGTGTGAGCCCTGACAGGGGATCGAACCCTTGACCCTTTGGTATATAGGGATGACACTCCAACTGAGCCACTCTGCCAGGGCAGTGATTAGGAGCTTCTTTAAAAAGTAGTTATCATGGGGGAAACGAGCAATTTGGAAAAGCCAGTCCACCTTTTGGGAGCTAGGGATGCCTTGTTTGTTCTCACCTTGGTGACTGAGTGTTGTGGACTTGAAGCGTCTGACTTGCCCTAGGCCCCGTGCTTGCTGGCGGGACACCTGATGCTCACCTGCTGTCTTTGGCCAAGTTTCCCAGCCGTGTTCAAAAAAAAGGGATTGAGGTCCAATCTGTGCCTCAGTCCAGCACAACTGACTTTTCTTTTATGCTGGGGAGGGAAGGGAGTCCTAGTCTTCTGTATATTTATGCTTTAAATCTCTGCTTCCCTTTGAGGAAGTTCAGCATTTCCTTTGTTCAGCCACCTCCCATTGAGAGAAAGCTAATAGAGACACATCATCAGTTTTCTTCCTCTTGAATTTCTTTATTATTCTGTCAGTCCCTTTAATCCCATTATTTCCTGTCTTATTTGAGTGGACCTAGCACACGTATATTTGGAATAAATATAGTTATTAAAATTATTAACTGAATAATGGGAATATAAACATTAAAAAATGTATTTTGTTATGTTCAGTAGCCCACAGTTTATTTGACTCCAGTATGGAAAAAGGGGCACTTAAACACCCTTTTCAGTGGTATTCCATGACATCTTATTCCAGGGTCTAACAGTTTTTTATACCAAAGTGAGTGCCTCCTCCCACAAATCATGGTGAAGCGCAGGCCAGCAAGGTTTCTCCTGCCCTCCTAGGTGGTCCGGGAAGCTTGCTGCATGAAGTCATCCATCTGCTGATGCGTACCAGCAGCAACAAGTACTAGAGGACTGACAGATGATGCTAATTGTTATTTCTCTGTTTTCTCTTTTTTTCCCCTCACCCGAGTATATGTTTACTGATTTGAGAGAGAGAGAGCAAGGTGCAGGTGCGGGGGGGAGAGAGACAGAGAAACAGCCATCAGTTGCCTCCCGTACACACTGGGGTCAGGGGTTAAACCAGCAGCCTAGGCATGTGCCCTGACTGGAAATCGAACCAGCGACCTTTCAGTGTGCAGGCTGACACTCAGCACGCTGAGCCATGCCAGCCAGGCGGAGTTCACATTGAATTGCAATACCCTGGGTATCTTTTTCAAAGGTTGGATAGTTCTGGTGTAGCTCCAGGCATTAAGAAATGAAGCAATTCAGATAACACACTGATCGTGCAAGAAGGTTAGTACGTCCGTGTGTGGGAGCCAGGCAGGACTGTCGACAGCACAATGCAAAATGAAAGTGTGGCAAACATTCAGTAAATGTTCTAAACTGTAGTAAATCAGTGTGAAACACCAAGCAGATAAATATGTGGTGAGGTATTATCAAGATTGGCTAGGCTATCAGCTTTGATGAACTTAAGCACATGACAGCAAATTCTCCACTTAAGGATGTGCTACGAAGATGTTCCATGAAGATAATCTTGGTGTTGGGCGTCCCGAATGTCCTTACCAGGTGAGCTCTCCTGGAACCAAAGGAAACTGTGTGATTACAGACCACATCCCCAGGGACGGTTCATGTCCTTTCTGTTTCCTTTTCACTATCACTTCGGAAGTTTGACTTCTTCATAGAATGGTTTTTGTCATTTCATAATTTCTATTTTAAGAATCACGTCACTTTTCTGAGGTTCTAATTTCAGGTGTTTTTGAGAACACACTTCACAATTTAGACGTGAGCAAGGACATGAGGAGACCAAAGGCCTGGGATTTTGCTAATCAGAATGAAACAAACGTTGAAAGACTTTTCAAATCTACTGTTGGTGGTGCTCTGTGACTATGGTAAGTATATGCGACGCAATAGGGATCAAAGAAGAAACAGAACTCTGACGTGTACAAATGCACTGAGGTTGAGGGCCGTGCGTGAAGGAGGTGGGGCAGTGGCGTCGCACCTGGGACACTGTGATCCTTGCAGCCCTGGGGTCTTTCAAGGTTTGGCATCATTGAGTCAGATAGATAATAGAAGGAACAGCTGACTTTCAATTTAACGGATTGGAGATAAGCCTGTTACACACACATGAAATGCTGTTGTACATATTGGGGTTTTTTAAAAGATTTTATTTATTGATTTTCTTTTAGAGAGAGAGTGTGGGAGAGAGAAGGAGAGGGAGAGAAACATCCATGTGAGAGAGACACATCAATCGGTTGCCTCTTTCTGGACTGGGGACTGAACCCGTGACCCGGGCACGTGCCCTGATAGGGGACCGAGGTAGCAGCCTCTCGCTTTGCAGGATGATGCCCGACCCACTGAGCCATGCTGGTCGGAGCTGTATTGGGGTTTGACATAAAATGCCATGTGACGGGAGAGTTTTGTTTCTAGAATATCTTTGGAACCCATTTGAATTTCAGTCCTTGCCAGTTGGGTGCCTTAGATTCATTTCTTAATCCCTTTCAACCTTAGCAGTGATACTGACTTCACAGGGTTGGTGTGATGGCAAAATAAAATCAATAGTTGAAACACCTTGAATGGCTGAGCATACAATAGGTGTTTAAGGTTAGTTTTCTTTACTCGGTTTGTTTCAACTGAATATTGAGTTCATTTCTCAGACACACAACTAGTGAACCAATAGATTCAGTAATATAATGCTAGCTTTGATGGTTTCCAAATTATTTCGTAAACATCGAAGCAGTTGATGGTGTGAGAGTAGAATTATGGCCCCAGAGAAAGAGGATCCTGGCTTGTGTGATACTGTGTGTACACAGCCAGGTAACTGGACTTGCATGTGTCCCAGTCATTTTCTCTGGTGACTCTCCTTCCTCAGCCATTTCTTTTTTAAGAAGTGTATTTAAACAAAAAGACACTAGGTTTATGGAAAACCAATCTGGGATTCATTTCTTTTAAAGGCATTTATCCCGACTTAAAATCAGGTTGTTCTGCCTATAACAACCTCATACAAAAAAGTGATAAACATGTCCTTGATTTGATAGTGATAAATATAGACATCACAATCTTCCATTTAAATAAAGTCTGCAAGGATGTTTGTCATTGTTAAGCACAAAATATCTTACTGGAATATAAAAATAATAATTGAATGAGCATAAAGTAGAGCACAGGGCATAAAAGTTGAGTGCACGTGCTACTACTGATGGGAAAGGAGGTATTTTCATAGATCTGGGTTTTTATTTCCCTTTCTCCACTTGATGTTGATCAAAATATGCCAACAACATATGTTCATGTTGAGAAACCAGTTTCTTTAAATACAATGAAGGAATGGGGAAAGAAGAAATAAAAGAATAGAGAAAACCATATTGCAGGGTGGTGTACAGTCAAATTGTAGTTTTCTAAATGAAATGGTATTCTTGTCTGTAAAAGCAAGAGTCACAGAGTAAAGTAGTAACCTGTCTCTTAGCACACTGTGCTGGACCCCACTGTATCTTCTGTCTCCATTTCCAACTGGGCATGTGTCTCTCTCTCACTGATTGGCTGCCCATCAAATCAGAATCTGATCTGCCTCATTGACAATCCCCACAATTGACAATAGGTTCTCATCAGTGAACTAAGTGGTGTGTGCCTCTTAACCTATGTCCAGTGATCACCGGGGTCTCTTTAGCCACCTGTTCACAAAAAGGTACCAGGTCAGCTCAGAACCAGCACACAAAGGGCACCGGGATCAGCCGCCTTTTTCAACCTTAACTTTGAACCGTCTCCATCCTAAGGGAAATATCCCTCAACTTCTGTTTTGGCTAAATAAATGTTTTTTAGAAAAGGACTCTATCCTACCAGGGTTTTCCAGCAAGTGGTGATGAAGCACTCAGGACTGTCCAAGTTTTATATCTATTTTACCTCATCTTAAAGGAGAAACAGAGGAAGGGCAGAGCCAATTAAAAGAAACCGCCCCCCCCCCAATCTCTTATGTCCCATTATATTCATGTGCTGATTCTAATAATCATTAGTGACTACATGTAGAGGTATATTTAAAGACTACCAGCCAAACAACACGTTGAGGCTCTTTGGACATATATGCAATATGATGTGCATATATTGTGTATATATGAGGTATACATAGTAAGATAAAGGAATTCATACTGACATGCTGAGCACTGCAGTCCCTCAAATGTAGATTGTGTCTTACCCCAGCCATGGGCCAGCCGATTGTGGCATCGCCAAATTCCGTCTCTTTTGATGTGTATTTGGATAGCATTCAAAACAGAAACAAGGATTCTGTGTGTCTGTGTTTTTTCCAGTCTTTGCTTTAGCTTCTCTGATGAGCCTCTTTAAAAAGATTTGATAGATCCTAACAGAGTGATGCTTGTGAGCGAGTGGTCATCTCTCCTATCTGAATCAAGAGTGGTTGCTGTAACATCATTAAATTTGCCAAGGACAAGTTTCACTCTATCCTTGGATGACCCATGGGGAACAGAGTGTCAACATTTCTTATTTGTCTGAAAATTTCTGCTTCCTGTAAACGAAGGGCAACTGGTTTCTTTATGGTGAAAATGCCCAACTAAATACTTGTATGTCAGAAAATAATAATTTTGAGTATATTTAAGGTCTTAAATTTTATGTAATCTAGAGCAGTTTTTATTATTTAAACCAACCTTTCAATTCGCTGTAAACCCTTCCCCCCAGAATTCCTAAACACCAGAATATGATTAAAGTAAGTGAAGCATTGGATTTTTATCTGGACAATTGTAAATCATTACCTTTGCTTTATAGATTTTCATTGCAGATAGATTCCAAGTATTTATCACTATTTATTACTAAGATAAAGGAACAGAGATGCCCAGCTCTCAGAACCCACACTCAACATCATTTTATTTCATCCTTGACTCCATTTGAACTTCTCTTGCATCTATAGGGATGTTTTTCTTTGACGTCTCCCCGTGCTGCCCAAATACCCCTTTGTAAAACCCATTCTGACCGTTTCATTGCAGTTCTTGGAGAGGCGGAGTATCTCCTCCTGGGAGAGCCGGGGCATGTAGCGCTGAGCAACACCACCGTGTCTGTGGATTTCCAGTATTTTGACGGGTACAACGGGACCCTGCGGAACGTATCGGTGCTCCTGCTGGAGGCTCACACCAACCGGACTGTGACCACCAAACACCTCCTGACCAACCAGTCCCAGGGGACCCTCGAGTTTGAATGCTTCTACTTCAAGGAGGCCGGTGACTACTGGTTCACCATGACTCAGGGAGTGACAGAGAGCAGCGCTCCGGCTCCGCGCTGGGAGAAGGCGGCCTTCCTGAAGGTGGAGTGGCCCGTCTTTCACGTGGCTCTGAATAGGACGCCCAAGGCAGCGGAAGGCACCTTCCAGGTGGGCCTTTTCACCGATCAGCCACTCTGCCTGTTCCCCGGGGACAAGCCTGACATCTTGGTGGACGTCATCTTCACCAACAGTCTTCCCGAGGCACAAACGGGTGAGGGGCGGCCGCTGGAGATAAGAGCCAGCAAGAGGGCGGAGCTCGCTCAGGGTCAGTGGGTTGAGTTCGGCTGTGCGCCTGTGGGGCCGGAAGCCTACGTCACTGTGGTGCTAAAGCTGCTTGGCCGAGACTCGGTCATCACCTCCCTTGGACCCATCGACCTGGCCCAGAAATTCGGATACAAATTGGTGATGGTGCCAGAACTCACGTGTGCCTCCGGGGTGGAGGTGATGGTGCTGCCCCCGCCGTGCGTCTACGTCCAGGGAGTGATTTCAGTCTTCAAGGAGGCCCCCAGGCGTCCAGGGGAAGGGACCACGTGGCTGGCTGCAAATAGGCTGAGCTTGGGACAGAGGAGAACAGTGTTCAACTGCACTTTGTTCGACATGGGGAGGAATAAATACTGCTTCGGCTTTGGCGTCTCAAGCAGGAGCCAGCTCGCCACAAAGGAGAAGGAGTGCATGCTGATTCAGAGAAATATAGGTTGGTATTGAGATTTAATTTTTTTAAATCAAATTGATGCCTTTATGCAGTCCACATCATTATTTTGAACTTAGCTGAACTTGGTCTTCTGTGAACTATATCATCGTTTTCAGGGACCACTCCTCATAACGGCACTGATGAACATTAGCTATTGTCACATCAAAAGGCAAATCCACGGCAGGTGTGATCAGAAATCAAAGCGAAATCCCGAGCTGTGTTAAGTAACCCGCTGGCTTGCTGTAGCTGAGCCTGTCTTCTTCCTCTTAAGTCCTTCATTATAAGAATGAAGCCTCTTTAGTGAGATTTCAAAGCAAGATTTCTAAACACTTCTTCAAATTCTGAACTCTTTGTGTAATGCCCTACTTACAAGAAATGGGGTTGTTACAATCCCACCCATGCCCCACGCCTCTCTTTGCATTTTTTCCCCTTTTCCTGGGTGCAGTCCAGGTCTGGGCAGGAGGTTACCTGGTGGACGTTGTCCGGTTCACGCACGTGTCGCTCGCCTTCATCCCCACCAAGCCTCCTGCCCCCAGGCAGCCCAAGCTTCCATCTGTCTCTGTGACTCCAAGTGTCCTTGCTCCCGATTCACCCACTTCCTCTCCTTAGAAGTCCCTTTCCTTTGCCTGCCTGCGCACCCACGGCCACTTCCCTGCCTAGACTATGTGGCCCATCCCGTCAGCCCCTCTCCTGCCGACACCCGAAACTCTGCCTTGTCCTTCTGATGCACCTGCCAGGCCACAGCTCTGCTCTGCCTGGATCCCGCCAACTGCTGGCCACCTATTGCACCGGAGCTGCGCGGGCAGGGAATGCCCAGCAGGCTGGGGCCAGTGTGGGTGGGTCATGCCTTCCCCCTCAGCAGAGCCCGCCATGTGCTTCCCTCCAACCTCACCTCTGCGCCCACTCATCGCCGGTTAACTCTCAGGGCCGACCTTGCCTCCTACCACACCGCGCAGCTGGGAGCCACGAGGTGCAAGCTCCCTCACCCGCCCACCAAAACGTCTCAGCCCGTGGGCTCCAGTCCCACCCTCGTCACGTCCTGCTGCCACTGGGGAGGAAGTGACAGTCCTCTGGCGCCAAGTCACCCCTTCCCTCCATTGCGGAGCCCTGCCTCTCTGCTCATTTCAGGAATCTTCTGCTAATTATCCCCTCTCTCCCCTCTGTCTCTGACTGTCCTTTCTTTGCTGCTTATTCCCATCACCTTTGAAATGAACTTAACTTCCATATCTAAAAACAAACCAAACAACCCCTCATCGCCTGGTTTTTCCTCAGAAAGCATCCTTGCAGTCTCTTCCACGTATAGCCCAGGCTCCTGAAAAAGCCACCTAGACCTTGGGGTCCATGTGTTCACTGTTACTTTCAGCCTCCAAACCCACACCCCTCCCCTGAAAACACTCTCACTAATGCAACCAGCGGGTGACTTCGGGTCCCCAAATCCACGGATGTCTTCAGTCTGTATCTTCATGGACCTGCGTCTGTGATGTCACACTTGCCCTTTAACGTCCTACCTCCTGGCAGTCCTTCGTGGACAGCCTGCGGTTCTGTAACCACACAAAACGCAGTCTGGCTGCCGCCATGACCAGAGCCAAACTCCTGAGGCAGGTGTGGTGCGAAAGGAAAGCCATTTGTTCAGGTACATGTGACCTGGGAAAATGGCGGACTCCCGTCTCAGAGACCATCTTCTTTTCTGCTCAAGCCCACCATTCCTTATAGGGATAAAGGGTGGAGGGCTTTTTTCCTATCCCACTATCTTTCTGTCTTTTTGTGGCTGGGGCCCTACCCATTCGGCTGTCCAGCTTTTGATGCATTCAGTGTAAGGACCTCCCCCTGCTGCTGTCTCGGCCAATGGGGGCACTCCCTGGAGCTCCAGCTGACTATCTACGGCAACAGCGCCCCCTTTCAAAACTCCAGACCCTTGTAATCTTACACAAGAAACAGATGAAGGTCTCATCTTCTGTAGTTTCTTTCTGCTGTCAAGGGGCATGGTCTTACATATCCCCAGGTACAGAGATTCTGGCACCAGGATAGTGATTGGCATCTCTGCCCTACATTCAAGTGGCACTGACTAGCTGTCACCTTTCAGATGTCCCCGAGGAACCTCAAAAGCAACATACCTGGAATTGGACTCATCATCCTACCCCCTAACCCTGCTCCTCAGGACAGGACCCCACCACCCATCCGTTGTCCAAAGCAAACACCCAGGAATCTTCCTCTATTTCACTTTCTTCCTATAAGTAGTTCACGCTGTCCTGTGGCGGTTGTCTCAACGAATTTCTGAATACCTGCGTCTCTCCATGTGTCCCTGGTTTCACTGACACCGGTGGGCCTGAGCCTCCATCATCCATAACCTGCATTCTTGCAACAGACTCCTAATCTGCTTCTCCCATTCACTCATTCTCTCGCTGAGGCCAGAGGGCTTGTTTGAAATTCAGGTCAGCTGACGCTGTTCCCCTGCTTAAAGCCTGCCAGTCACCTCGCTCGACAAGAGGTTGAGAGCCACAGGGTCCTCCTTAGCCAGACTGACTACCCCGCAGTCGCTCTGGGCTGGAGCCTGGGACACCCTCATCCCACCTTCGCCTGGTTGACATTAACCCATCCCCCGAGTCTCCGCTTGGGCTATTCTTTCTCAGCGCAGACTAGTTCACTTGCCTTGCTGCAAACTGGCACGCCATCCTTAGTTTGCCTCATGGCATTTATGTCCGTCATTGTTTGCTCAAGGTCTTCCTTCTCCTGATGACCTCGCCCCAGCCTCGCCTCTTCCTCCTCCCCCTTCCCCTGATCGGGGAAGCTCATTTGGTGGCCAAAGCCAACCTGTGCTGCCATAAAGCTATGTATGATTTCATTTGGGCCACTTAGTATGCCTGGCACATTAACAGGGGCTTACTACATTTGATTAAGTGAAAGTTGAACTCAGAAGTGGTTAGTCTCATATTAGTAGAAAAACAATTCTATTTATCTCATTAAAATCATTCAAGATGTGCTAGCCTTTTCAGAAGAAGTTCCTTGTTAAGAGAAAAAAAATTCTACGTGACTGAATTTAATGGAAATTCAAACCAAGGGGAGTAAGGACATTTGGGCCAGGTGACAAAAGATGTTGGAAGTCTACTTCCTTGGTTCTCCAGTTGCTGGACTTTCCCCAGATCCTTCCACTCAATGTCTAAAGACTGCCTGGGGTTTCCCCCAGTCTTTTGTGGTCTTAAATGTGAGCACAAGAAAAGGATAAACTATGCGTTGACTTAATTTTCCATTTAGATTTCACAGTAGTGGAATTCCCAGTAGATTTTTCAAAAAAAAAATCACAATATTTTAAGTCTGAGAGACATTAATATCTGTTTCTCAAAGCTTTGCAAATGCTGGGGGCTTAGTGTCTGAACAGCTCCAAAGCTTGAGGACAAAGGCGGCTCCTTGTTTGGCCATTTGAGGGGTGCAGGGGGGTCTGGGAGGCACAGAACCAACAGCATGTTCAGTGGAACCTCTGGATGGAACATAATTACCACACCTCAGTTTATGTTGGTCCAGGATACAGGTTGGTAATGCTTCTACTCTTGCGTAAAGCCAAGAGACTTTTAATTGGTGTAAAGAACTCATATTCCATGACTCATTCCAAAGATTGCACCACTTGGCTCACCTGAGAATGTATCTGCCTTACATGCTCTCCTTGTTTTTGTAGTGCTTTGTATGGCTTTGCTTCACGGTGAGATTTTCCTCATATACAGGATGAAGAGAGACCTTTATGCAGAGGATGTTTTGGAGCCGGGTGCTGGCATGACTAGTTGGCTAGGCCTGCTGTTGGATGGGTGCTGATAGAGAAGGGACTTAGGGTGATTCTTCATAGGGGACGATTCAATTATTCCATCTGGCAGTGATTGCGTATGCACTTGGAAGAGAAGTTTGCATTTATCCATCAATAATAACTGTTCTGGGAGTGTTTTGTATGTATTTTGAAGCTCTGGTGGTAGGTATGTTCCCAGTTAGTGTTATTAAAGCCTAAAGCTCCTTGCTGAGTTGACCCCTTCATCATCAGTTAACACCTCTCTTTATCACTGATGATAATCCTTGTTCTGCAGTCTATTTTGTCTGATATAATATAGTCACTCCAGTTTTTTTTATTTCTTAAAATATTTTTTATTAAATTTATTGGGGCGACTTTAGTTAGTACAATTATATGGACTTCAAGTGTACATTTCTGTGGTACATGATCCGTGTACTGCATTGTGTGCCCACCACTCAAAGTCAAACCGTCTTCCGCGACCATGTATTTGGCCCCCTTCACCCTTTATTACCCGCCACCCTCTTCCCTCTGGTGACCACCACACTGTGTCTGGGTCTGTGAGTTTCAGTTTTATGTCCCACACATAGGTGAAATCATATGGTTCTTAGATATTTCTGCCTGACTTATTTTGCTTAGCATGATATTCTCAAGGACCATCCATGTTGTCGCAAGTGACAGTATTTCATCTTTTCTTATGACTGAGTAGTACTCCATTGGATATATGTACCATGTCTCCTTTATCCAGTCCTCTACTGAAGGACACTTTGGTTATTTCTGTGCCTTGGCCACCATGAATAATGCTGCAATGTGGCCCTTCTGCCACAATGTGTCTTTGCATGTATCTTTGCAAATAAATGTTTTCAAATTTTTCAGGTAGACATCCAGAAAAGGGATTGCTGGTAGCTTTATTCTTAGTTTTTGGAGGAACCTCCATACTATCATCCATAGTGGCTGTACCATTTACATTCCCACCAGCAGTGAATGAGGGTTCCCTCAATTCAATGAGTTGAATTGTTATTACTTGTCTTATTAATAACAGCCATTCTAACAGGTGTGAGGTAGCATCTCATTGTAGTTTTGATTTGCACTTCCCTAATAGCTAGTGGAATTGACCATCTTTTCATATATCTGTTGGCCATTTGTATGTCTTGGGAGAATTGTCTGTTGTGTACAATATGGTTTTCTTTTGATTAATGTTCATAGGGTATGACTTCTCCCATCCTTTAACTTTGAACCAATTTATATGTTTATATTTAAAGTGAATTTCTTTTAAACAGTGCATAGTTGGATCATTCTTTTTTAACCCACTCTTACAATCTCTGCCTTTTAACTAGTGTATTTTGATTATTTATATTTAGTGTAATCATTAAGTGGTTAAATTAAGATCATCTTGCTAGTTTTATATTTCTTTGTTCTTTTTTTCTCTTGTATTCTGTCTTCTTTTGGGTTAATTGAATATTTTTTAATGTTTACTTAAACTATTCTGTTGTTTTATTGCTTATATCTTAAAATGCTTTTTAGTGATTGCCCTAGATTTTACAATATGCATCAACTTACTTTCGATCTACCTTCAAGTAATATTATTTTGCTTCACATGTAGTGTAAGTACCTTAGAACAGTACACTCCCAATTTATTCCTCCCATTCTTTGTGATTGTTGTCATACATTTTATATGGTATAAACACATAATACATTATTTCTATTTTGCTTTAGACCATCAATTACATTTAGAGCATTTCAAAATAAAACTGAATATTATCTTTATCTTTATAAATGCCATTTCCAGCACACTCTGGGAAGGATGGAGGAATCTCTGCTGATTTTTACAGTCAGAATATGATATGGGTTCTTCTGCCTGGCGCTGGTGGTGCTCAGGGCAGGGGACCCCAGCAGGTGGCTGAAAACACTTGCTCCCCGGGGGAGTCTCTGCAACTAAGATATTTCTTCAGACACAACCAATGCACTCAGGTGTGGGGCCAGCCCATTTTGTGACTCCACCCTTCCTACCAGTCTCAACATTGTTTCTTTATATGCTTAGTTATAGGACCTCTTCAGCTAGTCCTAAGATGGTTATCCAGGTTGATTGTGCTATAATCTAGTTGTAATTTTGGTGTGTTTACGGAAGGAGGTGAGTACAGCATTCACCTACTCATCCATCTTGACCAGAACAAACCCCTTCTGAAGGATTTTATGCCATTTCTTGTAGTGAAGACCTGCTGGTAATTAGTTCTATTAGTTGTCAGTCATCTGAAAAAGGCTTTGTTTCTCCTCTATTTTTGAAAGCTATTTTCACTGGATATGGAATTCTGGGTTGCTCATTTTCTCTTTCATTACTTTGGAGATAATCACTCTATTATCTCTGGCTTGCCTGACAAAAAGTCTGCTGTTATTCTCATCTCTAGTCTTCTGTGTGTGATGTATTTCTACCTTCCCCTTCCCTTCTGCCACAAAGCTTTCTGTTTGTTTTTTGGGTTGTTGTTGTTTTTTTTTAGCAGTTTCAATATAGGCTGTCCAAGTGTTTTATTTATGTGCTTTTTAAATTTTTTCCTGCTTGGAGTTTTCTGAGTGTCTTGGATGTAATTTGATGTCCTTAATCGATTTTGAAGAATTCTTGGACAGTCTTCTATTTTTTTTTCCTTTTCTGAGATTCTAATTACAAGTGTACGATACTATTTGACGTTGTCCCACAGCTCTGATTCCCTCGCTTTTTTCGGCTTTGTGTTTCAGTTTGAGTGATTTCCATTGCCCTACACCCAGACTCACCGTGTCTTTGCTCAGCGGTGTTGAGTCTCCTGATGAGCCTCTGGGATGCGTTCTTCATCTCTGATCCTGTGCTTTTCATTTTTAGCATTCCGTTTGACTCCTTTTAGTTTCCAACACTCTGATGAAATTTTTCATCTCTTCATGCATCTTGTTCACGTTTTCCAATAAAACCTTTAACATATTAATCATAGTCATTTTAACTTTTCTCTCGGAGAGTTCCCATATCTGAGTCACCTCTGAATCTGGTTCTCTTGATTACTCTGTTTCTTGATAGTGTATTGTTTTTTCTTGCTTCTCTGTGTGTTTCATAATTTTGGGTTGGCCGTTGGACATCTTACCTAGAATTGTCGTCACACGTAAATAGTATTCGCCTGGAAAAGGATACCTGTTTTTGCAGACCCTCATTGTGGGGATTGGGTCAGTCAGGTAAGGAATTGAGCGGTGTTTGGGTTTGCTGTTGCTATAGCTGCCTTCAGTGCATAGCAAAGTGCAAAATTTCTCAATGTTACTTTGTGGTCGGGGCTAGGTTTGGGTTGCTAGAGGGTTTTACTCCATGCTTCCCTTGTGCCTCAGCTCTAGGCTCGAGTCTGCACTTCAGCGAGGTCTTTCCCTGTCCTCGTGCCCCTGCCCCGGCGGTAGGCTGCTGTTCTTTGACACTTGCCCGTGGCTAGCAGGGGGCAGGGTTGGGGATGGGTCGTTGGGGTGGGAGGAGGTCCTCCTGTGCCAGTTCAGTCTTAGCCTTTGGGTCGTGCTGTGCCCCTGAAGGGATGGGGTTTTCTTCACGAGCCCGCCCCTCCCTGGGGGTAGGAGCCCTCTAGCAAACTGGGTATGTTCTGCTCCTCTCCAGGAGTGGAGGGTTTCCTTCTTTTATATTCCCTGGCAACACCAGGTGCTCTTAGAGTGATGGGGTTTTCTGGTCTTGCACCTCCCCTTAGTTCTTCTTGGGGCATCTGCTGAGATCGGCGGGGAAGAGCCTACATGCAGGTACAGACTCCTCTGGAGTGTGTGGCTTCCCGTGGTTCTGTGTATTCACACTAACCCCCACTATCCTGTTCATTTCATTTTTAATGACTTTTTTCTCTCCAGCTTGTCTGAAGCCTGGCACCTGCCCCCGAAAGCCATGTTTGTATCCGGTCTTTTCCTAGAGGAGCCTGTCTTCCCTTATATTCCAGGCCATTTGGCAGCATGTGATGGGTTCTAAAAAGATTGATATTTTGTCATTTATACAGCTCTTCTTTGCTGCAGGGTAGGAGGAACAATGCTCTTTCCAGCTTTCTGCACCTTTGGGAATGTTTTTACTCACTGAATTGTCAAGGCCCAAGATTTGAGTTTTGCTGCTTCATGGGGTTGCAGTTCAATTCTGCTTCTCAAATGAACTCACATTAAAAGCATCACTAATGTCCTTGCAGAAACCTGGGGACTGTGGCAGCCGTGGAGCCGGTGTAGTGCCACCTGCGGGGACGGCGTCCGAGAGCGCCGCCGCCTGTGCCTGATGTCCTTCCCCTCCCGACCTGGCTGTCCTGGAATGTCCTCGGAGACGTCCCGGTGTTCCCTGGAGGAGTGTGCCGGTAGGTATCTGTCTGCCTGACAGTCACCGGCCTGGGGCAGGAGGGGACTCGGCAACGTTCTATGATTGCTGTTGGCTGTACGAACCCTGTCCATGCCCATGAGTGTGTCGTGACTGGGGACAGCTTGCCAGCGAGCTGAGAGGGGACTTAACACTGTAGAAGACCGGGAAATGACAAGGACATCTATCTAAATTAAAGGCTCAGACCTATGAAATTATTTTTAAACACATGAAAACGGAAGAGCTGATTGGTTCCCCCACTAAATTTTCTGTTTTTCCTTTTGTTTTACTTCTCCCTCCTTTACTTCCCCTCACCAAAATTGTAGGACAAAACTTTAAAAGTTAAGATTTTTTCCGCCCATCATCCCAGAGAAGCTCCCAGGGACCTTGTAGAGAATTTGTCAAAATGGGGCCAGACACCGTGTCTTATCCCTGGGATGGCCCTCTCTGTACACTCTTCGCCAGCCCTGCCCTGGAGGAGAGGCGGGGATTGTTCTTGCCTTCGCCTGGGGACTGGCCTTTCCTTCATGCGCTGCGCTCCTGGAAGGCGCACACTAGCAGGTGCTCAGTGAGAATCTGATGCGATGCTCACATGGCTCCGTTACGTTTGCTTTAGCCTACGGAGCCGAATCCCATTCGCTGGCAACGTGTTACAGTAATAAAGAGCCCTCACCGTCCCCTTAGCTTTTCCGCCTTCTGATACATAACCAGTCCCCCGCGGAGCTGGCTGGCCTTTGCTGCGGTCCTGCCCTGTAGGTAAAGTCCTCCTGGCAGTCTCTGACTTTCTCCACTTTTCAGTTCCGGGTTAGGAAACCATCGCGCTTCCTGGTTGCATTCTCATCCGGGGACGTCAGATGTTTTTCTGTGCTTGGATCTCAGGGAACCTTTTACCCAAAGCTGCTGGCAGCACCTTGGTCAGTGTCCGGGCCTGTGGCCTGAGAAAACCATTCTCACCACCTTGTCTTTGCAGCCAGGGCTACAGCCCCTGTCCCCTTCGTTGGAGCGCCCTGAGGACGGCCTCCCCTCTATTACAGCTTCAGATCCAGGCCGTTCTCCTAGCCTCGAGCCTGCCCCTCCTTTTTTCATAAGCCTTGGGCCACACCGTGAATCTCTTCTTTCTCCAGTTACATCGCTGATGGCTTCTCAAGGCTCTCTTCTCAGTCTACTCTTTTCTTTAAAAGTTTCCCTCACTTTCCACCGTTCCTTCCTGGTGTAGGACTTCCTTCAAATGCACCCGTTCCTCTGAATTCTGAGGCTGCGTGTCGGGTTAAAATATTCCATCTAGAGTTCCGTAATCCTGAAATGAATTTAAAATCAACTGTCACTGGCTTTTATTGCACCTGGATATTGTTGAAATGACAACACTGTCAGCCACTGGCGGGCCATCTGCGATGTGCCAGTACTTTAAATACATTATCTTGCTCGCAGTGCACAGAGGATTTTTATGCTGAGCTCAGATCTCAAGAGCTCGCTGCGACCAAGCATTGTCTTACGTGCCTCGCTCACGTGAAGTGGGCACATCATTATCTCCACATACAGAGGACAACTTTGTGGCTTAGAGAGGGTAAGCGACCCACCCAAGACCATAAAGCCAGAGAGCAGGGAACTCAACCTGACCCCATACTGAGCTACCTCTCTTGAACACTTTGCGTTTGTATACAGGCCAGTGTACCTTTCTAGAAGCACCAACAACCTGAAACTAGCGATCTTTTTTTTATCTTTGAAATTTTATTTTTTATTTTTGTATTATTGTTGTATTATAGTCGTCCCAGTTTTCCCCCGTTGCCGCCCCCTGCCCTGCCTGAAACGAGCAATCATTTTTGAGGACATGCGGTGTTCGTTCATGCTCTGGCCCCTTCACTCTTGAATGCTGGGTGGGAACTCGAAATGGGTATGCAATAAATTAGCAGAAAGGGTAAGTGCCGTAGGCACCCCTACTTCTCCTCTAAGTGGTCCTCAGATAAGTGCTTCTGTGTATAAATGTGATCATTTCTTTCAAGTGTTCTCCTTTCCCTATTCAGCCTGTCTTCCCTTCTTGGAGGTGCAGCGATCTGTTCTCGGGCTGCTTAGTATGAGGAAATCTCCTCCCTTTCGGGAGGCAGAGGGAAGACGGGATGGGGCTGGAAGAGGCGGGCGAGGCCGGCAGCCCCACGGCTTTCCTCAGCTGTGGGCGTGAAGGGATCTGGCCGGGTCGCAGACAGCAGCTCTGTGAAGAGGCCCACAGTGTGGCACGGCGGTGCCGCTGTCCCCCGATGTCAGCAGCCACCGCAGATGAGAGAAGCAATAAGTCAGGACACACGCCTTCCATCATTCGACTCTCTTCACTTGGTTCAGAGCTTAGAGTTTTGCTGGGCTTGGAAAGGATGTTTTCATATCAAAACCAGAGGCTGGTTCTTTGTTAACGTGGCCCATCGTGTTTGGCACAAGGGGATCCATGTGGCGTTGCACAGGCATTCCGTCTGGCGGCATAGTGATCATTTTGCTATTACCTTTTTAATAACAAGTCAATGGATGACTTAATCTTCCATTTATTGAGGAGCAGCTATGTCCAAGTCACCGTGACTGGGGTGGGGAATGGACAGGTAAGACGTGCCCCGGTCTGGAAAGGGGCTCAGGGTACGGTTACTCAGCAGACACAGAACAAAGTGTAATATATACAACAGCAGCGTATAGAGCGGGCGCCGCTAACGGTGCCTCTGCTTGCCACGGACGCGCTCCGGGATGGTAGCCCGTGCTGGAAACACCTCTGTTCCCGAGGAGGTGGTATTGGAGCTGAAGTCTGAGAGCTGAGTAGGGGCTGCCCCGGTGAATTTGGGGCGAAGGGGATTTCAGCAAAGGGGTAGAGGAGGGTGGCCCCCTGAGAACTGAAAAGGGCGAAACGCGGCCAGAGGGTAGTGTGCCAGGAGGGGGCAGTGACAAGGCCGACGAGGTGGCGGGGGCTAGCGCCCGTGGGGCCGTAAAGGTTTGCACGCGCACTTTAGAGCGTGTCTCAGCGGTCGTGGGCCTTCCTGTTGAGAGTTCCCAGTAGCCCAGGTGAGCCAGGTGAGCCCCGGAGCACCGGCCATGGGGAGGCAGAAGAGGACAGGAGGATTCAGACTGTGGACGTGGCCGCGATAGAGACGGAAGGGTCAGGGTGGAGCCCAGGAGCCTCGTGCTGGCCACCGCGTGCACCGTGCCGCCGCCACCCGACATCGGATGTGCTGGGGGCGGCGCGGGCGCTGGGGCACGGCGGTGAGGCTCGAGGCTCGGCGTGTGGAGCTGACATCGGCGGCGGCGAGAGCAAAGCGAGCGGCGCCAGGAGGGGGTCTAGACCTCCCTGGTTCCCAGTTCATGTTGTTCTCTCCAGATTAGCTAAGTGAATGTTAGCATTGAAACCAAGAAGAGACAAAGTCCCAGGAAGCGCCGACGGCAGTCAGTGCCGCAGAGGTCAAGGACCGTCAGGATAGAGCTCCCTTAGGTCATTAACGACTCGACAGAAGCCGTTTAAACTGCTGGGGTCCTGGGGGCGGGGGCAGGAGCCAGAGGTGACCACGCGGAACTAGTGAGTCCGCAAAGGTGGCCGCCTCCTCTGTAAGGTGGGCTGGGAAGACGAGGAAGGAGCAGGCTGTGGCTGTGGCTGGGGTGTGCAGGCTCTAGAGAGGCCTTTTTAAAGGGGGAGGCGCCGGAGCGTGTTTCTGTGGGGCTACGTCGTCGTTGAGGGGGAGCTGGAGAACGGGGGTGCGGAGGGACGACCCTCCGGAGAAGGGCGGCCTCGGGGGCACTTGGCGTGCGTGCCTGGGTAGGAAGACAACACTTCTCCTGCTCATTCCACAGAGAAAGAGGTAAATAGGGAGCCGTCGCTGGTAAGTCTACGGCGGGGGCAGGGGAGAGGAGGGCAGAAGCAGCTCAGGTGCAGCTCCTGAGAGCTGCTTTTTGTGTGCGAGCTGGCAGACTGTGGAGGCCGAGGATCGGGTAGGGGGACTGAGGAAAGGGGGGGAACCCCGAAGAGAGCGTGGCTTAGGAAGTCAGGGACTGTCAGTGCGGAGGCACTTGCCAGCGCGGGCAAGGTCCTCTTTCCGCGGGGGCCTGGCTGCAGCAGCCGAGGGCTCCCACGTCGGCGTTTGCGTAGGGACGGGCTCCTGCTCCGGAGCGGGGATCGGGTGCGCCTCAGCGTTAGAGGCCAGGGGCACGGCTGTGCGCAGGAGGGTGGTTGCAGTGATGGATCCTGGGTACAGGGAGAGAGGTGAGGCCAGGGCGTGGCTGGCGGGGTGGTGGGGGGAGATGGATGGGGAGGGGCTGCCGAATTCAGATGCTGCAGTGAGCGTGAACACCCAGTGATAGTAAGGGACCGAGAGGGACACAGAGCCCGAGAGCGGGTGGTGACGTTGAGGATTTCAGAAGAGCAGCTGCAGACGAATGGAAGGGGTGACGCGCTGGATGGACACTGAAGTCGCCCAGATGGTCCTAGTGACGGGGACGGTGAGGAAGGCAGGACCCACAGGCCCTGGTGAGTGACGGCTGCCCTGGGGTTGGGAGTTGACAGTATTTAGGGAGGAGTGGAGGGGTCGCCTGAGGGGATGGCGTGGGCATCAGGAGAATGGAAGTTTTACATGGAAGTGAGTTAGTTGAACGTGGCAATCAGAAAGGGGGAGGAGGGGACACTTCTGTTGCCCTGTTGGCCTATAGAGTATGTGTCAAGCTTCCCCCCAAGAGGGTGGGGGAGACGCTGTGCCCTGGGCGTCATTCCGCCCTCAGGCAAGGCCAGGAGGTGAAGGGAGCATGTCGGGGGAAGGTTCTAGACGTTGGGGAGCTTGGTGGTCAGGTGTCCATCGGGCTCTGTAGAAGGATGGAGGGGAGCCCCGGGCCGGGGCTGGTGCTAATAAGACTGTGGGAAGCAGGAGATCGGACAGGTGACTGGAGGGACTTGAGTGGTGGACAGTGACCAAGGGGGAGAGGGGGGCGCGGCCTGGAGGCCTAAGGCGGCCTCCGGTTCCCGGGTGTCTCAGTGGCGGCACAGGCTGCGGCCTCAGGTGGAACATTTGGACGCCATGGCACAGCCCAGTGTGAGAGAGCAGGGAAGGAGAAAAATCAGCGCCGCGTGGAAGGTGGCATCGGGAGCGGGGAGCTGAAATTGGAGGGGTGAGGAAGCAGAGGCGTCACCAAGGGCACGCGTTCCTGGATATTAGAGAGGAGAAGGGAGTGACGTCACAAGCCCCTGTTCCCGTCTGACATGTGCTCGCTTAGGTGCATCCTGCGCAAATCATGTCACACTCCGAGTTTCACCCTCGTGAGAGTTTCCCGATGTGCCCCTCAAAGCTGCACCTACCTGCAGGTGTCTCGGGTACCTTACGTGCAGACTTTGATTTTTCCTTGAAACTTTCTCAGGCTGCTCCTACGTGGGAGACTTGAGGCAGCCGTCAGCAAGCCCAGGGAGCCCGCGGCATTTTGTGGCTCATTCGGTCAACTTGCTTCTACGGGTCTCTGGTTTTTAGTTTGGCCTAAGCAGCCAGCAGAGAGAATAGGCAAGGCTACAAATCCTAGTCCTTGGTTAGTTTACTTCTTTCTTTAACTGCTAGAGAACGGGAGCAAGCCACTCCGAGATCTTAAAACCACGCCGAGAAAACAGTCCCAGCGAATGCCCAGAATACAGTTGTTCTTCCTTTCCCCGCAGCGCTCCTTGCCTCAAGCCCGTCTCCCCTGCAGCCGCAGGGCCCCGAGAAATCCAACAACATCGTGACGGTCACCGGGATCTCGCTGTGCCTGTTCATCATCGTGGCCACCGTGCTCATCACGCTGTGGAGGAAGTTCGGGCGCCCCCCGAAGTGCAGCGCTCCTGCCCGGCACGGCTCCGCGCACTCGGCCGGCTTTCGGAAGAATTCGGACGAGGAGACCATCTGCGAGCTGGGCGAGCCGCGCGGGAGCTTCTCAGACGCGGGGGACGGGCCCGCGGGGGACGCGGGCATCCCCTTGACCTACAGGCCGAGCGCGCCGGCCGCCGCGCCCGACGACGAGGCCTCGGGCAGCGAGAGCTTCCAGTCCAGCGCGCAGAAGATCATCCCGCCGCTGTTCAGCTACCGGCTGGCGCAGCAGCAGCTGAAGGAGATGAAGCAGAAGGGCCTGACCGAGACCACCAAGGTGTACCACGTGTCCCAGAGCCCGCTCACCGACACGGCCGTGCAGGCGGCCGCCGCCGCGCCCGCCGACCTGCCCTTGGACCTGGAGAGCCCCGAAGAGGCTGCTGCGCCCAAGTTCCGGCTCAAGTCCCCGTTCGTGGACCCGCCGGCGGCCGGGCCCGCGGAGAGGCCGGGCTCCCGCCTGCAAGGCCCCGGCGCCCCGGCCGCCTGCGCCGTCAGCCCCAGCCAGACGCTGCTGCGCAAGGCCCAGGCCAGGCCCGCGGGCGGCCGAGCGGGGCCGGCGGACCGGAGCCAGCCCCGGGGCTTGCACTTCCGCAGGACCTCCAGCTTCCACGAGGCCCGGCAGGCGCGCCCGTTCCGGGAGAGGAGCCTGAGCTCCCTGCCCGCACGGCAGGCGCCAGCGCGCGGCTCGCGGACGCGGCCTTGGGAGCCGGCGGAGGACCGGGCGCGGCCCCCGAGCCGGGGCGCCGCCGGGGGGCCTGGGACGCTGGACCGCGCGCAGGGAGCAGGCGGCGTCGGCGGCCCGGTCAGCGCTCTCCCCAGATGCTACCCCTCGGCGCAGCCCGTGAGGAAGCCCGAGGCCGGGGGCCGCCAGGCAGGGTCTGTGGCCGCAGGCGACAGAGCGGAGCCCCCCAGGGCGCGGCGGGGGCCGTCCCCCAGTCACAGGAGCGCCGCCAGGAAGCAGCCTTCGCCCACAGCCCCCAAAGAGAGCTACCCCAGGGTCAGCCCCCTGAGCCCTTCGCAGGGCAGGAGAGACAAGTGTCAGAGCTTCCCAGCGCAGCCCGAGTTCGCCTTCTACGACAACACCTCGTTCGGCCTCACCGAGGCCGAGCAGAGGCTGCTGGACCTCCCGGGGTATTTCGGGTCCAACGAAGAGGACGAGACCACCAGCACGCTCAGCGTGGAGAAGCTGGTCATCTAGACCCAGGTCAGCCTGACCCTGGGCACCGAGGCCGCCGCTCCCTGTGCTGGGGGCTGTCCCGCGTCGCTGTCCGGGCGGCGGGACCGAAGGTGGGCGGCCAGTGACCCCTGTAGGCGACCGCATCTTTCTTAGTCCATAAGGAAGAGGCTCCTTACCTGGGACTTGTCCCTCTGTTGTCTTATTTCTATTGATTTATTTCTAATAACGACGACAATAAAATTTAAACAAGGGCGAAACAGGGCTTGGTCTCTCATGCGGATGTGAAATGACAAGATGGGTATTTGTGAGGGCGACGTGTGTTGAACGCATCGCGGGCGGGTTCCAGCTTGAAACCCACTTGGGAGTCTCCACTGGCATAAAGGCCGAACAAGGGAGCTTGTTCACAAACACGACTCGGAATTGTCATTTATTGTTAGAAACACATCAGAATTTGACACCTGTTTCGTGTCTGGCTAATTAAGTCACCTATGACTTACGCACTAGGCTGCCTAGACCTGGTGAAACTGAGGAATATTCCAGAACTTTCAGGCCAGGGTTGGATGATAGCTTTTTTTTTTTTTTTTTTTTTTTGCAACACGTTCTGGTGACTTGAGACAAAATCAGGAGAGTTAATTCTGCTCTGGAGAACGAACTTAAGAAGCCGGTTACCCAGGTAGTGAGTCAGATGAAGACGTATCCATCCATCCATCATTTTTCTGAGCAAAACGGAAACGTTTTGGGAAAGAGAATATTGCCTCCTGAGAGGCACCCCCGGGGGCGGGGGCGGGGGACCCTGTCGAGTGCCAGGATGCTGCTGACTGTGCGTCCCGGGCCAGCGTGGCAGCTGAGGCCCAGGGGTGCTGTTCCAAACCTGGGACGTGTGTATTTCTGAAGATAACGTTATCCTGTTGATCTGATCCGGAAGCGTGTGAACTACTCTTGGGTTTTTGGAAAGCAGGTGGACTAGATTATGCTCTTACAGCTTAAATCTTTTTTAATGGGGAGAAAGAATAAAGACGGGAAACGTTTGGTTTTTGTTGTTTTTTTAAGATTCTGTCTATTCACTGTTAGAGAGAGGGAAGGGAGGGAGAAAGAGAGGGAGAAAAGCACCGATAAGCAGCCTCCCACGGCTACCCCAGCCTGGACCCACCTCACAACCCAGGCATGTGCCCAACCCGGAATCAAACCGGCGACTCTGCAGGGTGAAGCCCAGCCACCTGAGCCACACAGGTCGGTGAGGGGAGAAGTCTTTGAAAAATTCAGAGTCACTTTTCTTTTCTGATTCACTCTCCCACCTTGTGCAGATGAAGAATTTGAGGCTCAGGGAGGGGAATGAGCTCCTGCAGAGTTGGATGAACAGGGACTTGTTTTGACTCTTATTACCAAACTCTGCGCTCTGCCATCAAAGCCTTTGCAAGTCTCCTCCGTGGGTAGCAATTTCCGGAGAAAGCCGGCCCTTTTGCGGTGAGAGGCACAGACAGATGCCTTTATTAGGTTTTCCCAAAGAAAGGAAGCTTTCTGCCGCTTGAGGTCGGGGCTCGTCTTGCAACTTGCTTTGTGTGGAAGTGAGGGCCACACCAAAGGACCTGGAGGCTGGGCTCCTTCGCTGGAAGTCTGCCACGTGAGCCTCCGCAGAAGGGCGTGTCTGCCCTCTGCCCCTGAACCTGAAGCCTTACCTGCGTACACCTGCTCAGCTGCCCTGCGTATTCCCCGTGGCCTCCCCAGCTGCTGCACCTACCCGGCCTTTTAGGCTGTTCTCCCTCTTCCTTTTCATGTTTATCAGGATGTCAGCCTGCTGGCGAGATTTCAGGGACCAGGGGAGAGAGTGGGATGAGATGGGACCAAAAAAAAAAAAAAAAAAATCACAATACTGTGCTTTTAAAAGTTTCTCATTTGTTGCATTGGTATTTCATTTGTGCCATTATTAGTGAAAATTAAAACACACTTTGTTTTGGCAGTGCTTTAGCAATAACTACCTTCCCAGAACAGGAGGAGTAGATTATTTAGTGGCATCTGATAACTGGGATGTGCTGATACGAAGAAGAGGAAACCAGACTTTTTAATTTCCATTTTCTTTGTTTATTGTGCTAGAAAGCTTTGTTCTGCGTCCAAGTTCCCAGGCTTGTGTGCCATCCTTTGAGGACAGAAGGCACACACTCCCTAATGTCAGACTTCACAGAGAATTTCCCTACAGTGTCAGGCTGAGAGCAAAGCAGCTGCAGGGGATGTGAAGCGTCAAGAAAAACACTACGAACAGAAGGATGTTCTGTGAAATTATATTCTTCCCCAGCACTTATGTATCCAAATGAATAGCACAGTGACCTAAGACCAGCACATAGTATGTTCATGATCTATCTAGTCCAGTCTTCTGTGGCTCTTACCAAGAGAAAATCTTTACATTTCATGGCTAATTTGGCCTAACCTCAGAAAAACAGAAAAGTAGATGCTCCAGCATTGTCTTTGGTGGATACATGCTAAACTTACTAGAAACCATTTCCTACTCTGCGTATGTGTCCTTAGGTCCTAGTCCCAGTGGCTGCCAGTAGGTAGGAGCTCGATAAGGATCTGTGGAATAGTTTTCTTAAAAAAAAAAAAAAGCCCTCCTGCTATATTTTTGGTCGAACCAGAACAATTCTAACACTTTGCATCCTAAACCATTATGAATAGGATGTATTCCTATGTGATACTGTGGAATTTCAGTTTCTGGAAATCTTCAAAAATGAAAGCCTCATCTTTGGGGGATATTACCCTGGCTGAAGGGGAAAGTATCTCTGGAGCCTATTGACGTGTCCATACACAGCAGTCCCTTAAAAAGCAGTGAATGCACATGGGAGAGTGGCATCTAAGTGAGCGTGGTCCCCTGCCGTCCCAGTGGGTCTCTTCCATTCACTCCCATGCCTGGGAATCGGCCCACCGCTTGGGAGCAGCTGCTCCCGGCTGTGACCTCCAAAGTGGATTTGAAAGAGCGGCGGGCACTCAGTGTGCCAAGCCCGAAAAGATGATCCAGCCCTTCCTACCAGCTTTCTCTCTCTATGCTCTACCCACCTCCCGCCTGACTCACGAAATGGAAACCTGCTGTTTTGCAACTTTGATGATTTCTCATTTTATTCTGGATGACATGACTTGTAAAATGACATTGCACAGTTTTTAGTCTGTGCAGCTTCTGAGTCATTTATATATGCAAATGACAGTGTATTTCAATCTTACAGTATGATGGAAACATAGTATTATAGTTGTATGTGAGGCCTCCCGGTCATAGCAGCTGAGTCATGGTTTGGACAAAAAGAAGTAGTTTGGCACATAGTCAAAAGCATGCCAGTGTCACCCTGGCCCATCTCTTTCTAGCTGTGCAATCGTAGGCAAGTCACTTACACACACTAGACTTCGTCTTCCAGAGGTAAAATGAGATAATCCTTACCCTCGCCCCTGGTTTAGGATGGGAACTTGAGTACACATAATAACTTCATCTCCCTCTTAGGACTCAATTACAATTATAGAAAAGGTGCAATACCAAAAACAGTTGAGAAAACAAAAGGCTAAGTGATTTCAATGAGTTGCTACAAGAAAAAGTGCTGGAAGAACCCTTAGCGGGAGACGTTGTCGCCCAGGATGTGCTTGGAGGGTCACAGACCCTGGGTGGCAGATCCTTGTAGACACTGGAGATCCTAGGTTACTAGAATGAAGGCACAGTGAAGATCTGAATATGAGGTGGTCATCCTCCCTCACTGCTCCTCAACACTGGTGGCGGGAACCCACCGCAACTAGGTCTTCAACTACAGACAAAACCAAAACCAACCAACCTGCAAAATGACCAGAGGGAACTTTTCTAAAGACACTGAAGCATCTTTCTGAGAAGACTAGGGCAGATGGGGTTGGGATTGGTGTCCCGGCACAAAGCCATCTGCATTCTGGCATTTGAGAGGCCTTAGAATAAGGATCATCAGCAAGTTCCAGACGTGTGCTTTGATTTCCTAGTCCTGTCTCATTTTAAAGAGCAGCCTGAGAGCTGAGAATCACCATACATTTGAGAAAGCCTATGGTATGATGAAGAAAGATAATCCAGGAAACACAACTCAGGGAATTTGAGAAGAGTTATATAAAACCCCACAAAACTAATTATCACTAAAAATATATGACATGATGTTACACTTATTAAACAGGAACACGATGCCTATTTAAAAAAAAATGAGAAAATGGGAAGGACCCCTTGGGAATGAAATATTTAATAGGAAATTGTAAGCTAAGTTAGAGGAAATCTAAAACCTGGAGCAAAAATAATGTAAAATGTGAGAGTATTAAATACACACACACGCACATGCGCACATACAGAAGATCAGTCCAAAGGGGGTCCAATAAGAGAGTAATTAGAAATCCAGAAAGAGCAGAGAAAACCAAGGGGAAAAGACATTAAAGAAATAACAGTGAAAATGTCCAGGATGAAAGATGTGAGTTTTCCATTAAAAAGGGCCTCCTAAGTGGGGATTAGGGGCAATGGAAGAGGCCACACGCCACCTGGAAGTTTGAGGCCAATGAGCCATACAGAGGAAGTCCCGAGAGCTCTCGTGGGGGTGGGGAACACACACTCCTACAAGAAGCAAACCTCAGGCTGGCATCAGACTGTTACTGGCTTTACCAGAAGCAGCGGTATAATAGCTTCAAAATTCAGAGGGAAATGACTTTCACCTGGGGAAAACTATGCTTAGTCCAGTTACTTGTGAAAGCCCAATAAAGACATTGTTAGACAAGCAAAGACTCGGGTCCTTGCTTTATACCTTGTCCTGAGAAGTTATTTGAGCACAAACTCCAGTGGAACAACAAAGTAACACAAGGGAGGCCTGGGATTTAGGAAACAGCAGATGTGACCGAGAACGCCAGCTGTGTGTGTGATTTAGCCACCAGTCCGTACTTGAGCAGGAACATTTGAGCAAGCTCAGAAATGGCAACGTTACAAGCACATGTGCTCTGATTTTCCTTGTGAGTAACAAGGAACCACCACTCTGCTCCTGGTAAATGGAAGGCTT